GTCTTGTAAATTTGGTACGCATATGAAGAAATTGATATTTTTCTGTATCTTCAGAATGAAATGTTTTGAGGACAGAAGGGAGTAAGCGCTTAACGATACATACTTTAATAATATTTGAATATCACCTAGTGCGATAAGAGTTTAATCAGCTGACTATTTTGGAAATTACTCCTTTGAACAATTTACTACCATATTAAAGAATATTAATCGTTCTAGATTTACTATTCTCAAATTTATATTATATTACCAGACATTTGGCTACATATCTTATTATTTATATAGATTAGGAGAAATATAGCATTTGCCGTGACAGTAAGTTTTGAATATTCATAAATGGAAGATTGCTTATTATATCTTTTTGAGTTTGTTTACAAAATCATAATGATCTTTAGAAGATATATTATAGTTTCCATTTATTGTGGTTAATTTTTAAGTCATTTCGTAATTTGATATGTAATGGTCATCCCAAGCTCTTGCGGCAACTATTGTTGGAAAGAATATTGTAGGTATGTTTTAAACACTTTCGACGGCTTTAGATCAAAAGATAATCAAAAATAACGAACCTCCATACAAAACAGCAGTATTTGTACAAGTTATATATAAGAGATTATCTAAGATTACGACAGACTTATATATCAAAGATTCAAGAGGTCTGTTTACAAGATATAAATAACGACTAAAACATATTTAAAAAAAGGATGATCAGATAATATATTTGGTAAAATGGAGTATCTTCATGTATGTTCAGAAGCAGAACTGAAAAAAAAGTTTTTCATCATTCAATCCTCTTTTTTTAGTTTAGTCGTATTAATTCTCCAGAATTAACATGAATAAAAAGTATTTAATTCTTATTATTTAAGAGAACAAATTACTTGTTCTTTAATAATGGCAACAAAAATTTCAAAATCTTTTTCAGGCAATGCATAAAGTTAAATATAAAATCAGATGGTGATGCATGATGTAATCCATGGCACATATTCTAAAGAATCATCGCCGGATAAAAAAAAGACAAGTGTGGTTGTCATTCATCAGTAAATTTTCCTTTATGCTAACTCTGAAATTATTGTGGCCATTCAAAGAAAATGATAAAACATGAATATTTTCACTCAATGTAATCAGTCTCAGAATATAATAAGAACTATTATGAACTCATAATATAAATAGTCATAAAAACAAAAAAACATGCGAAATAAAATTATCAAAATTAAATCATAAACGAAGAATTCCTAAATAACAATTTGTTCCTGCATATACTTCCTCAGAAATGATATAAAATATCTTAAGTTTTTATAATCATAATAATTCTGATAAAATATTTGCATCATTTTTATTTCTCAGAGAGTTATTAACACATCTCAAAAACAATTCATGCAGCTACCTAGCTTATACATGGCAATGTTCTAAATAATGTTTAAGTTATCTCAGAACGATGGTTGGCTTTGTTGTACTGTTTAAACATTTCAATAAGAAACTTACAATTAGAGTAACAAATAGTATATTTTATAGTTACCGAATTGAAATTTGTTGCTCCTTTAAATAACTCTGATAAAATTTTGAACGAGACGCTCGATGGAAAAATAAAATTTCATAAAATTTTCATTTCAAGTTGTCAAATTTCATCATGAAGGACGATGAAGAGATGAACAATTCAATTAGGGCTACAATAATTGCGAGAACAATACCATTCCATTACTTCACATTTCTTTGCAAATTTAATTAAACAAAGTGTACCTCCTTATATCAGAAAAGATCAGTATTATGACGAATAGTGAGATTATATATTATCCGGTTATTGTATACATATATGTAGACATATTTATATACACAATTGTCAGCTTGAAAACATGACAATTGTTGATGAAAAAGAATTTAGGAGATATGCTAAGTTATCTTGCTTATTCAGCAGCAGCTCTGGTGTAGATCTGTTGAGTAGAATGCTTGGAGACTGGCTTGATGATACCTCTCTTTTCTAGATCTCTTAGAGCAACTCTAGCTAGAGAACCACCTAGCTTTAATCTGTCGACCATAACAGAGACAGAAATGTATCTGTAAGTTGGGACTTCCTTTAGGATTCTGTCCAACTTTTCTTGGTCTAGGATGACAGCGTGAGCAGCCTTGTCCTTATGGGACTTCTTGGACCACTTCTTCTTAGACTTCTTACCACCGGCCATAGCGGCAGCGGCCTTAGCAGCCTTGGAAATTTGTTGTTTTGGAGGCATTATAAAATATTCTATAATAAAAAGGGATTCATGATAAAATCAGTTTATGTTAGTAAAAAATTCTTCTATGTTTGAATAAGTTGTACGGAGATCAGATTCGATAGTTATAAATATTCTAGTTGTTCAATTAGTCATCCGAAAGAATAGAATAAAAAATCACATATAACCTGGCATTCATTTGTTCATCATGTTCTTGAAAACATATCCTTCTTTCATATTAAAAATCACTATTTATAAGTATCAATGAGTAGCATATTCACCCAGTATATAACAGCTAAAGTTTGGATATGGAATTCATCAATTTTTCTTCACTTTTTTCTTCACTTCAGGCTATCAACATATGCTGGCATCCATCATCATTTTTATGACTATCATTTCCTAATCCCCAAATGTATTGGTCACATACTCTAAAACAAACGTTACTGGTCTTCTTATTCCATAACCAAATTGTGAATAGATCAGCTTTAGCTACTTTTCACTTATACTGATTCATCTTTAATATCTAAGTTTGTATGGAGGAAGGTTGGAACCCCGATCCTCTTAGTTAGAGCTTCGTCTTCACAGTAATAATTCCGTACCATTTTCTCGCTGTAAAAAAGCCGAATTTCATAAAAAAATATCACATATCTTATAAGTTCAATATGTGGTGTAAGGATGATATGATCAATGGTGTAAGGATGGTACAGTCCTCAAAAAATAAAGTAATAATACGAAGACCTGCTGACAACATTTACCAATTTAATAAATGCGTCATTAAATTTATGACAGAATTAATGACTTTAAATTTTCTTGTAGTACATAAAGGGATATATAAACTGCAGAACTAAATTGTTTAAACAGAGTCACTGTTGTTAAACTGCTCATCTTTTGTACATAGTAACGTTGGACAATATAGCTCCAATAAACCCAATGTAGGGGGAACGAATACTACATTATGCAGTATATATCATGTGTTATTTGTAAACGTAAGTTTGAAATCGAGAATATACGATTAGTATTCGAGTTGAAATTATCGGACATAGTTATAGATATTCAAATGTATAATCTTGTGGTTTTATTTTATGTTATATAAAGTAAGTCTATATAAGGAAGATTGTATATATATAAAATTAGAATATGTGGTCCTTTTATACTTTTGGAAAAGGAAAACAGTCTACCAAATATTGATAGTATTCTTACTAAACATTCTAGAAACATGTTCTAGACACTTATGAAACAATTAGTAATACTTGCTTACTAATCATTCTTAAAGAATGTTCTAGAATCATATTGAACAGTTAGTAATAATTTCTTACTAAACATAAAATTGTAATAACCAAGTATTGCTACTTTCTATATTATAACATTATTATATATACGACAGTGCAGCACACTCTAAATTATACTTATATTAGCTACCTTCACCTTCAGTTAGGTTAAGCTAATGTTAGCCTTTTTAGTGCTGCCGCTACATATTCAAAATAAATAATTTGCGACACTAACCAGTTTTAACACAGACATATGTTCTTTTAAACTATTCAAAACATATTCAAATGATGGTTCCTAAAGAAGAACATATGGTAACTAAATTTTATACTTTCATATCCGATATAGTGTAACGGCTATCACATCACGCTTTCACCGTGGAGACCGGGGTTCGACTCCCCGTATCGGAGTATTTTTTGAAACTTGTATAGGGTTGTCGTATGACGTGATGAAGTTTCTGTGCATGGGGAAAATTTTATGGAATTCCCTGAGATTTGTAGATATATTTTTATTTTTGGAACGGTGGTTTTATAATGCCCTAAATTTCAGTATTGCAAGTCTTTAAATATGTGTCTACAAAAATGAGTAATGTCATTCCTTGACCTATTAGTTTTTCGCAACATTAATCTAACCCTTAGGGTACCACAGTATGGTGATAATACTCTTTACTGTCAGAAACACAAAAATAAATAAATAAGTAAATAAAATATGTTATTTCTAACACCTAGCTAAGCTCTTCCTATGGAATTACTTCAAAAATCATTTTTAAGAGGTAAAAAGTGTGCTGAAGCAGATATAATAGAGTTGAACATTTGTTCGTTCATTATTTATAGTGTTAGGTAGAGCGGAGTAGGTGTAGCTTGAATACTAATGTTAAAATTAATGTAAATATTATTTGTAATACTTTCCCAATATTTGTAAGTCATGCTTTTATATTATATATAATTTATAGAACGAATAGAATCTCACTTAGAATGTAAGTTTAGAATCATTTGTATTTATATATTATTTATTTACTCGGCAATCTGTTTCTCTTAATACCTAAGTGTTTCATTATAAAATGTTACCTAATAAATTATGAAGTAAAAAATATTATTACCTAAGTATTACGTAGTCTTTCATTCTTAATTGGACATTCTAGATGCCTTGATTCCACACAATTTCTGTCAAAAAGAAGTAACCCTAGCCTCTGAATGTGGTGGCCCTTACTTTTCTCTATTGTTCGCCCCTCTTTTTACCGCTCTCGCCCTAAAACAATTAATGGCTACAAATCTCGGGATTCCACATAATTTTAGACCCTATCTGTGCAAGGATTTTTTTTTCATTCTGTACGAAACTGAAAATTATTGACCATCTAAGATGTGAAATAACAATTTATTTGAAGGATGACTTCTAATATAAATCTGTTGTAACATACCATTCTTACTTCAGGCTATATTATTTATATTGCTTTTATGAATTTTGTCGTCTAAACACAATTAGATAACAGGATTGTAATATAATTTGTCAAACTAGTATAGCACTTTATTGTTGAAAATGGCTAAAAGAATTGCTGATGATCAAATGACAAGAGAAGAGTTCGAGGGACATGGTTCTGAAGATGAATCAAATTCTCAAATACAGAACACTGCTAAAGCTTCTGCAGAAGTTATGAGTAAGAGAAAAATTGCAATGCCGAAAAGAAAGATGGCCTTCACCAATAAGACTAACGCCTCTACATCCGAAGCTTCTTTTGCTAACGCTTTTAGTTTTGCCAAGAAACCTGAAACTAACGATTCCAACGAAAAGGGTGCCAAGTTAAAGGCCTTGAATTCACAATTCAGCAAGAAAATTATTGATACTATAAGTATTGACCCATTTGTTAACTTATCCACACTTTTTAGCAAGTATGAAACCTACGTTAATACGATAAATGGTGTGGCACCTACAAGCATTTTTAAAACAGCTCCAATTGTTACTGAGAAGCCAGTTGTACCAGAAAAACCCACAGCTACTATGCCTTCTATTGGACTTCAAAATTCCAAAAAGGAATCCGAAAGCGAAGAGTCTTCCTCGGATGAAGAAGTAGAGACAAAAATTGAAGGTCCATCCTTTACTATATCATCAAATCCTATAAAATCTGATTCTGTATTTTCATTTAATAAGAAGAAAGTAGAAAAACCAAAAGATGACTCAGATAGTGAAAGTGATATCGAGATTAAAGGCCCAGAGTTCAAAATTTCAGGTACTATCAAATCAGATGTCTTTAAATTTAATAACAATGCAGCAGCAACATCAATATCAGATTCCCCTAAACCAGCAATTGGTTTCTCAAATAATAATTCAGCTCCAGCAGCATCCCAAGATGTTGTAAGTGAAACAAAAGAGGATTCTAAAAAACTTCCATCATTTACTTTTGGAAGTACGGTTGCTCCAAAATCCGAAGAAAAATCCGAAAATACAGGTGCAAAGTTGTCTTTTGGACTAGGTGCTGACGCTGCCAAAAAACCTACTAATCAGGCGTTTAATTTTGGTACTAATAACGTTTCAACTCAATCCAATGGTCCTTCTATATTTGGAAATCATCCAAAGGCCAATGAGACAACGGGAAATACTACAGTTCCAAGTTTTACATTTGGTGCTAAACCAATACCTGTCGAAGACAATAAAGAATCAACTGACAAACCTGGAATTACGTTTGGTGTCAATCCAATTGCAACCAAAGACACAGGAACCAATACCCCATCATTTTCATTTGGTACAAAGGTATTAACCCCAGAGGCAACACAACAACCCAAAGAGAACCCAACTAAACCTGTTTTTAACTTTGGTGCCACTCAAGTGACAGAAAATACTTCTAAGCCAGGCTTCGCATTTGGTCTGAATAACTCTATTGATAATAAGAATGACGCAAATGTGACTAAGTCCACTTTCCAGTTTAGTGCCCCAAATCCTGAAAAGCCTACCTTAAATTTTGGTACAACCACATCTACACAGTCTGAAGCAAAGGTGACGAATGAAAACGACAAACCTAAATTTAATTTTTCTGTATCGAGCACACAATCCAAAGTAGAAGAGGATGCCACTAAAAGTGATAACTCTGTAAATGCACCATCGTTTTCATTTGGAGCCTCTAAAACAACTACTGCTCCATCTTTCTCGTTTGGTAAAACAACACAATCCAATCCCTTTGCTCCAACCTCAACGTCTACCTCAGATAATAAGAGCGCAGTTCCATCTGGTGGATTTAAGTTCAGTCTACCATTTGAACAAAATAATACTTCAGATGAGAAGAAAAATACTGACGAATTGGTCGCAGCAACCTCAAAGAACTCCCAAAATACAGAGAATAATGAAAAATATTCTCCAGATTTGAACACAACAGAAGGCGAAAAGGATAGTGATGATACTGCAATCTCCATGCAGAATGGTGAAGAGGATGAAAATTCAGTCTTTTCGCAGAGGGCTAAATTGATGGTCTTCAATGCTGAGACAAAGGCCTACGATTCACGTGGTGTTGGTGAAATGAAAGTTCTTCAAAAGAAAGATGAGAAATCTAAGAGTAGACTCTTGTGTAGATCTGATGGGATGGGTAATGTGTTATTAAATACCAATATTGTTAAATCTTTTCAATATGTTCCTCTAACAGCTGATAATGAGAATTTGGTGAAAACACCAGTAGTTGATGCTGACGGAAAGTTAACAACGTATATTGTTAAATTTAAGATGAAGGCAGACGGGCGTGCATTTATTAAAGCCATTTCAGATTGTCAAAAGGATCTTGAATAGAGAACAAAAGACAAATAAGATGTGGGTTATAATTAATGCTTCTCTTATTTTGAAATGGATAAAACAAGATATTATCGATTGATGCGAAATATAGATGCGATACAACATTGATAGATGGTCGGTTGTATGCTTTTTCTGTACTATTATATACGTTATATATTTGATAATAAAGTTTAAATGTATACCATTACTAATTCAAATGTTCGATAAATTTTTTTTAATAGTCACCGTCCTCCGCAAGTTGTTTTGTTAAATCACTAAACATCGGAAGAGCCCACTCTATTCTTCTTGTATCTCTAAGATACGCTTTCGATTTTTGATCAGGATCCAAATAATTCTCATATTTTAGTTTATTGTTCAAAAACCACCTCAACCCTCTCAATATAGTACCTTTGGTCTCCCCCATGACATTACCATTTATTAATGCAACCATATTCTCGTCTTTGTATTGATACATTTTCTTTCCTTCTTTCTTCTTAGTAATTTCAGATCGTTTAGCAATTGTTTGGAACAACTGATATATCATTACCTCTATAAATAAATTACCATCCGCGGTTAAACCACTTATTAATGGGACGTGTTTGAATATATCTAACTTCAAAATGCCTTGACCCAGTAGATTTCCAAAAAACTTACCTTGGTTTGCAATAGTTCTCAGTCTGACATTTTCATCTGTAATCTCGGCTTCCATATCATCTTCAGAATCAGAATCTTCTTTATCTTCATATTTTTGAATGGTATCCCAAAACAAAAATTGGAAAGACTTCAACAAATTATGATGCTGCTCACACAGTTTCATTGCCACCAAAGAGTAATATTGGTTATATCCATTCTCTTTGCTATCAGCTAGTAGACAATTTAACAGGACTCTCGGTGCTTCTAATATTTGCTTATTTTTCAAACCTAATTTTTCGATATTTTCGAATGCATCCACACAGTCCTGAGCTGACATAATACTTACGAAAATTGCACGTCGAATATCAGTATTCATTCTATTTTCCTTTGCGATTTGAGTCCAATCAGGAATATCATCTAATAAGTCATCTTCCAATAAGAAATCGTCCTTTATTCTGATTTTTTCATTCGTATCTGTATTCTCCTCAAGTGCAGAGTTCATGTTACCTCTCCAGGAGGCACCAACAAGCCACCACTTACCTGTTGTATCGACGTTTTCAATATCCTTTAATGATACCTGAAGAGGTTCCATAGCAGATGAAATTGCTTTAAACGTAGATACAACGACCTTCTTAATTGGGTGGAAATCGGAGGCTAAGACAGAAGGTTTTAATCTGTTATTCTTTAAGTCAGTCATAGTACTCATCAAGAACTGCAACCTTGGACTTGGGTTTTCAATTAATTTCACGTTGGTCAAAAGTTGTGACATGATTTGTTTCAGAGCAAATGGATCGTCACCTCTAATCTGTTGACCAGATACCGCTACTATTCTAAGTAATAGTTCTGTAGTTAAGACATTTGGTTCGGAAACTAACATCTCAATTATATCATAGAGTAATTTACAAGATATAAACCCAAAATCGTAAGTGTAGGATAAAAGTGTAACAATATTTAGCGATTCTTTTGGTAAAACAGCTGCATCCTCCGATTCCATATTTGCAAATTCATCTTTCTGTTTCTTAAATTGATTAAGAAACAATTCAACTGTAGACTGAATGAAATGTGCACCAATTTCAAGACCTCTTAGTCTAAAAATAGCAAATGAGACGGCAGCAAAATTCAAAATGTATGTATCGAGCAGTTTATTTTTTTGAACAACCATCTCTAATAACTGTTCTGTTATAATCTCTATGACATATTGTCGTGGATATGAATCAAATAATTCATCTAGGGATTTAATAATATGCGTAATGTTTGACTCAGACAGTCTGTTTAGACTAGATTTCACCTTCTTTGTAATCTCAATTGAAGCACTAGACTCCGCACGAGTTTTCTGTAATTGATGCTTTCTCAGTGACGGTGGAATATATGATCCGGTATCGGTAGAAGTAGAATTTGGTGCAACATAAGGATTTTCTTTTGTTTTGTTGCCATTACTTCTTTCTGATGTTTCATCTCCAGATTCATCTGTTTCGTCATCTTCTAGTTCCTTCAATTGATCCCACTCGTCTTCATCTAGGTCACCGTCACTGAACTCATCAAAATCACCTTCAGAGAGTTCATCATCCGAGGAAAATGGCTTGTCTTCGTCTCGAGTAGTTGTTCTCCCCGAAGACTTGTCATTTTCAAAAGCAAAATCACCATATTCCTCATCACTAGCCCCATAATTGTCGACAAAATCCAAACCTTCCAGTAACCCCCCAATAGCATCAAACTCATCTGCGGCACTAATTGTTTTTTTACCTTTTTTTAATTTCAACTTCTTTGCATAATATTGCATATCCATTTCATCCTTTTCCATAGCCATACGTTCGGAAGGTGGTAAAGGATAACTTTCTTCTGTTTCAGAATCTATTTTTTTAGCATTTAACTTCTGTTGCTTAGATTTTTTGGACTTTAACAAAGCCATAGTTTCTTCCGCAGTTATATCTTCCTTTTTAAACGTTTTCTTCTCTTTGATTCTTTTCAATTGGTCCATAACATCAGCTTCATCTGCACTAGATTGATCTTCATTATCGGAAATAATCTCGTCTGATTCGATATCATCACCCTCAGATTCATTTTCTTCTAATGACTGAAGTTGTCTCAGTTCTTCTTCATCAAGGTCACCTTCTTCAAACTCTTCAAAATCCCCAGCTGATAGTTCATCATCGGATGAGAATGGTAACTCTTCATCCTTTTTCTTTTCCTTAGGTTGGGGTTTCGTCTTTTTAACTATAGTCTTCACCTTATGATTATGTATATTTTTCGTCTTGTCTAAAGACTTGTTAGATTGAATGCCATCATCAAGACTATCATTCCCACGGTTTATTCTCTTGTTCTTCTTCTCAGATCTCTGTTGCTTTCTTCTTTCCTTTCTGCCCAGTTGCTTTGTGGAGTTTCTCTTTTTAGACTGCTTGAAACGATCATCATTAGAGTAGTCACGATCCTTCAGCTCGTCCAAAATTATACCTGGTATATTAATACCACCCTGTTGTTGATTGTGTCTCCTTGACATATTTTTATTCCTTATTCTCACTGAAGTTCTTTGGATTCAACACAATCGAAATCGTTCACTTTTTAATGCATCTCATCTCATCGATTTTTTAAAGTATAATATTGCTACTCAAAAAATTTTTCAGACCTTTTTCCAAATTGTTACTTAAGCCGCGATGGGTATTTTGCCAAAGGCGGGCTTGATCTTACATAAGCAACTTCAAATATTGAGTAAAGGTGAAAGTTAAGGCTATAATTGATTAGACCTAACCAGTTCGATCTGTATATTTCTTCGATAATATACAGCAATTCTAAACACATATATATAGCATATAAAAATATGGTAAATCCAGGACAGAGAGTGGAGATAGGACCTTCCGGAAGAAAGATCATATATGATACTGATGGGAAAATGTATGTATAATGAAATGATTTACAAAACATTTTGCCTTCTACGATTTAAAAATGTTACTAACATTAACATTCTAGATGTCGATCATGCAATGAATTCAGTGATTTCCAGTTTGTGACGGGGAAAGTAACAAAGGGTTCAGCAGCTGTTGCGACCACTAAACTTCTTTCTGTGAGTTCTGACGATTTGATTCCTGGCTCGAGAACTTATACAAAAATACCTCCTCCAGATGTAAATCAACTAGGTCGTTCATCATGGACAATGCTTCATGCGATGGCTGCAAAATATCCAAAGGCTGCACCAACTGATGCCCAGAAGGAGGATATGACTAAGTTTTTGAAAATATTTTCTCATGTATATCCCTGCACTTGGTGTGCAAAGGATTTCGAAAAGTATATTAGAGAAAATGCTCCAAAAGTTGATAATAGGGAACAATTAGGTAAATGGATGTGCGAGGCACATAACCACGTTAATAAGAAGTTAGGAAAGCCGAAGTTCAATTGTAACTTCTGGGAGAAACGTTGGGTGACTGGATGGGAAGATGAGTAATTAAGTCATGACAAAACCTATATACATGTAAATAATGTCATATTTCATATCCCAATACAGATAAACATATATATATTTAAGAAAATAAATACAAAACTAGATTTTAATTTAATTCAATCGTCTCTTCATTATATTAACTTATATATGTATTTACTGCATTATAAGTTATTTGTATAGACTTAGATTTAATGGTACAGTACTACCGCTACCACTTGGATATAGTTTTTTCAACCCTCCAAACCTTCTAGGAGCCGGTATCTGTGATGCATTGACGCTCCAATTAAATCTGGAATCATCGATTTCAATCTTCTTGTCATTTTGGGAAGAATGAGCGGACTCAACATTCAATGTATATGATTCAGGTTTAATCTTGGTGGTGTTCTTCGACATTGTACTTTCACCACTTCCAAACAGTCTACCCTTTATTGGTTTTGATGTTGAAAAGCTGGACGATGTAGGTCGTGGGGATGTTGAAGGCGAGGACACTTTACGTACGTTCTCGTTTGATAGTATAGGTGATGGAGACATCGGAGGTGGTGGAGGAGCAGAAGGTGCAAATGCAGCCGTTGGAGGTGGGGGTGGGGCATGCATAGTTGGGGTAGTATTAGAAGGTGGTGGTGGAGGAGCTACTGGAATACTTGGAGCGCTTGCACCTGGAATAGATGGAGCATGGGTAGGTACCGGGGCCGGTGTCGGTGGAATAACTGGTGCAGTCATAGATGGGAGTGCTGGAGCCATAGGGGCGGCACCCGATGGGGGAGCTGGGGGAGCTGGTGCATGTTGTATGGATGGAGCTGCACTCTCTGGATGCTGATGAGCTTTCATCTTTGATTCAATTTCATTTAGGAATGACATACCAGCACCGGCTGGAGTTGGCACATGTGGGGCACTTGGAGGTTCAGGTGCTGCGTTTGATGAATGACTTGTAAAAGGTGGTGCAGAAGGTAGAGACGATATTGGAGGTGCCGATGGTACAGGAGTATTCGAGGTACTATGTTGTTCAGTGGCTGTTGTATATGATGATTCTTCCGCCACGACAAATCTATCATCTCTCTTCTTTTGAATTTCGGCTAAGAATGGCAGTGGTCCACCAGCAGAGCTTGGAGCTGGTTGTGACGATGGTGGGTTAACATTGGACGATGCAGAATGTTTCTTGCTCGATTTATGCGGTTTTGCTGTCATTGAAGGTGGAGGTGGAGCCATTGGCATTGAAGGTGGAGCAGGCGGTGCTGCTGGTATAAATGATGGAGGAGCAGGAGGAGCATTCATTGAAGGGATTTCTGGAGCAACTGGAGCGGGTGCACTAGGTATACTGGGTGAACTCATCGTTGGGAGTTCAGGTGCTGATGGTGCAGGTGCTGAAGGTATACTTGGTGCTGACATTGTTGGGATTGCTGGTGCACCCATAGTTGGGATTGCTGGTGCCTTTGTCTGTGTTTGCGATGGTGGAGGAGGAGGTGCCATCGGTATATCAGGTGCAGCTGTTGGTTTAGATACCGATGAGTTCTTTTTATGAGGCGAATGTTTGGATGGATGTGATGGAACAGAAGGTGAAGGTGCTGACATTTGAGGGGCATGATTACTGTTGCTACTCTTTGTATTTGTACTTGTTCCATTCACGACACCTTTGTTTGATCTTCTTGCGTTGATTTCTCCTAAGAATGGTAATGCACCACCAGAAGGCAATGCAGGGGCATTAGGCGCATTATTGGAAGCTGGAGAAGAAGAAGAGGGATGTGCTTGTGGTGCAGTTGGTATGAATGCAGGAGGAGCAGGTGGGGCGGGAGGAGCAGGTCCCGGAATGCTTGGTGCAGAAGACATAGGAGGTGGAGGTGGAGCTGATGGTAAGGATGGTGTAAATGATGGAGGAGCAGGAGGAATTGAAGGTGCTGATGGAGCATGTGCAATAGGAGCCACGGGAGCCACAGGAATAACCGGGGCGCCCATTGTTGGAGGTGGAGGTGGAGCACCTGGAATTGGTGGTGCTGATGCAACTGTGCTTACGGATACATTTGAAATTGAGTTTTTCTTCTTATGAGCCCCTCTCTTTGGTCTTGAACTTGGCATTGAAGGTGCAGGTGCTGAAGGTGCAGGTGCTGAAGGAATTGATTCAGTCGATTTATCGACGTGATGTAATTTTGGTATACCACCTGCTAGGATATCACCTAATTGTGGAGCCCCTGTTGGAATCATTGGGGCGCCCGTAGGAATCGAGGGAGCACCCATAGGACTACTACTACTTTTGCTATTGTTATTATTATTGTTGGAGCCAACGACACCACCACTACTTAATTGTGGTCCACTTCTATCATTGGTTTGAGCTTTTTTCAATCTTGAACCTTTTCTAATATCACCTAATAAAGCATCTCTACCTTTCATTACCGATTTATTTGGTACTGGAGCTGAATTTGAGTTTGCTGGAGGCATTCCACCCATTGGGGGAGGAGGGGGAGGTGGAGGAGGAGCAGCCATTTGTTGTATGTCTATCTCTGGATGGTTATCTTTGGTTTGCTTTGTTGTAGTGATATGTAATAGAAATATAAATCTCCTTTTCTGTATATAAGTATGTACGTATATTGATTAAAATTGCAGCTTAAACATAAAAAAATAGTCCAAAAAAATAAAATGAAATCAGCGAAGAGAGTGAAATACTATAAAATGGCAAAGCGGTTATTGCTATATCTATATATATCTATATATACGTATAAACCTCCTAAAATTAACAATTCAATTCAATTCAAATAAAGTAAAATAAAATAAAATATTTACCGTTACATACTTGTTAGTAGTGATTATACTTCGTAGTAGTAATATATATATATTTAAAAATGATATAAGGACCCTTCTCTAAAGCATGCAACAAAACATAAATATTTTAATAAAAATGTAACAAACATCTTCCTCTTTATATAAAAAATTAAACAAACTGCAGCAATTCGCCACTGCCTCCCTTATTTCTGTTTTTACTACAGAAAGAATAGCCGCCCATCACACATATAAGTTACTATTATTGTTTATCGAGTGTACAGTGTGCGCACTCAGGGTAACCCCTAAAACGCATGCGAAAAGTGGTGCTAGCCGACGTCCACGTATCACTGGGCACGACGCGCACGTGACGTAGCAGAGAGAGCAGGTGTATGGGTTTCCTATTTTAAGATTCTTATATCCGGACCTATTAGACAATGCGGAAAGATTTATATAGAGATATGTTCTCTCTCCTATTAATAGACGGCGTCGTTCTAATAGGGGACCGGCGATATAGTGCACAGACATATATTTAGTAGTGCGAAAAGGGGGCAGTGCTTACTACCACCGGGTGTCACGACGGACGGCCCGTCCACAGTTTGTTGTTCTCTCTGTGTGTGTGTCAAAAACCAGTTTAAAAATAACCGAAAATTGAGATGGCTGGGTTTTGTTCCCTCCCACCGCAAAAAGAGCGAGAGACAGCGCGTGTTGCATCCGCGATTTCGCGTTATTCTCTTCACGCTCTCTCCCATCCTCGTTTCTTTTCTCACTGCCATTATCCTGAGGAAACCGCAACTATTAATAATAGCCATATTTCTTGGTACAGCGTACAACGTAGAACGCGATATTACACCATATTACACCATTATATTAATTTTACGCGCCTTTTTCCATATTTCTTTTGGTGGAAAATTTTTTCCTGCAATTTTCACTATTATGCTATTATTATGTGCTATACGTGACAGAGACGGTTGCAATTTAGCAATATCTCTTGATCTATAATACATGATTTTTCCCTTTGGACTTCGATTCAATCAATAAATTTCTAAAATTTTCAGTGAAATTATGTATTTTATGCATTTTCCAAATCAACAACAGAAACTTTCACAAAATTTTCTTATTTTATTTTATTTTATTTGTAATATATTATTTGTCAAAAGTGTTATATCTTTCTATTTAATTTATTAACTTTTTAATTATTACCAACTTTCATATATATATATTTTTCTTCCTTTGGCGTACTCTTTCTTAACAAAACCTCTCTTTTTCATTTTTATCCTTATAATCACTTCTTATTTCCCAGTATAAAACTCATCACATATCAATACATACTCTCATATAGCAATCTAATCCAAAGATTATTTTATAGTGCTCACTTTTTCCTAAAAAAATGAGCTATAATCAGGATCAGAACTATAATAGTAATAACGGTATGCCGCCGTCTGATCAAAATCAACAACAGGATATGTTGTACGATGATTATGGTAATCCTATTAATCCAGATGCAGCTTATTACCAAAATGATCCATACTATCAACAACAAGGTAATCCGCAAATGAATAACGCAGGTGATAACATGGAAAATTTCTCGGATTTTAGTAGTTATGGCCCTCCTCAACCAGGTACTCCCTATGGCAACGGCCAGAGTGGAATGGGGTATCCTATGGATCCTCAATCCATGCAACAACCGAATAATATGCAACAACAGCAGCAGTACACTCCCTCGCAATTATCCTATGGTGATGGTATGATGGGTGGCTATGCTGATTCCGGTGCGTCTACTCCTGGGATGATGTATGATCCAAATGCTATCGCGATGGCTTTGCCTAATGAACCATATCCGGCTTGGACTGCAGACACGCAAGCTCCTGCTACAATTGAACAGATTGAAGATGTCTTTATTGATTTGACGAACAAGTTCGGGTTTCAACGTGATTCCATGAGAAATATGTTCGATCATTTCATGGTCTTGCTGGACTCCCGTTCGTCAAGAATGTCTCCGGATCAAGCTTTGCTATCGTTACATGCCGATTATATTGGTGGCGACACGTCAAACTATAAGAAATGGTATTTTGCTGCTCAATTAGATATGGATGATGCTGTGGGCTTTAGAAATATGAATTTGGGAAAATTATCAAGAAAGGCTCGTAAATGGAAAAAGAAGAAGAAGAAGGAAATAAAAGAAGCTGTAGAGAATGGGGAAAACACCGAAGAAACTTTGGAAAAAATCGAAGGTGATAATACTTTGGAAGCAGCTGATTTTAGATGGAAGGCAAGAATGAATGCGTTGACTCCTTTGGAACGTGTTCGTCAAATCGCTTTGTATCTGTTGATATGGGGTGAAGCAAATCAAGTTAGATTCACTTCCGAATGTCTTTGTTTCATTTATAAATGTGCTTTGGATTATCTGGAGTCGCCTCTATGTCAACAACGTCCCGATCCAATCCCCGAAGGTGACTATTTGAATAGAGTCATCACCCCATTATATCGTTTCATTAGAAATCAAGTCTATGAAATCGTCGATGGCCGTTACGTTAAACGTGAAAAGGACCATAATGAAATTATCGGGTACGATGATGTTAATCAATTGTTTTGGTATCCTGAAGGTATCATGAAAATCATCTTCGAAGATGGCACTAAATTGGTAGAATTACCTGCAGAAGAACGTTATTTAAGATTAGGTGACATTGTTTGGGATGATGTGTTTTTCAAGACTTTCAAAGAAACAAGATCTTGGTTACATATGGTCACTAATTTCAATCGTATTTGGATCATGCACGTCTCAATCTATTGGATGTACTGTGCTTATAACGCTCCAACGTTCTATACTCATAACTATCAACAATTAGCAAACAACCAACCGTTGGCTGCTTACAGATGGGCTTCTGCCGCTTTAGGTGGTTCGGTCGCCTCTTTCATTCAAATATTTGCTACCATTTGTGAATGGATGTTTGTTCCAAGAAAATGGGCTGGTGCTCAACATTTATCAAGAAGATTTTGGTTCCTTTGTATCATCTTTGGTATCAATTTAGGTCCAATTATCTTCGTCTTTGCTTACGATAAGGATACTGTTTACTCAGTGGCGGCTCATGCTGTCGCCGCAGTGACTTTCTTTATTGCCGTTGGTACAATTATTTTCTTTAGTGTTATGCCATTAGGTGGGTTGTTTACTCCATATATGAAGAAAAACACCAGACGTTACGTGGCTTCTCAAACGTTTACTGCATCCTTCGCTCCATTGCATGGCCTAGATAGATGGATGTCTTATTTGGTTTGGGTCACTGTGTTTGCCGCTAAATACTCAGAATCTTACTACTTTTTGATCTTATCTCTAAGAGATCCTATGAGAATCTTGTCCACTATGGATATGAGATGTACTGGTGAATACTGGTGGGGTAACAAGACTTGTAGACAACAAGCTAGAATCACTATGGGTTTAATGATCGCTACCGATTTCATTTTATTCTTCTTAGATACATATTTGTGGTATATTATTGTCAACTGTATCTTCTCCATTGGTAGATCCTTCTACTTAGGTATTTCCATTTTAACTCCATGGAGAAACATCTTCACTAGATTACCAAAAAGAATCTATTCAAAGATCCTTGCTACAACCGATATGGAAATTAAATATAAACCAAAGGTCTTGATCTCTCAAGTTTGGAACGCTATTGTCATTTCCATGTACAGAGAACATTTATTAGCCATTGATCATGTTCAAAGATTATTGTATCATCAAGTTCCTTCTGAAATCGAAGGCAAGAGAACCTTAAGAGCTCCAACTTTTTTCGCATCTCAGGATGATAATAATTTTGAAACTGAATTTTTCCCACGTAATTCCGAGGCTGAACGTCGTATTTCTTTCTTTGCTCAGTCATTGGCCACTCCTATCCCAGAACCATTGCCTGTCGATAACATGCCAACCTTCACTGTGTTGACTCCTCATTACGCTGAAAGAATCTTATTATCCTTAAGAGAAATTATCCGTGAAGATGATCAATTCTCAAGAGTCACCCTATTGGAATACTTGAAACAATTACATCCTGTTGAATGGGACTGTTTCGTCAAGGACACCAAGATATTGGCTGAAGAGACTGCCGCATACGATAATGACGAAAATGATCCTGAAAAGGACGAGGGTATGAAGGCTCAAATTGATGACTTACCATTTTACTGTATTGGTTTCAAATCCGCTGCTCCAGAATATACGCTACGTACACGTATCTGGGCTTCCTTGAGATTCCAAACTTTGTATCGTACCGTGTCTGGTTTCATGAACTATTCTAGAGCTATTAAACTGTTATACCGTGTGGAGAATCCTGAGATTGTCCAAATGTTCGGTGGTAACGCTGAAGGTTTAGAGAGAGAATTAGAAAAGATGGCCAGAAGAAAATTCAAGTTTTTGGTTTCCATGCAAAGATTGGCTAAATTTAAACCACATGAATTAGAAAATGCGGAATTTTTATTAAGAGCTTATCCAGATTTACAAATCGCTTACTTGGATGAAGAACCTCCAATCAATGAGGGTGATGAACCAAGAATTTATTCTGCTTTAATCGATGGTCACAGTGAGATCCTGGAGAATGGTCGTAGACGTCCAAAATTCAGAGTTCAATTGTCCGGTAATCCAATCTTAGGTGATGGTAAATCTGATAACCAAAATCATGCTTTGATTTTCTACAGAGGTGAATATTTACAATTGATCGATGCTAACCAAGATAACTACTTAGAAGAATGTTTAAAGATTAGATCTGTTCTAGCTGAATTCGAAGAATTAAACGTTGAACAAGTTAACCCTTACGCTCCAGAATTGAAATACGAAGAGCAAACTACAAATCACCCTGTCGCTATCGTTGGTGCTAGAGAATATATTTTCTCAGAAAACTCCGGTGTTCTTGGTGATGTTGCTGCTGGTAAAGAACAAACATTCGGTACATTATTCTCTCGTACATTGGCTCAAATTGGTGGTAAATTGCATTATGGTCATCCCGATTTTATCAATGCTACTTATATGACTACAAGAGGTGGTGTCTCCAAGGCACAAAAGGGTCTACATTTAAACGAAGATATTTACGCTGGTATGAACGCACTATTACGTGGTGGTCGTATTAAGCATTGTGAATATTATCAATGTGGTAAAGGTAGAGATTTAGGTTTTGGTACTATTTTGAATTTCACAACAAAGATTGGTGCTGGTATGGGTGAACAAATGCTTTCCCGTGAATACTACTATCTAGGTACTCAACTTCCTATCGATCGTTTCTTGACTTTCTACTATGCGCATCCTGGTTTCCATTTGAATAATTTATTCATTCAATTGTCTGTTCAAATGTTTATGTTGACTTTGGTTAACTTACACGCTCTTGCTCACGAATCCATTATTTGTATTTACGACAGAAATAAGCCAATTACTGATGTCCTATATCCAATTGGTTGTTACAACTTGTCACCTGCTATTGATTGGGTTAGACGTTACACATTATCCATTTTCATTGTTTTCTGGATTGCCTTTATTCCTATTGTGGTTCAAGAATTAATCGAACGTGGTATTTGGAAGGCAACTCAAAGATTCTTCCGTCACATCCTATCTTTATCTCCATTATTCGAAGTTTTCGCAGGTCAAATATATTCTGCTTCTTTGTTAAGTGATTTAACTGTCGGTGGTGCCCGTTATATTTCTACTGGTAGAGGTTTCGCTACATCGCGTATCCCATTCTCCATCTTATATTCTAGATTTGCTGGTTCTGCAATTTATATGGGTACTAGGTCTATGATTATGTTGTTGTTTGGTACCGTTGCGCATTGGCAAGCTGCTTTACTATGGTTCTGGGCTTCTTTGTCCGCTTTGATGTTTTCTCCATTCATTTTCAATCCTCATCAATTCTCTTGGGAAGATTTCTTCTTGGATTACAGAGATTACATCAGGTGGTTATCAAGAGGTAACAACAAATATCACAGAAACTCTTGGATTGGTTATGTTAGAATGTCAAGATCTCGTATTACTGGTTTCAAACGTAAGTTAGTTGGTGACGAATCTGAAAAGGCTGCTGGTGATGCCAGTAGAGCTCAAAAGAAGAACGTCATATTCGCTGAGATTTTCCCAACTGCCGTGTATGCTGCTGGTTGTTTCATTGCATTTACATTTATTAATGCCCAAACAGGTGTCAAGACTACAGATGATGATACAGTGAATTCCACCCTTCGTATTATCATTTGTACTTTAGCACCTATCGGTATTGATCTAGGTGTTTTGTTCTTCTGTATGGGTATGGCTTGTTGTTCTGGTCCATTGTTTGGTATGTGCTGTAAGAAGACTGGTGCTGTTATGGCAGGTATTGCCCACGGTGTTGCTGTTGTAATTCACATTGCCTTCTTCATTGTTATGTGGGTCTTGGAAGGCTTCAACTTTGCCAGGATGTTACTTGGTGTTGTTACTTGTATACAATGTCAAAGATTTGTATTCCAATTGATGACCGTATTTTTGTTGACTCGTGAATTCAAGAATGATCACGCCAATACTGCTTTCTGGACAGGTAAATGGTACGGCAAGGGTCTTGGTTATGCAGCTTGGACTCAACCAACTAGAGAATTGACTGCTAAGGTTATTGAATTATCAGAATTTGCCGCAGATTTTGTCTTGGGACATGTTATTTTAATCTGTCACTTACCATTTATCTTGATCCCACAAATTGATAAATTCCACTCTATTATGCTGTTCTGGTTAAAACCATCTCGTCAAATCCGTCCTCCAATTTACTCTTTGAAACAAGCTCGTTTACGTAAGCGTATGGTTAAGAAGTATGCATCATTATACTTCTGTATTTTAGTCATTTTTGCTGCCTGTATCATCGCTCCAGCTGTTGCATCTGCATATGTTCCAAAGGAAATTGGTAAATCACTAACCGGTGTTGCTCATAACTTATTCCAACCAAGAAACCAAAGTAATAATGATACTGGTGCACAAATATCTACCTATGTTAGTCACTGGTACACACATACACCAAGTATAAAATCCTGGTCTACTACTAAATAGAGGAAATGATTTTGAATTTTAAAACTTTATATAATGGAAAAGGAAGACAACCTAATAATTACAATAGACACTGTTAAAACCTTACTTACATTCTAGATAAATAGAAAATGTTGATATGTCCCTCCTCATTATTATTTTGATTGACAAGTTTATATATTTAAATCTGGTCATCACTTAGTTATTTAGTTCCATTTTCTGTATCATTTGTTTCTATTCTTTGTATAATACTCATTCTATTTATGAAATACATGTTTTCACACTTATAATATTTTCTCTGACTTTGCCACAGAATACCTAAACAAACCGTAAGATAGGTTGTGCGAAATAAATTCAAAAAAATAATTAGTGACATAACATAATATGAAATGTCACAAGATATAGAAAAGAAACGTTTATAAAATTTTGTATCTAGGTGGTCCATTAAATTTAAAACGTAGATATTCTATAATAAAAGTTTTAAGATTTTGAATTGTAGATAATATTTATTTAGGACTAGGGTATTAAACAATATTTGAACCTTGATAAAACAAAAACAGCAAGATGAAAAAGAATTATTGTCAATGGTGGGTTTTAATCTTTCTGATAATACAGTGTTTACATTCTGTCAATTGTTCATATGTTGAATCTTTTCCTCCAATTGAGATAATAGGTGCAAAATTTTTCAACTCCTCTGATGGGAGACAATTTTTCTTAAAAGGAATTGCCTATCAACCTCAACGGACACTAGTTGAGTTAGAAGAAAATGGCGAAACATTTGATACTAATTATATTGATCCATTGGCAGATCCATATATTTGTTTAAGAGATCTAAGTTACTTGCAAGAGTTAGGAATTAATACTATCAGGGTATATTCAATCGACCCAACTCTGGACCACGATGAGTGCATGCATAATTTGATGAAAGCCGGAATATACGTCATATTAGATTTAGCAGAGCCTGAAACATCGATCGTAAGAAATAACCCTTCTTGGGATATCATACTTTTTGAAAGATACAAAGCTGTTGTCGATACTATGAGTCAATACCCCAATGTCTTAGGGTATTTCGCTGGTAATGAGGTTACAAATGACAAATACACTACGGGGGCGTCTCCTTTTGTCAAAGCAGCTATAAGAGATACAAAAAAATATATCAACGAAAAAGGCTATAGAAATATTCCAGTGGGTTACTCCTCAAACGATGACATAGAGACTAGGGATAACCTTGCACAATATTTTATTTGTGGCGACACCAATGCTGACTTCTATGGAATAAATATGTATGAATGGTGCGGGTATTCGTCATATAAAACAAGTGGCTATGAAGAAAGAACCAAGTACTTTAAGAATTACCCCATTCCTGTATTCTTTTCTGAATTTGGGTGTAATGTTGATAGACCAAGACCATTTACTGAGGTAACTGCTCTGTTTGGACAACAAATGTCGAAGGTGTGGTCTGGTGGCTTAGTTTACATGTATTTTGAAGAAGAAAATAATTATGGTGTTGTAAAGGTTGGAAGAGATGGTAAAAATATAACAAAATTACCTGATTTTCAACTGCTAAAGAATCAGTTCTTAAAAATTGATCACACTAAAATTGGTCAAACAAGCTACGTTGAGAATGATATTTTGGACAAGAGTAAACAACCTCATAGTTGTCCTAAGTTTTCATTAAACTGGCAAGTTATGGGAGAACTTCCACCTACCCCAGATGACGTTGTTTGTAATTGTCTCACCACATTGCCCTGTTTGTTAGAAGATATGAATTCCAATTTTCAGTTTGAGGACTATTTCATTGATATTTGTAAAAAGACTAATTGTTCAGAAATTACGAGTGATGCAGGAAAAGGAATATATGGAAAATATTCGTTTTGTTCAAATTATCAAAAGATATCCTATGTTGCTTCGCGATTATATTACGAGAATAATGCGACAATTCCAACTTGTCCTTTTGATGAAGACATATTTATTCATAATGATGGCCCTAATGCATACTTAAAATCCAATACAGATTGTAAGAAAATTCTTGATGATATTAAATTGTTGAATAATAAACATTTCCTTCTGGGGTACAATCCATATCCCCCTTTTTTGATGCCACATGGTCAGGATAATATAATAATTATCAGAGACGGTGATGACGATACAAGCCCACCTAAAGAGAGCAGTAGCTCCAAAATATCTTTGAGCTTAATGAAAGGGTTAACTTTAATTATTTTGTTGATTGTAACCTCAGCTGTCCGAATAACATAAATATTTACAAATTATTGCTCATATGATTATATAAAAACTTATAGGTTTCGTTCAAATTTATGTAAATGTGCATGTATTATTTGTTATCTAGATATTAATAACATTAGTCGTTTATAATTGCTACAAGGTAAGTGTGACAAAATTTGTTTCCAGAGATTAAGAGTAATATAGTACAGTACAGGAAATAGCGAGAAAGTGTTTATTTTCTATGCTAGTGTCTCCAACTTAGGAGTGATCGAGGAAATGAAAAGGTTTTACAAGATGACATATAAAAAGCTCTTAATATAATATAAAAGAGATCGATCATTTAGCGTAATATAATAAATTTTGTTCAGTTAAATAGAAGATGTCTATGTAAACGTAAGTTTGAAATCGAGAATATACGATTAGTATTCGAGTTGAAATTATCGGACATAGTTATAGATATTCAAATGTATAATCTTGTGGTTTATTTTGTGTTATATAAAGTAAGTCTATAGAAGGAAGATTGTATATATATAAAGTTAGAATAAGTGGTCCTTTTATACTTTTGGAAAAGGAAAACAGTCTACCAAATATTGATAGTATTCTTACTAAACATTCTTGAAACATGTTCTAGACACTTATGAAACAATTAGTAATACTTGCTTACTAATCATTCTTAAAGAATATTCTTGAGCTGAAGCAGACATAGTGTGGTTAGACTTATATTCGTTCATTATTAAAGGTGTTAGGTATAGAGGTGAATGGTGTAGCTTAAGTTTTAATGTTAGGTAAGCAAAATATAATTGTTATATTTCTCTTATATTTGTAAGTGATTATTTGTATTGTATATAATTTATAGAACGAATATAATCTAACTCAGAATGTAAGTTCAGAATTCTTTGTCTTTATATGTATTTTTATTCCAATATCAATTGAGGTTCGAATTATGTTTTGTTTCATAATACGATTAACTTTGTTTCATAATGCCACATATTTTGTTTCATTTTTTAACATGCTTCGTAATGCATTTGAGATATCTCAATTTCACATAATTTCCGTCAATTCTAGAATCATATTGAACAGTTAGTAATAATTTCTTACTAAACATAAAATTGTAATAACTAAGTATTGCTACTTTCTATACTATAACAATCTATTCATGGAAAAAAAGAGAAGTTCCTTAATTTGCAGAAAATGTCTTACCGACTGTTAAATACAACATGTTATTGTAAAATCAATTATATTTCCTGCCCTTTTAGTGCAATGGTTAGCATGCGTTCTTCCGGTGGATGTGATCCGGGTTCGAGTCCCGGAAGGGGCTGGTAGGTTTATCTTTAATTTTTTCCAATGCTCCACTTAGGAAGCATCTTTAAATTCTGTAATATACACTTAGTTTACCAACTGTTCAATGTAAAGTGCTTCAGGTTTTTATTATCCTTAAAAGAAAGTATGTGTCTTTTATTTGTAGTAAATATCGTTTACTGAAAAATTGTAGATTTGTAATCTTTGGACTGCAACACCCATACATGTTTTATATTTTATGTGATGTCTGGTTGTTGAATGTCAAAATATAACAAAATTCGTTTTTTTTTGTTTGAAAATTACCATTTGTTTTTTAAATAAATGTTCGAACCCTATTCGGGAAATTTTCAGTTAGGGATAGTTATTATGTGTATACTAAGTAGCCTATACCAATATGACATAATGGTAATTTATAAAACATTGTAGAGAAATTGATAACGGAAAGGGTCTTAATACGTATTAAATCAACCAAATCAAGTATCGATAATTAAAATGGCTAAACAATCACTAGGTATGTCCTTTAGATCTCACGTTATATGATAGAATCAGAGCAAATTAATGAATATATGATAGGATATTTTCAGATGATCCATTTTTATTAAATACTTATAGTCATGAGAACTTTAAGCAAAAAGATATTCAAAAGAGACGAAATTAATTGAAAAATGTCGAAATTGGAGCTATTATGAAGAGTAACTATGATATTTTTCAGCGATGGCAATGCTGACAAAAAAAATGTACTAAGGAATTACATTAATGAATTTCCACATTCTTGAACAATGAAAGCCTATTAATAAGAAAAAACGTTTAATTAGATATTCAATTATTGTCTCTGAAACACTATAAACTATGAATGATTTACTAACAGATAATTGATTGTTTTGATTTTAATTTTCAACTCAATCTATTTTTTTTTATTATAGACGTCTCCTCTAACAGAAATAAGTCCAGAAAGGCCTACTTCACAGCTCCATCTTCTGTCAGACGTGTCCTGATGTCTGCTCCTCTATCTAAGGAACTAAGAGCTGAATACGGTATTAACGCTCTTCCAATCAGAAGAGATGACGAAGTTTTAGTCGCTCGTGGTGCTAAGAAGGGTCAAGAAGGTAAAGTTTCCTCTGTTTACAGATTGAAATTTTCTATCCAAGTTGACAAGATCTCTAAGGAAAAATCTAACGGTGCTTCAGTTCCAATTAACATCCACCCATCCAAGGTTGTTATCACTAAGCTACATCTAGACAAAGACAGAAAGGCTTTGATCGCAAGAAAGGGTGGTAAACTAGAATAAATCTTAAGTTCAGAATAGAAGAACAACCCCCATTTAAAAATAAAATAAAATAAAAATTGTCATTTTCCATTCGCGCAAGAAATTCACAGGAGCATATAAACCATATTAAGATCGTTTAAAAACCTAAGCGCAAACATTGTTTAATATTATCCCTCATATCATTCATAAATAAACATATATTGTAGTATATATCGGTATAAATTTATAAAGAAGAAATTTTCTGATTCACTAAAGCATTTCAATTAAAAATGGGCAACTGCATGCTAGCCTGTGCATGGACAGAAGATATACGCTATTTAATAGCCAGTATAATCTTAGATGGTTGGATGAAGTTGATCGCATTTTGTGACGTTTGTCATTTAAACTGCACGATACTAGTTTTCGACATCTTAATTTGTACCTGTTTCTCTTTCTCCCAGTGAAAGTGCCGAAACTGCGGTGACGGTGCAGTACCGGCAAAGAAAATAGAAATATCTCTAAGGGTGAAGGGACAAAGACCGCAATTTCGCTAATGGAACATTAAATTAGTATCCTTGAGTTTAATAAGAACAGCTATCCATAATATAATGTCTAAGATAAACACAAGGTCTGTTTCTGAAGTGTCAGAAGAACTGTTGACGTAACCATATTGCTAAGAAACTATTATTATTGGTTGTATCTAGTTCAAGAAATAACATCTATTTGATAAATATTGTACAATTCGTTCTTTTTAAAAAAGGGGAACAATGACTAGTTCTAATATTTTGCTGGATCATCAAGACGCCAAACAAGATGTAGAAAATAATACAAATTACATGGCTAGGACAACTAAGAGATGGGTTGAACCTGGTATGAGATTAAGCCCGAAACATTCAAACAACGGCGATTCTGTACATGAACCTGTTTTTGACGTCGAGGATTTTATTTCACCTGGCCAATTATATTCCACAGAATCTGGTTGTTTGTTCCATGCTGGTAGAATATTGATTGTGTTAGTAGGTTTACCTGCAACCTCTAAAACATTATTGTCGGTAGCTATAACTAGGTATACAAGATGGTTAGGTGTAAGAACCGAGTCCTTCCATTTATCCAAATATACCAAAGCGAATACAAATATCCCATCTTTCTTATCAGATGAATTTTCAACTGTAGCAGGAGCCGAATTTAAAGAAGAAATTATTAGTAAAGTGACTGAAGATATGATGAAGTTCTTTGATAACGGTAAGGGACAAATTGCAATATATGATGCACTAAATATCAGAAAGAGTGAAAGAGCTAACATTAAGAAAACTTTCGAAAAAAATAATGTAAAAGTACTTTTCGTTGAATCGATTGTCACTGACCCAAATCTAATAACCAAGAATATCGAATTAGCCATTCAATCGGAAGATTATAAAAGTTGGGGGAAACATGAAGCAATTAAGGATTATACAAAGAGAATTACAGAAAATGAATCCTTATATGAAAGAATGTCTCCAATAGAAGGTGTATCTTATATCAAATATTTGAATTTTGGTGAAAGAATTATAATGAATAACACGAATTATGGGTATCTTGTGAATAAGATCGTCTTCTTCCTAATGAATCTAAGCAATAAACAGGGTTGTGTTTATCTATCTAGATGTGGTAGAAGTAATTCAGATAAATATATAGATGATGAGGTTTTAAATGAAGAAGGGTTGAGATTTTCTAAGAAATTAACAAAAATAGTGATAGATAGAGTTAAAGAAAAAAGGTTAGAAAGGAAGGCTAAAGCGATGGAATTTAATAAAAACTCTAAAGATACATCAGTAACAGCAGACACCTCCGAGGAAAATAGTGAGAATCTAGAACCTAATTCATTGGCAGTATGGACTGCTGAAAGAAAAAGAACATACGATACAGCAATGTTTTTCAAGAAACATGGATTCGATGTACGAAAGAGATCACAATTAAAGCAATTACACCCTGGTGTAGTTGCTGATATGACATTTGATGAAATCGAAGAAAAGTATCCAAAGGAATACGAAGAATATTTAAGAGATCCCTATCATTATCGTTTCTCAAGGGCTGAATCGTATCATGATCTAGCTGTGAGAATGGAACCCTTATTGTTAGAATTAGAACATATGCATAACGATATATTGATTATTGCTCATGAGTCTACTTTAAGGGTATTATATGGTTATTTTATGGCATGTACAAGTTTAGAGGTTCCAACTATGGATTTTACCAGAAATCAGCTGGTTGAGATATCATTCAATCCATTCAACAATGTAGTGACACGAATCCCTATTGATATTTAATTAATCAATAATACTTACTATAACATAAGGGAAGGGAATATCGTTATTCTAACATGAAAAAAATGAAACTTTTTTTTTTCACACCTCCTCATTTATATTCTTATATCTAAAATAAACTAATTAAAAAATATCTATAATGAATTATTCTTCACGTCTGATATGTATTTGAGTGTTCAATAGTAGCTAATGAGATTAAAATACATAAACAAAGGTTAAATTAAGACACAGTAATTTTATCAATACAACATTTTATTACTACTTATCTAATATTGTATCGATAAAAATATGAACTAAACTATGTAGACGAGGATAATTGAAATATAAAGCATTACTTAATTTGTTATTAAAATTAAGTAAGAATGAAGTATTAAAAAAATGCAGAGAGTAATATATAAAGTGGGAAGAATAGAGAATATAATATAAACAAAAAGAGAAAAGAGAAAAAAAGAAAGAGAGAGAAAAGAAAGAGAAAAAATATGACGTAGAAAAGATATTATTAAAAAATGAGATTTTAAAAAAAGAGAGTTAGAGAAGAGAAAATGAGAGGAATATGCCTGCATAAATTCAAAAATTAGTCAATTACGACTAAACACATTGAGTCTATCAGCAGATATATTCAAAAAAATAAAAAAAAATGCAAAAATGTTGAAAAGAATAGAAAAAGGTTGTTTAGTTTTTTAAAAAGAAGAGAGAAAGCAAAAAAACCAAGTAGAATAACGTTTTAAAAATGAAACATATTCAAATCGAGACTAAAAAGACGATCATTTTGAAAGACGACTCTTTAAATTATTGTGATAATTGAAGCTTTTGCTGATTTCTTGCCCATCTTGCAACATCCTTGGTAGCTTGAGAAAAAGAAGGATTACTTCTTGTTTTCTTAATTAAGTCAGTGATAGCTTCTTGTCCATAGAATTGTTTGATGGAACCGTCAGATATCATTGATGCAATGTCACCAATTAAACCTACAGCAGATCTAGCAGTAGAATCTTCAGTATACAATTGTGGATCATCTGCAATTAAAGATATAAATTGGAAGATGGTGCCAACGTATGGATAGATAGCTTGTGGAGTGTCATGTAGTCCACCAACAATACCAACATATGCATCCAGGACAGCTTCTAAAACTCTGGTGTTATAGTCCATAGCATCCAAAGTACCATTTTCTGGTTTAGTATTTTGGGCGGCTACACATAGTGCCATAACATCCTGTAAATAAGGAACAAAATCAGGACCAATATTTGATGCAATATCACCAAAGACACTTAGGATAGCTGGTTTCAATTCCTTTCTTGAGCTTGGGTTAGATAAAATTTGACCCAAAACATTCATAAAAGAGCCAGCGTATTGTTTGAAATCCTCTTCTAGTGAGTTAGAAATATCAGCAATGAAACCGACTGCTGTGATAGCTACAGTAGATTCGACTTGGTTTAGAGCCTTCACTAAGAAAGGTGAAAATGCTTCCAAGTATTTTTGAAATTCTTTACCTAGAGACATCGATAGAGCAGAAATAGCAAAAAAGACATCATCTTCAATAAAAGACGCATCTTTCTTTTGTAATAATTTAATAAATAAATCCATTAGCATATCAGAAACACCTTGAATACTTTGAGGACTTTTTCTAATGACAGCAGCCAATACAGTCAGGATGTTTGATTGTAATTCTTGAAGACCTTGGGTGTCTTCTAAATTCAATTGTTCCTCATTGACAGCCATAGTTTGACCTAATTTATCCAAGACGTAAGTAGATATCGAGGCAGAAGTCTCAGCGACATCATCCGAAGAAAATTCTACCATAGTAGTTAACGCGGAAAACGCAGAAGCCCTAGCATTAAATTCATTGTCCGCTCTATTGGAACATTTAATTAAACCATCGACCAAAGCTGGATAATAATTATAAATTGGAGAAGGTTTCTCTTCGGTTAACTGTTCTGTCAAGTTGATTATTGTCCATGAACAGTTAGTGGCTACTTTTGGATGATCCTGAAGACCAGTCAAACATGCATTAATGACACCTGGGAGATGTTGTTGAGGATCGATAGCCAAGGCTGCCAAATCAGCAATTCTACCAATGCACCATGAAGCGGTATCTTTAACTTGCAACGTTTGATCATGCATTAAGTTTAGAATTGCGGGTAATGCTTGATGGACATAAAACGTAGTTTGAGTTTTATCTGGACCATCCATAATAGAACCGAAAGCCATCACTGCGGCTTCTCTATTTCTCCAATTTTCACTAGTAATATTTTGTTCAACAAATTCTAATACAGGCGCTAAGATACTATCTCCACAATTTTGAGCATATAATTGTAAACAAGCACCAGCAGACATTGCAACGTTCCAGTCATCATCTTCTGGGTCCTCATTTTGTCTAGTTAATAATTTTAATAAATTTGGTACAACATCCTTTAAGGACGACAAAGCAAAATTGTAACTTTGTAGAGGAGACTCTGGAAATTGAGAACGTTCATATGCTATATCAATTTCTTCTTCACAAACTGTAGACCAAAATTCAACAGTCATGGATGCAACTTTATCATCCTTAGATTCCATGGTTGCAACAGTCAAAGCATATAAGGCTTGTTCCATGTATGGTTTCATCAATGCATAATACAAAGACATGATTTTACATAAACAACCAAAGGATGCAGCTTGAATCTCGACGTCATCAGCTTGAGTTGCTTCACAAACAATTTGCATTAAATAGTTTCTTTCACCATCACGTTCCATATTGTTCTTAATAAAAATCAACGAATCGGCTAAAGCATTTAAAGCAGCCAATCTAACTGTCCTCGAAGGTTCTGTTGCTTGAGTACATTGAGCAATGGCGATTAAGATTTGGTTTGATGCAGATACTAAAGCTTGAGATTGTGGGTCTGCACTCTCACAAATATAACCGATGGTCAATAGAGCTGCTCTTCTACTGTTTTCACTTTGATTTGGACTAGTATGATCTACCATAATTTTCATAAGGTCTTGCCATTCATTTTGAGGCAATTCTATATCTGCAATGGCAGCAATCAATTGTGCTGACGCATTCGCTACACGAGGCTCACTTGAGGTCAAAGCCGCCAAAGCGTTTTGTTTGATCTGGGATCTTGATTCAAGGTCGATCTGTTGAGACCAACGTTGTGCGAATTGTGAATTTTTAATGGAATCCTTTGATATCAATTCGTTCTTCAAGTTCAATGCGGCCAGGATACGAGGCTCCACTCTTGAGTTTTCTTCAATCAGCACTTGAGATAGGAGGCCTGCATACTGAACGAAATTTTCATTTGAAAATCTTTTCAATTGAGTTTCACTTTCCAAACGGATATTTGCATCGGGACTCAGGATCGTGTTTTCTAACAATTGGGTGAATTCTGCAGTCGACATTTTTCAACTTTGGAAACTATATATTAGGGTATCAGTGTATATATTCGTTGCGGGAAATGATTGACTATTTAATGTTTAAATTCAATAAAATAGTGTTATAAAAGAGTGATGGAGAGGGAAAAAAATTGAAATAAAAAAAATTCGAGAATAACGTCTATCGTTCTCTTGATAAATTTATTGAGATTGTCACAGTTACTCAAAACATATAAATGCTGTATCGACTTATAAGTTTTAAACAAAAATACGATGTATTTTATTTTAGTTCAAAGTGTGTGTGACTTTTGTATCTTATTTTGAGAGAAGAACGAAAATAAAAAAAATAATTGAATATTCGCTAATAAGAAGAACGAAAAAAAATAAAAAATTTGACACTGTCACCCGGACACCTATTCATCACAATCTACGAAACGATGGCCACTGCACAAACTGGTACCAGCAGTAGCTGGACAATAATGATCAAATGTCGTAGTTTTTGGACAGGAAATACAAATATGTATATTATTATTAAATTATGAATCTTAAATAAGTAGTTAAAATAAGCAGGAAACAAAACGTAGATCTCCTTAGAAGTCTACCTTAATGATTATAAATATGACTCTAAGTGATGGAGCGTGTAATTGTTGTTGTTCCTTGCTTGTATGCAGAAATAATCGATATAAATGGAGAAAAGAAAGAGTGTGTCAACAGACTCAGTTTTCTTTCAATTCCTTTGGCATCCCAATTTTATGTTTTTTCAATTGTTCGATGGCAAAGAAGATTAGCATAGTGAACGGGCCTAGTCTTGTAAAACTTGGTAACCAACCTCTAAACATGAACGAAGGACCCTCGGTCTTGATGGCTGTTCTTAATATTTGCATAGCCGATCTATGTTCATCCTTAGCGTTCATGATTCTGGTCTTGATGACATCAGCTGGGGAGCAGATTGTGGTAGCGACTAGACCTGCCAATAACGAAGCGGAGAAATGTGTAGTATTTTGAGAAGGATCGAAATTCAATTGAGTCACCAGATAGTTTTTAAAGACGTCATAAGTGACGACTTGACTGGCAGTCATCAAAACACCTCTCACCATATTTGGTTTCCAACCAGTTAGCAAAGTCTTTAACCCACCTTCGTATCTATAAATCTTATAGACACCGTCCAATGCATTTCTATAATTTCTACGTTGAGCTAATTCCAAAGCCGAATCGTTTTGCATTCTAATGTTAACAACGTCTGCAAAATTTCCTACCAGACCACCAATTGCACCACTTACCATTGAACTTGGTAATAGATAGACCATGTTAGTCAATTGATCGTTTGGAATCAGTTTTTGTTTTATAAGATCGTACGCCCCGAATCTAGCTGTAGTGTAAGTACATTGTCTCAGCAGAGCTGCACTCAAACCGGAATATAGGCCTACGACACCTTCATGTTTCAATATCCCTGTCATCATTCCTCCAATGGTCGGTTTTGGTAATGTAGCAGCTTGTAATCTAACTTTCGCCAGATCCAACGGATGTGTAACGATTGTAGCAAAACATCCCGCGGCACCACCGTACCACCAAGGATATTTTATAGGTTGATTATTACTAGACATTGTATGTTTGTATGTTTGTATATGTATATGTATATGTGTGTGTGTGTATGTGTGTGGGTGTATGTATGAATACTTTATTACTGTTATTATGTAACTCCGTTATCAAGAATTGAAGAAAAAGAGACACATTTCATATTGCAAACTGATACGTCTTTATATATATACATCATCTCTTTCAACCTGAGAACAAAAGGAGATGAGAGGGGTTATTCCTCCCACTTAACACAACATAAGCTAATAGAATTGGGCAAACTCTACAGCATAAACGTCATGAAGTTACTCCAATGAATGCCTCATTCCAAGTGTAAATTACATTAAATTAGCAATAAATGACGTCTAACTCTCTCCTCTCACGCTCTCCTCTCTCTGCCTGCTCTGCCTGCGCTGCATCCCACGGACTGCGCAACTTTTTCCGGCCTCCCACCGCGCGTGACATCCCTTGACGGACTGAAAAACTTTTGGGCTCCGAGCTGTGTGTGTGTGTGTGTGTGCCGAACGGTACAGGTAGTCAGTCGGGTCTCTAATCAATTTCAGCATATCTCTTCTGGTAATTCTCTTTTCTTTTGGTGTTTGTTGTCATCATGCACTTTGCATCATTTGTATTTGAGGACGGATCTATCTCTATCTCTATCTCTATATTTGCCATTCAACATCTCCTCTCGCTGTGCTTCCCATTCGCCTGCTCTCCTCTTCACATACACACTTTTCCCCTGGCAGCTGTAACGCTGTAACTCGTTGCCCCTCTCTCACTCTTGCAATGAGCTTACTTGATTCCTAGACTACCCTGTCTCACTGTATTGTCGAGGAATAGAGGATGAATCACGATAAAATTTTAATTTTCACTAGAGGGTAACCGCTCTCGCTATTTTCTTCTTTTCTCAGCTGCGCTCTCTGTGCGTATTCTTTACGTTGAAATATTCGATAATCGCAACAAGAGCAACTAGATTATTTAATCATATTTTAGCAGGCACAATGCCAAATTCTTTGAGTCTTGCAAGTAAGTGAAAAAACATTTTGCTCTTTCAATCGATAACTATAGTCTTCTGAGTTTTCTGACAGATGCCTTCGTTAGTGAACGTGGTCTCTGCACAACAGCAAGAGTCGTATGAATTATATCAAGCCGTATCAAACACAAGTGACTCGGCAGATATCCTGCCAATAAAGGATCATCGACGCAGAAGATCCTCGAGTATCATATCGCTGGTGGAACAAGAATCGCTGGAAGATGATACAGACCAGCGAATGCTGCCAAATATGAACGCAACCTGGGTGGATCAACGAGGCGCATGGGTGATTCATCTTGTATTGATCGCAATGCTGAAACTATTCTACAATCTGATGCCTAGGATCACCAACGATATTGCGTGGACGATGACGAATGCGACTTATGTCATTGGCTCGTACGTGATGTTTCATATGATCAAAGGCACGCCCTTTGAGTTTAATGGTGGTGCTTATGATAATCTAACAATGTGGGAACAAATCGATAACGAAACTTTATACACGCCGGCGAGGAAGTTTTTGATTTTGGTACCAATTGGTTTATTCCTGGTAGTGACACAATTCTTGAAAAATAATTTGAAACTGTTTGCCATTAATTTATTTATAAGTTTTTTCTGTGGAATACTACCTAAATTACCATTGTTACATAGAATTAGAATTTATGTCCCATTTATAACAAACCCACATCAAATTAGTTAAATAATTATATAACATACTAATATATACATCATTAAAAATTATTCGAGCGGAGGTTTTCAGTTTTTAGATTCCTTTATTCTTGTAATGGTATCTGATTTATTAATTTAAAGTATGATATTGGATCAAATAATACGATGTTGTCAGCTGAATTAGCACACATTTATGAATTTACTCATGTTACAATATAGTTTCTACCGGGAATTACTCTATTTGTTACTGATGCATCAATCTAATTTAAAAATTTTGCCCTGTTTCGCGATGTAAAATATATATGTATGCTTTCTATATATAATACTTTGCTTTCTTAATTTCTACTTTAGATCAACCACTGACCATATCAAAAGAACAAATAGTTCTGACTTTAAAAAATTTAGCAAAAAGATATGACACAAGTAACGAAATATTACTCCCCCACAAGTAATTGTCGAACAATATCCAACCTGAATTAAAAAATAACGACAACTGCAGGATTTGAACCTGCGCGGGCAGAGCCCAAAAGATTTCTAATCTTTCGCCTTAACCACTCGGCCAAGTTGCCATATAACAATAAAAATATTAATGTTTTAAGCTTCTAATACTTAATACTAAACTAAATACCTCTGTTTATTCCAATTATTATTAGTACCAATCTTGTTCTCTAGATTGGTTAAAAGAATGTGGTAACAAAATTTCTTAAATATATTACTGAGTAATTTATAATACAAAACAAAATATGCAACATTATGAAACAAAACGACTTACATTTAAAAGAAAGGAATAACAAATATATTTTGCTTATTTTAACATTATAATTCAAGTTAAGTTTACACCTCTCTATCTGTCACTAAATATAATGAATAAATCAAGATCTAACTCTACCATGTATGTTATAGCTCACTCTGCTAAGAGCATTGATGTATAAGAAAAACTTTCGATGTGGAGCGAATAAACCAAATGTAGGGGAACCACAGTAGTCCATTATGAGTCATGTATTTAGTGAATTTTTTAGAGAAGTTGTACACTATAATATTTTTATACCTGTTTTATTTTTTTGAAACTTGCTATAACAAATGAAACATTCTCTTACATATTAGAACGAATTGGGAAGGAAAGCGATTATCATACTCAAAAATTCAAATACTGCTCCCTTGCAATTTCTGTTCCATGTTTGTTGAGATGTGTTATTAATTATAATATTGTATCTCTTTGAAGAAAAAGTAGTCAATAGGAGCTCAGTGATTTTGCAAAAAAATTGTAAGATCTCAGTGTAGTCTACAACAATGGCGTGCACATAAGTAGATATACAACTACCACTAGTGCCACCTCTTAAGTTATAAAGTAAAAAAGAGTTCCATCCACTCACATATAACTACTCTGATTGGATAATGGAACGTAAGTGAACCTTCAATAATTGATCACGATATAGTCATGTCCGACCATCTGTTTAATTTGTTAATTTCCATTCGAGGTAGAACACAAATCCAAGTAAGCATTTCTTAAAATGTCGATGTGGTTTACTTTCCATTTCATAATTAAGTCGTAATTTTTAGGTAATTATATAAGATACGCTTGTGTAAATATATATTCTATTTACTGACGTCAGGGTACACGTCAAATCTCCTTTGCTTGTACAAAGGAACAGACATTCTAAAATCATCAATAGCTTCTGGATTTAGTTCAGCATAAACAATCTCTTCGTCAATCCCAGCTTCAGCAATAATGTTACCTTTTGGATCAGCTATCAATGAATGGCCGTACGCATGATAATTACTCTCAGTATTTCTTGCTGGAGAGCAAAGAATAGTATACATTTGATTATCGACAGATCTGGCACGAGCCAATAGGTGCCAATGTACAGGCCCAGTGACCGTGTTGAAAGCACTTGGATAAATCATGGCAAATGAATTATATTTTCTAGCACTAATCATTGCCAATTCAGGGAATCTCATATCATAACAAATCCCGACACCTACATTACCAAAAGGTGTAGTCACTGTGGTTTCCTTTTCACCTGGGGATAGTGTAATGCTTTCTTTAAAAGTAATACCATTTGGAATATCGACATCAAATAAATGAACTTTACGGTGAGTATCAATCAATTCACCAGTTTCGTTAAATATTAACGCAGTATTGTATACTTTGTCAGTCTTTGGATCAATTTCAGGGATTGAACCGCCAAATAGGGTTATCTTATACTTAGCAGCTAGTTTTGATAAGAAAGAAACAGATTCAGATTCAGGTGAAATTATTTCAGCATACTCCCTAAATTTATCGACAGAGTAAGGGGAGTTGAAACATTCTGGCAGGACCACAATTTTGGTTTCAGGTTGTTCTACAAGTGCTTTATCGATGAATGTAGCCGCTCTTTCCAAGTTAGCTTTCTTGTTCGGGGACGACCCACTTAACTGGACTAGCGCAATCTTTATCTTTTGTGAAAGAATCTTAGACATATTTATGTTATTCCTTCAAAAACAAATCGAATTATTTATTGGTACTGTCTGACAAGTCTGATGCCTAACAATCGATGCACATAATATCAAAATATCCTCTTGAATTAGTCATTGATAAATAAATTCGTCATGGTTTAGTAATCATGTTACAGATTAACGATAAACCAACTGGAAAAAACAACAGATATTTACCCGGGAGTTAAAAAAAAATAAAACGGGCAGCAAAGAGCGAGCCGCACTTATAAACCCCCCATAAACCTTAATATGACGATGGATATTAAAGGAAATGCAGATGAGGAGCACCTAGAAACCAAAAGAATTTGTAAACTGAGTTCAGTGAAAGGAATCTAAATAAGTTATTACTCAAAGATATATACTGCTTGTACATATATTGACTAGATACAAGATTTATTTTAGGTGTATAGCTTTATAAAAGATTACAATTTCTAGAAAGAAAAACAGATCAGATCAGGCTTATTTGATTCGAGGGAGAATATTAGAAAATTTCATCACAATCAGTTTATTCTAAGTGTTGCAGTACTCTGATATATTTGGTTTTACTTTATATCAACTTCCAATAACTTTCGGCATGTCTGACATTAGTCACATACCAACAAATGTTCCTCCAGAAATCGTGTATGAAATATTGACATACCAATTTAGAGATTATATGAATAATGATCAACCAAGTACGTCTGAAAAGTTTAACGAAAATTTAAGAAATTTCATAAGAAGTAATTTAACGGTAAATAAGACGTTTTATCATATATGTAGAATATTGATTTACAAATATTGTAATCTTACTACAGCTAAAAGATTCCATAGTTTATTAAATACCATCTCTGACGAATCTGAGTTAAGAAATATTATCCAAGTGGCAGATTTCCAAGAATTAACCTCAATTGGGTTGGGAAGAACAGGGGAAATGAATAAACAGATCAAAAATTTGACTAATCATACTTTACTTAAATTTTTACGTTTGACGAAGGGGAATTTACGAGAATTTTTAGCGTGTGAACATATACAGGATGATTTAGATGATAAAATCATTCATTTTCTTTTAAAACCAGGGAAAGTTCTGAGTATATTAGATTTTTGTGGTTGTTCTGGTCCTAATTTTACAAAAAGTTTTATTTTAGCATTGAGGGAATTGTATGAACAATCATATTCTACTAATAGTAGTATGCAAAATTTAGTTGATGATGATAACATTTCGATTGCTTCATTTAGTACTATGAATTCCACAGATCTAAATGAAATAGAAGATGAGGATTTCCATTTTGCACCCGATGATATGAATTTAAATGTTACCCCTACAGAATGTAATTATCAAATTACTTGTCTAGGATTAAATGATTGCACAGATTTACCGAATTTTGTTCTTGGTAGACTGTTGAAATCATTGCCAGATTTACAGAAATTGGATCTGGCACGTACATCTATCGATGATAATATATTAATTAATGTACTCCCTCATTGGAAGAATTTAAGTCATTTATCTCTAGGTAACTGTTCCCAGATTACCCCAAGAGCAATTTTAGAATTTTTCAGTCATCATCCAGCTGTAACTGATGAAAATAATGAAACTACTTTGGAATGGTTGAATGTGGGGACCATCTCTAATTCTTCGTCATGGACCGAGGTTCATGTTATGTTTTTCTTGAAGAAACTTTGTCAGTTTGGGCATAACAAGACTTTAGAATATTTAAATATCAATGGGCTTCCTATTCATGTGGCTAATGAACTTATAAGACCACCATTATCAAGAGCCAGCTCTTCGGCACGTCTCTTGGGACATGACAACAGAACACATCTAGATAATAGAAACTACGAATCGGTGATAAAGACCAAGTATTATTACCAATGTAACGATACATTGACATTCATCAAGTTAAATTTCCCCAAATTGAAAAGTTTAAGTATAAGGAGTAATAACATCCCTATTCCAAAACTTGTGGAATTTTTGACACCAATGAGTTCGTCAGATGCCTCCTTAGAAGTATTTAAAGATTTGAAAACCCATCAGAAAATCAAGTTTTTAAATATTTCAAACAACACATATATTAACAAATGGAGTATTCAGGATACATCTATTGTTTCATGTTCTGATAGCCTCGTAGCATTAGAAGTGTCATTTGAAGCTTGGCAACAGATCGAAAAATCTAACAATGGTGGAGACATAACAATTATGAAATATGATCACGAAACCAACCAAAATACTACTACAAAATGGAAATGTTACCTAGATTTGTCGTATGGTAGAAGATATTGGCTGTATAAGACCGATAAATATTTGAATCGTGAGGATATATATTCTACGCAGACCAATTTAACGAGATTTGATTCACAAGGTAATAAAATTATTGAAATCTTCAAGCAACCAGACTTTTTGAAATTTGCACAAAGTAAAATCAGTTTAAGTTGTGGCTTAGTAACGAAGAGTAGTTACAGAAGAAAGCATTGTTACAGAGATATCAAGCCTCCTATTTCTCAATTTCTGACAAGAAATGGCGGTATTGCTTTCGGTAACACATTTACACCTATTGTAAGGCCTCCTTTGCCTTCTGGTGGATGGAGAATAATGCCAGAGGATGATCCTGAGAATGAAGATGGAAGTGAAGACGACACGTTGAGTACTGAAAACAACACAACATTGGTCAGTGATTATGATAATGATGATCCATTCTCAGATGATAATATCGTGACTGCTGCAACCCGTCCTAACATGAACCATCATGAATCCTCAGGTAACGCGTTATTCTGGGATAGGTCGATGCATGATATTCCAACTATGGCTCGAATGGCAGCAGATGGTGCCTTACCCAACGGAGTGAGACCCGCCGTTATACCTCCGAGACCTCAGTTAAATAGACCACTAGTGACACCGTTGGGTATCTCACAAACAATCGACCCCGCAAGTGTGTATGATGCAGGTGAGAGCAATGATGAATATTTAAACAACCCTGAATTGCAGAGAAGACGTTCTCAATTACAATTAGGATTTACTAGAGGACATATATATGATAATACGTCGAACTCAAGCCGTCGAAATAGAACTACAAACGGTGCACAACTGCATCCGACACCTTCGGCAGCTAACCTTAAATGGAGCAACAGCATGCCGAACGGTGTCACATCAACTGCACCTAGCATGGCACAGCCAAGAAGACCGAGCGATTATTACTACAGCCATCCTGACGAGTTTGTATATGATCCAACAGACGACATTACTACTCTTAGATACCGTTTACACTTAGCACAAGTTCAAGAATACAGAACATTTGGCTGTATCGAACGAGGAATGTACCGTTACTACAGTTTAAAGATGTGATTCTACCGAGGATATGCTGGGCAGTCACTATTGGTATTATTGGCATCGCTGTTAGTTTTGTTTTTGGTTTGGGCTCTTTTTCTCACGTTTTTTCGTGCTGGTTTTGTTCCGCGCAATTTGGGGAGAAATGTAAACAAACCATGACGCTGATAATGTAAACAAAGCTGGTGAACATAGAATTCAGTCTACAGTCTGTAGAGGGAAGACATCTTTCACAGACCCCATACCAGGCAAACAGCAACTATTTGCAAAATTTTACGTGTGTTGGAGGAGTCGAGGAACAGCCAGGCGATACTTATCTTGGTGGTTTTTAGCAATTAATTAATCAATTAATATTTTTTGGCTGGTTAAGCTATAAGGCAATAGATTACAAAGTTTCTTTTGTCTCTCGAGATAATATCAACGTAAGCATTGACTACTTCTTCATCCAACATACTTCGTGCATCTACATGTATATCATTGCATTAAACATAAAAGTCATATACAAGTTTAATATAAGAACATAATTCATACATCAATATATATATATAACCAATACAAACTTCCAAATAGAAAGAAAAAAGAAGATTATTGAACGTCAGAGAGTTTGTTCTATAAATAAAACTTGAAGAGAGAAAAACGACGATTATCAGAATTGATTGAAAGTAAGAAGGGGATAATAATAATAATAAGGAGATGTCGTCAGACACATCATCACAAACCCGAACTACAAAACGGGACGTAAGGCATTCCTTCTTCATTGATGATACAGTAAACGATTCGACTCATAACAACAATGGACAAGAAAATAATAATAATAACAACAATCTTCAGCAAGATTCGTTTGCTGTTTATATAGATAGATCATTTATGGGGACAACACCAAGACAAGCAGAGTATAGCAGTATACGAACTTCAAGTATAGATACAGCAGATAGCAGCAACTCGAATGATAGAAGTGATAAGATGGATGAAAAGGAAGAGTCCCAAAGCTCTGAAAGAAATTCTAATAAGGTGCCAAACTTGATAGGCACTGCAATTACACAAGAGCCAAATCCTATAATACGACATGACCGAGCCAATTTAAATAATCAAGGAGAATTACCAAAATCAGATGATTCACAGGCTACCCAGGGTACTGGTATACTTGAACAACCACTTGAATCTGGAAGCCCCCAGCGTTCCCAAGGACATAATAGTGATCATACTGTCTCTACTACAGCACTAGATGATGCTACTGATGAAATTCATCGCAATTCAATTCTTCATGAAAGTGATATAAATTTTGATACCCATGATCCACAATATAGTAGTACACCAATACGGCATGATCGACCTCTAGTTGATCATCAGAATAAGACACATTCGTCATTGTTCCAATATGATGAAACCATTGAGCCAGATATTGAGGAAGCAGTTAAATTATTGAAAAAAGAGATGAAAGTGGACCAAACCAAAGTGAATCATGTAAAATCTCAAGCTCGCCAATCTGTTGATAATTATAGTTTTCTTCAAGGAGATACCAGTCGATATTCTGTGGAGTTTCATCCACAAGTGTTTCATATGATTTCAAAAAGTTCTTCGAGTCAAGGAAGTAGCATACCACATCAACGTCCAGTGTCGCAAATCATGCATTCCCCAAGAAGTCCCTCACTGATCAATAAATTCATTGTGAATCAAGTACTCGAACAAGATACCCAAGGTTCACCTTTAAAACAAGATCCCGTAATGGTTCCCCTATGGAATAGTCCCTTGACTCGAAATACCACTGCCGCGAATAATAACCGCAACATTAATCGACTTAGTAATGGTGGGATTGTTGGGCTTCCAAAGATTCCCATTTTACGTCGAGTTTCGGGGCCTAGTAAATGGGCTCGTACAGATATAGATACCGACCGTAGCAGTCCTGGGCATTTTTCTGCATTTGAGCCTCGTAGTCCATTGCAAAGATTATATCAAACATCATTACACGAAGATACTGATCAAGCTGAGATGATGGGCTCGAACCCAACCTTATTAGAGATGCCAGATCTCGAGGCTCATCCACATATACCTCATGTCCCACACCCAGAAAATAGCCACCATTCCCCATCCCTTCCAGATATTAATGCAGGCTCTGAGATCCCACAACAAAGGATCAATAATTCATCGGTAGAATCATTTGATTCGGAAAAACTTGAATTTAAAGATATTTATTCCATAAGACGAATAATGATAACAATTTCCTTGTGTATAATATGTCCTGTGATTTTTTTTATGATTGGTGTCGGATCTCGTGCAGGTATTAATGATTATCGTATAATGAAGATGATTCTCAATGATGAACATCGAATTGGATTATTGAAGGGATTCATATGGGATGTTAAAGTGAATTGGTTCCGTCATTTATGTTTGATGTTAGGAATCATAGAATTACTTGTAGTGGCTGCATGTATTGGTATTGGGTTTGGAGTTGGATTACACACATGAGACAATTTCTTAGAAGATAAATTATAGACAATTTCTTTTTACATAAATAATATTCATACATATAAAGAATTAATAAGTGAAGAACAATATTAATTGTAAGAAAATAACATTCGTTAAACAATAATGTATTTTTATAGTAAATAATAACTAATATATATATATTTATTTTGTTCGTTATTTTATGTTTATTTGAATTTATATTTATTTCATTTATCAAAAAGGAATCGTTATGATCATCATATTAGAGTGAAAGGATAGCAAACAAGAAGAAGATTTATTGCTTAAGCAGAAACTTTCTTTTCGATCATTTCAAACAAAGTAACGATATCAGCAGAGAACTTTCTGATACCTTCGGCCAACTTTTCAGTACCCATAGCGTCATCATTCAAATCGAATCTGAACTTAGATTCGTCGGAGATATAAGAGATCTTAGCATCACCTTGCTTCTTAGCTTCTTCTGGAGACAACTTTCTTGGTACAGCGGCATCACTGTTCAACAGTTTTTCCAATAGAGCAGGGGAGATGGTCAAGTAGTCGACACCAGCAAGGGCTTCGATTTCATCTGTATTTCTGAAGGAAGCACCCATGACGATGGTGTTGTAGCCGTGCTTCTTGTAGTAGTTGTAGATTCTCTTGACGGAGATCACACCTGGGTCGGTTTCCCCAGTGTATTCTTCGCCAGTCTTAGCAGCATACCAGTCCTTGATTCTACCGACGAAAGGAGAGATCAAAGTGACACCGGCTTCGGCACAGGCAACGGCTTGAGAGAAAGCGAACAGCAGGGTCAAGTTACAGTGGATACCGTATTCGGCTTCTAGGACCTTGGCAGCTTGGATACCTTCCCAGGTGGAAGCAATCTTAATCAGGACACGTTCTTTGGAGATACCGACGGCTTCGTACAGACTAATGATGTGCTTGGCCTTTTCAATGGTGGCCTTGGTGTCAAAGGACAATCTAGCGTCGACTTCGGTGGAGACTCTACCTGGGACGATCTTCAAGATTTCAGAACCGAACTCGACTAGCAACTTATCGACAGCAGCTTCAGTCTTTTCAGCAGTGGTCTTACCGTGGGCCTTACCAAACTTAACGGCGTTATCGATCAAATGAGCGTAAGTTGGAATCTTGGAGGCAGCCAGGATCAAGGAAGGGTTGGTGGTAGCGTCTTGTGGTTGATACTTGGCGATGGATTCAAAATCACCGGTATCAGAGACGACGACGGTACCTGAAGCCTTTAGTTGAGCTAAGGCGTTGTTAGCGATCTTTTGTTTCTTGGAAGCTGGTTCACCCATTGTAAAAATATGTATATGTGTATGTGTAAGTGTGTGTGTACGTATCTGTTTGTAATAGATATAATACTGTAGATATATATATAGATAATAAGAAGCTAGTACACAAGACAAACAAAATCTAAAACAAGTGGGAAAAACATTGAAAGAAGATCAGATCATTTACCTGTTTCTTATATATGTAGAACATGAAAGTGAAAAATTCAAAAGAACCTTGCCCCTGACAAGAGCAAAAAAGAAAAAAAGAATGAAGTAATGCATTAGTAAAAGAACTAAAGAAAGGGTGGTAACGACGATTTCCTAAACTGTTCATAAATTAAATTAACTGAATAATGAATATAATTTGTTCCATGAATTCATAATATTAAGTGGAAGCCCAGCGTGTTTCTTGTAATGTCGTTGTTGGTTGTTGGTTGTTGTTCTTTTGTTACTTTACCCTTATAGCGACGGTTGTGTAAGCAGCGCCGGATGGGTACGTAATCTGTGAATTTTTCAGTTTTGGTTAACACCGCCAGGAAATGGCGAGTTACTGAGTGACTCACGCAGAGGGAGAGGGGAGGCGGCGGTGTTAAGTGGGTTGTCGTATCTAATTTGGGCGAAACGCGGCCGGTTTTTGTGTTCCGCTCGGTGTGGCCTGCTTTTTCTGACTTTGGCGGTGCTACAAGGGATTCGGGAGACGCGGAGACGCGGAAAGAAAAGTGTGTGTCACGTGGGCCGAAACCCCGTGGGTGAGGGTAACGGTGAGCAGATTATGTTGTGCGTAAGCGAGACGAGTGGGACATGGAGGTGTGGAAGGTGGGTTGGCTGAGCCATGAATGGCATATAACGAGATGTAAATCATTTGGGTATTGAAATTTGCAATATATTACTAATTTTGATCAGAGGTATTCGAGATTGAAGAGGGGTCCAGGGTATGTTACGTCAGGTGGGGGTAATGTTGTAGAATTTATTTATTTTAATGTTTTTTATGTTTTGTTTACAAATGACAGCAAATCATGACAATTAGGTAAGACTGGCAAAACTGTATAATTTTGAATATGTTAAAAAAAGATATAGTGTCGTTTTTATTTGTCATAGAGAGGATGCTTGCAAACCTTGTCACAATGTCTAACAGTAGCTTGTGATGTCCTTAGATACAGCACATCCTTGCATCCATATCCAGCAAAGATGTACAAGTATAGCAAAGGATAACACATAGAATGGAAAGTGACACAGTACAACCAATCTGGTAATTGATGTGTAGAGCACTTATCAAAAACAAATGTCATTACATAATGTGGATTGCTTTTTAGTTTGAATTCGTCATTGGTCCATTTGCTAATTTTAATGATGGGGTCTCTCGTCGTGGACTTCTTGTCTTTCTAAATCCCTAATCTAAGTCAATTCTTCAAGGGTTAATTTTGCGCAAGTCGAACCATTTTGGGTAGTCTTATGAGATAGCTAACTTTTTCTCTCTGTCTTTGGTCCTTCAAACATTATATGCTTCTTTTATAGCCTCACTTCTGTAGCGATAACAGAGTTTAATATATACATCAATGGTACATGACCAGTTACATTGTGCTGAACAGTCTGCCACCATGTATGTTGATCCCGTAATAAAAACAGTATCACCTCGATAATATGTTTCAAGGAATACACACTTTTAAATGTTGTGGGTGATGTTCATCAATCGACGCTCTCCGCTGTCCAAATAATTCAACCTGTGACAGGGTTTGTCTCGCTTTACATCGTTCCAGTTCCAAAACGGCAATTGTTTGTCTACCTGTACCCAACTCACCATAATCAACCCTCAATGAATAAAATTCCTTGGACAAACACCGTTAAAATAGCAGTGCAACATAATGATACCTTCTAGGGTAGATTCGGAGTTTATCAGTATCTCTAGTTGTTCCACAACAATACAAATCATAATAAGACAGATAATAACTATGAATCTTTGGCAGGGATGTAATAGGTTACATGTGGCTATGGAGTGTTCATTATTACAATGTCATCTTTTATGAAGTGATACTTTGTTGAAGATATTGAATTTATACTAAATTCAGGTAGTGCACTCATGTTTGAATATCAATACACTACATATATCAAACCAAGCAATAAAATAGGGTAAAGCGATGAGCCAGCTTATGTATTTTCATACTTTTAGAAATATAATAATAAGTAAAAGAAAAGAAATTTCGTGGTGACAGTTGTTCAGTAAAACTATACATTCGAGTACATAGGAATTTTATAAACATGTTGTTGTGTAAATGATATATTGAGTGAGTCTTGATATAATAGGAAGAAGATCACTAGTGATAGTCGTCCTATTAATCGAAACAATGAAAAGCAAAATTTTTCTATTGTTCTACACAAATTATCAAAGTGTAGAAACTTAAAATGCTTTAGTAGGGGGTTATTTTTGTCGATGTGCTAATAATAAATTAGATGTCAATTCAATTGACTTCAGAATATTGATAAAAAATAGTTGTATTGCCGTTGTTTATAGTAGAAAACAAACAAACAAACATAAATAAAGGAGAGAAAGAAGAAACTTTAATAGATATTACTCAATTTATTTGTTTTCTGGTCTTAGCTTTCTAACTTCCTTACCGACCTTCCAGATCTCCATGGATCTGATGGTTTGTAGTTCACCTTCAAGCTTTTCTCTGTAGTCTGGTTGAGAGTTGAATTCTAGAGATCTCTTAGTTTCGGAACCGTTCTTAACAGAAGCGTATAGATCTTGGAAGACAGGCTTCAAAGCATCCTTGAAGATTGGGTACCAATCCAAAGCACCTCTTCTGGCAGTGGTGGAACAAGCATCGTACATGTAGTCCATACCGTACTTACCAACCAATGGGTATAGGGATTGGGTAGCTTCTTCGACGGTTTCGTTGAAGGCTTCGGATGGGGAGTGACCGTTTTCTCTTAGGACATCGTATTGAGCCAAGAACATACCGTGGATACCACCCATTAGACAACCTCTTTCACCGTATAGATCGGAGTTAACTTCTTTTTCAAAGGTAGTTTGGTAAACGTAACCGGAACCAATGGCAACGGCTAGAGCTTGAGCCTTTTCATGAGCCTTACCGGAAACATCGTTCCAGACAGCGTAAGAGGAGTTAATACCACGACCTTCCTTGAATAAGGATCTGACGGTTCTACCGGAACCCTTTGGAGCGACAAGGATAACATCTAGATCCTTTGGAGGTTCGACGTGAGTCAAGTCCTTGAAGACAGGAGAGAAACCATGAGAGAAGTATAGAGTCTTACCCTTTGTTAGTAAAGGCTTCAAAGAACTCCAAGTTTCGGATTGGGCAGCGTCGGACAACAAGTTCATGACGTAAGTACCCTTCTTGACGGCTTCTTCGACAGTGAACAAGTTTTCACCTGGAACCCACCCATCTTCAATGGCAGCCTTCCAGGAGGCACCGTTCTTTCTAACACCAATGACGACGTTTAGACCGTTGTCTCTCAAGTTTAGACCTTGGCCGTAACCTTGAGACCCGTAACCGATCAAAGAAAAAGTGTCGTTCTTGAAGTATTCCAACAACTTTTCTCTTGGCCAGTCGGCTCTTTCGTAGACAGTTTCAGTGGTACCACCGAAGTTAATATGTTTAATACCACGAGAAGAAATGATTGGGGTAGCGACTTGCATGGTCTTAGCAGACAAAGTTGGTCTGACGGTAGCTTTAGTACCGGCGACGACAGCAGCACGAGAGGCTAGAGCGAAGGATCTCTTAGCGGTAACTCTAGAGTTATTTAGTAGTTGTCTGGCAGCTTGAGTTCTCAACATTGTATGTTATTTTGTTGTCTTTCAATATATAATTGATTGATTGGTTGGATGGTTATATATAGGAAGTATATATTAAGTAAATTCTAGAGACGAAATATATAATAGAAGGATATGATTTGAAGAGAAAAGAAGTTATACCAAGAAGACAGGAAAGGGGAGTCCTTTATATAGTAATTGAGAGAGAAAAAACAATAGTAATTAATTAATTAATTTTCCAAAATGAAAAAAAACAAAAAAAGAACAGAGAAGCCAGAGAACGAAGGGACGAACTGAAATGAATCTAGTGTGAGTAACATCAGAACGAACCAAACAAGAACACTATAATAAAGGAATTAATTGATAGATGATGATGATGATGATGATGATGATGATTCATAGATTTAAGATGTTAATTAAAACGACAAGAGTCCACACAACAGCAGTCAAAGCAGAGAGCCTTTCTTGTTCTAAGTGTGTTCCCCGTAAACGGATCACATAATCAGTCTATAATTTGAAATTTTTCACTTTCGCAGCACGCTGTGAAAAACACAGCGAAACTATTTGTCGCAGCGATGAAACAGGTTGTGTGCTGCGTGTGACTAATTAGTTTTTATCAATTTTCTTCGCGGCGTGGGAGCGATGGGCGCCGTGACAGGAGCTCTGGATGGCTCTCCGCAGCACAGAAGCGCTCTGGACCGGGCCGTTCCATTGCTGGGCAGAAGCGACGGTGACGGTGGCGGCGACCGTTTCCGCTGTCGGCAGCAGGCGACATGTCACGTGGACGGGATTGCTATGTTGCAAGGGAAGTTAGTTGGAGGGGGAGGCGGGTTCTCTCCCATTCCGTTTGTGAGTTGATATCGCGTATGATTCATTCACCACATATATATTTTACAAGGGAAGGGAAGAGATGAGTCTTTTTACCTCATGTATATGTTTTCTTGGATCAAAGGTGGTGGCGATCCCAAACAGTAGAGTTATAATATATTCACAATGTCTGTCTGTTTAGCTGTCACTAAAGGTGTTGCTGTGACTTCACTAGGCTTATATGCCGGTATTCTAACTTGTGGTACAGTATTATGCTATTCGTCTCCTGTCCATGCCATTTTATCTTCATTAGATATCGTATCCCAGACTCATTTGAAAGCTATTATTAATAATGTCGCTACTACATCCGGTGTCTTAGGTTTTATCAGCTCGGCAAGTTTTGCTGTATCATACTTTGGGTTACCAAAAATTTGGAAACATCCTTATTTAATCTACGGTATGATCGTGCCACCGCTGGTCTCAACGTATCTATGCATATATAGAGCAAGCTGGACTCATCGAACCCTGCTATCAGATGAGGAGAACGATTCAACATCCATTAAGATGGAGGATTTGGATAACTCAACCGTAGATCTGGGTAAGACAAGCACCGAAAATTTGAAGTATATCAAGTCGGTATGCAAAAAGATCGGTATTCATTTGTCTGTCGCATCCGTAGTTAGCACTCTAGGTTTATTACAATCTGTCATAGGCATATACGGTGAAGGACAGTTTTAATTACTTTAATATTCTCTTATGTAAATAAATAAATAATTGTTGTTGTTGTTGTACCCTTATTTTGCTGTTTGTGTGTCTATGCCTACAAACACCCCTCTGGCACGTGATTCCGAGTTTGCTCTTCTGTGCTTGTTTGCATAAACGCCACGTACAAATGGCGCTTTGTGGAAAATGAACGACGAAATTTTTTCTGTTTGGTGTGATTTCCCTCTCTCTCATCGCGTTGAAACTTTTCAGTAAATTTTTCAGTGAATTTTCAATATTTTGGCTTCGAATCTACATGTATCAACGGATCCTTTTATGAGTCTCTTCTACACTACTTACAACTATATATAGTTTACCCGTTCTATATAGTAATCTACTTAGAGAACATCTATATATACCCACTAGACTACTATCTCAATAGGCATTCCTCCCTGTACATTTTTTGCATACCTATTACTATTTCTTATTGTCATTGTCATGTCCTCTCAGTTCTTCCTAAAGACCAACAAGGATATCGAGCTGTTCCAAGGCTACCCGGAGTTCAACGAATGCAACCACACCTCCAAAGTGTCCCAGGTGATCAGCTCCGTGGTGTCCCCATGTGGTAGATTCCTAGCACTGTCCACAAAGGAAGCCGTCCAGGTGTTCTGCGGTGCAAACTTCGAGACCTTGCTGCTAGAGGCTAAGATTCTGGACGTGTACGATATCAAGTTCTCCCCATCGGGTAATTTCCTGAACACCTGGGAAAGGCCTTTGACTTCGGACCCGGAACATAAGAACGTCAAGATTTGGTTCCTTAATCAGGAGATCCCCGATGCGACTAAGGTGGAACCAGTGTACGACTATAAGTATAAATCTCAAAGCAACTGGTCTTTGCAATACTCCAAACTAGATAACTTCGCTATGAAATTGTTCTCTAAAGATCTAAGAATTGTGAAATTGTCTATGAAGGAACCAAATTTTGATTTCAACAAACCTTTTGCCACTTTGAGTTTAGACCAGGATCAAAATGACCAGAATAGAAAATTCACTACATATTTGGTCTCCCCATCAGAACATCCTACCATTTGTACTTTCATGCCTGAAAAATCCGGGAAACCTGCTCAATTGACCATTTGGCCTATCCTCGAAGGGAAAATCACGAAGAAGATCGCCACGAAATCGTTTTTCAAAGCCGATTCTTGTCAATTGAAATGGAACTCCCAAGGTAATGCCATCCTATGTCTTGCCATCACCGATTTCGATTCGCAAAATAAATCCTATTACGGTGAAAACACTCTGTATTTACTATCGTTCCAAGGGGTTAACGGTACTTTGGGTGGTAACTCTGTACGTGTCCCACTTGCAAATGGACCTGTCCATGATTTCACATGGTCTCCAACCTCCAGACAATTCGGTGTTATTGCGGGCTATATGCCAGCCACTGTAGCATTCTTCGACATGAGAGGTAACATTGTTCATTCCTTGGACAATCAATCAAAGAACACAATGTTGTTTTCACCATCGGGAAACTATATCCTGATTGGTGGCTTTGGTAATCTACAAGGTGCCGTGGAGATTCTAGATCGTCATAACAAATTCAAATCCGTCGCGAAGTTCAACGCCACGAATACATCTGTATGCATGTGGTCTCCAGGTGGTGAATTCATTATGACTGCTACTACATCCCCAAGATTAAGAGTTGATAATGCAGTTAAAGTATGGCATGTATCTGGTAACCTGGTATTTGTGAAGGAATTCAAGGAATTGTTGAAGGTTGACTGGAGATCCCCAATCAAAGTAAAGACTTACACAAATTCACATGTCGCCAAAGAGATGACCATAGATCAAGACACCGAGACAGCTGCGTTGGATCCTAAGTTGAACAAATCTCAGTTATCCATACATAAGAGTGTTTCTGAGTTTGCTGCAGCTCATCCTCAACAAGCTGCTAATCACTCCAGTGCCAATGCAGGTAAAGGTTCTGCTAGTAAACCAGCCGGAGCTTACAAACCACCACACGCAAGAAGAGCAGGTGGATCTGCAGGTGGCTCATCTGTACCAGGTATGACTAGAACTGTCCCGGGCATGGCCAATAAACCAATTCCAGGTGCCTCAGGTAACACCAAGACCACCAGTAGAAGAAGAAAGGCTAAAACTCCAGACAACACCGACACCGGCTCCTCAAACAACAGTGTACCATCTTCATCCAGCTCCGAGGCCTCCCCAGAAGAGAAGAAGATGAGGTCATTGCTAAAGAAGCTAAGATCAATCGAGACTTTGAAACAAAGACAAATAAACGGTGACAAACTGGAAGACACTCAGGTCCTTAAAATCAGCACTGAGGCTAAAGTGGTAGCTGACTTGAAGACCCTAGGCTGGAGTGAATCTGATGCTTAACCTCCCACATCTGTTAAAGCACATTCACCGCCACCACCACGGACGGCCCCTAACCTGTCGTGGTTTATTTCATTATATATAATCTCATCCTATATAGATAGCACCAACCTTCTCTTTAAATAAATTAGTGATCGCATGAGGGTAACCCGCCTCTTTCTCTTCTTTTCTTCGCTCTGAAAAATTAAAAATTAAAAAATGACGAGCAGCAAGAAAGAAGAAAAAAATAGACGAAAAAACTTGTTATTGTAGAGACAAATTCAAAAAACAAAGTTAGGATATCTCCTTTGTTGACAAAAGTACTGGCACTGGCGTCACATGGATGGATAAGGAAATAGCCTAGAAGAAGTAAGACATACAATAAACAGTCTCAAACTATATATAGCAAAAGAGATTAAACAGCGGCTAGGTATAGAGTTATTACCACATATTATAGAATAATTTATATTTATTTTTTGCATTAGACAAAAAACATACTACAGTTAAGAATCAACACACACACACATATATATATATACAAAGAGCGAATAGATTAAACTATGTCGAACGAATTAGATTTGCTGCATGAGAGAGTGAAGAACGAGTTTAAGAAGCTGTTCACATTGAAGGATGCGATTACGGGTCTCGAGCTCTCTCCTGTGTTCAACACTTTACCACAGAAAAAGGACTACCCTGACTACTATGTTATAATCACAAATCCAGTATCATTTAATACACTTAGAAAGAGAATACCTAATTATACCGATGCTGTGGAGTTTATGAACGATGTGGCAAGGATCCCTTGGAATGCAAAGACTTATAATGCGAAGAATTCTGAGATTTATAGATATGCCCTGGTCCTGGAAGATTATTTAGAGAATACATTATTGAAAAATTTACAACAATTTTATCCTAATTTAACATATCCTGATTTAGGCCCTTTACCTGATGAAAAAAATGTGAGTACGAAACAAATGGAAGAAACAAAAATAAACGACGATAATCAAATACAGAAAAAAATTCATGTGACATATAAGATGCCAACAGAAGAAAAGAAAGATGAGAAAGAACCACCAGCACCCGAGATAGATAATCAACAAAAGAGTGAATATACACCTACTCACGTACCAAACCCCACACCAATAAAACCTATGCAAGAAGAAAAAATAATGCCACAAACCGTAATACCATTACCTACTCAAATCACACCTGCCGGTGTGGAATCCACAACTCCTGTTAATACCAATACTAGTAATTCCACTATATACGATATGACACCTGTACAAGCCACAGCTACTACTGTTAATAATAACAATTCGCTTGTGCCAACGATCACAAGTAAAGAGACAACACCTGTCTCAAGGAATATGTCCACAACTCCTCAGAGGACCACTCTCAGTGCCTCAAGTTATAACAATAATAAAGTTCCATCTACAGGGAGTAAAAAGACTCATATAAGGCGTGGTAGACCTCCAATCATTGATTTACCTTATATTCAAAGAATGAAAAATATATTAAAGGTGTTGAAAAGAGAATTGGATCCATCTGGTTCTAAGAAAGGTATATTAGCTCAATTTGAAAAATTACCTGATAGAAATAAAATGGCTGATTACTACACAATAGTGCTAAACCCAATCTGTATTGATGATATGTGGAAAAAGATAAAGACGAGAAGATACAAAAATTTCAATGAATTTCAAGTAGATTTCCAATTACTTCTTGATAATTTTAAAATATACTATAGTACAGTTCGTGAAATACAAGGGTTGAACACAATATCAGTCCTTGAGAAGACCTTTAGAATGGTGTCGGATGTTGAATTAGCAAAACCTGATAGTGATTATATCCCAGAAGGTGAATTTAGATATCCTATTGATGAAATTATCACGGATGGAAAAACATATTGTATAGGTGACTGGGTATTTCTAAATAATCCAAATGATCCTAACAAACCTATTGTTGGACAAATTTTTAAATTGTGGAGTACTCCGGATGGAAAGAAATGGTTGAATGCATGTTGGTATTTTAGACCCGAACAAACTGTTCATAGAGCTGATAGATTATTCTATAAGAATGAAGTTATGAAGACTGGTCAATACAGAGATCACCCTATTGAAGACATCAGAGGTAAATGCTTTGTGGTTCATTTCACCAGATTCCAAAGAAGCGATCCTATCATTAATTTAGAAGGTCCACTCTTTATTTGTGAATTCAGATATAATGAAAACGATAAAATATTCAATAAGATCAGAACTTGGAAAGCTTGTTTACCAGAGGAGATTCGTGATATCGAAGATCAAAATATCCCTGTCAATGGTAGAAAATTCTTTAAATATCCTTCACCAATTAAACATCTATTACCACCAAGTGCCACATTTGATGATCCTATCCCAGAACCACGCCGTGGATTACCAAATGCTCCACCATTAGTGGGTGCCGTCTACATTAGACCTAAGGTTCCAAGAGATGATCTTGGTGAATATGCAACATCTGATGAATGTCCGCGTTATGTGATAAGACCAGGTGATCCTCAAGAGGATGGTCAAATCGATTATATTAATGGTACAATCTTAACGAACTCATCGACTCATGGTTCAACAATTCCAAGGAGGGTAGATTCATCATCTAGTTTGAATATTGGTAACAATGCCAGTCCCGTTCCTAGCGGCCCTCATCCCAAATATATTTCAAATGCTGATAAAATGAGAGATACAATGAAAATTGATCATACCAAGATGCAAGAGCAAGCTATACCTAAAGTTCCTATCAATAAGGGTAACATACCGTATAACTCTAATTATCAATCTATGAATCAACAAGCTGGGTTTGACGGTAACAATATGAATATAAATATGGTCGATCAAATACCATTGAATATGATACCTAACGTGAATTCTAGAGGAAGTATCAGTACCAACCAAGTTCCTTACAAAAGTGTCTCTAAAGCTGGTTCAAGATTAGTAGAAAATAATGATATCAAACCTATGATAACAAAACAACAACAGAAAGTACAAACAAGTAAATCTATTGCATCTCTATTACAAATCTTACAGACTAAAAACTCAGTATCACAAGTGATGGTCGATGCACCAAATACGTACACGTTACCCTCAGATGTGATCCAACGGGATCCGTATGTCTATGCAGTTGATCACGGAAGCATCTCTAGACGTTACACCAAACAAGATATTGCATTGAGACATCGTCTAAACACCAAGAATGAAACACTGTGGTTCAGAGGTCCAGGGATGGCTATCACCGAGCGGATTATCAATTTAGGAGATCGATCATTACAATTACCAATTAATGAGTTGTTTAAAGTCCAAGAAGAGCAACAACCAGACATTAAGGAAACAAAAAGTTTTGAAATTGAAGAAATGGAAGAAATCGTAATTAATAACCCTACTGATCCTACTCAAGAGGAAGTTGTTGTGTCCACCACACCACTGGTGAATGGACATAAGACAATCACATTGAATAATGATGATGCTTCTGATGAAGTTAATATCATCACTGCAAAAGATCCCCAACAACCAAAGAAACCTCGTATTGATGATATAACTGAGAATATCGAGGGACCATTTGTTCACGGTCTCAGAGCCTCATCTACTTTCATTGCATACAAGCTCAGAACAAATGCTGCTAAGTAGAGTTTTTGGAACTGGACATTCTATATATTGATACATGACACATTTCACGATGGGCATTTATGCCTATATTCATTTATATATACATACATAGGCACACAGAGACACCGTGATACGTACAAACCGACATTCATAAATAATTGATAATTACACATAGAGGATAAAGATAAAATAAGCAACTCGCTCACGCCGTCTAATGCAATTACTTTCGTGTTTGATCCATTTTCCAACTCTCAGCTCAGCTCAAGTTACTCTTCTTGAGCTCTGACCAGAGTCAAACTTCGTCAAGAGTCGCTCCATCTTTTCCAGTTTTTTCTCATTTAAACTGAAATTTTTCGTTTTTTGGTAATTTGCACTGCGCTGCTTAGTGACTTCACTCTTTTTTTTCCAGTTGCAGATGAGGTTATGGATTATTATTATTATTATTATATAAGGAGAGGAAGGGAGACCCTCTTTCTCTACCAAGTCTGACCTGTCGATTCTAACTAGTCTCGTCTATATTTAATCGTTAGTACATTAAATCTGTTAATTGATAGTCTTTTGGTGACAGATAAACTGAACATATTTATCCTTTATAAGAAGTTAAAACGAAACAAAATTGTTATAATATAACATAGTTTTCCCAAATTTTAAATAAAGAAATTCTCATACTCACAGCTAGTTTCATTCTTTAAATAATGTCTGAATTCGATAAATACGCTACCCCATTATCTTCTAGATATGCATCCAAGGAGATGTCCGCTGTCTTTTCCCTTAGAAACAGATTTTCCACCTGGAGAAAGTTATGGTTGAACTTAGCCATTGCCGAAAAGGAATTAGGTCTTGATGTCATTACTGATGTCGCTATTGAACAAATGAAACAACATCTAACAATCACCGATGAAGAAATCGCAGCTGCCTCCAAGCAAGAAGCCATTGTCAGACATGATGTCATGGCTCATGTACACACTTTCGGTGAATCTTGTCCAGATGCTGCAGGTATCATTCATTTGGGTGCCACTTCGTGTTATGTCACTGACAATGCAGATTTAATCTTCCTAAGAGATGCCTACGACTTAGTCATTCCAAAATTAGTTAATGTTATTGATAGATTGTCTAAATTTGCCATGGAATATAAGGATTTACCAGTCCTAGGGTGGACTCATTTCCAACCAGCACAATTGACCACTTTAGGTAAGAGAACTACTCTATGGATCCAGGAGTTACTTTGGGATCTAAGAAACTTCGTAAGAGCTAGAAATGATCTTGGTCTTCGTGGTGTTAAAGGTACTACAGGTACTCAGGCATCTTTCTTAAGTTTATTCCATGGTGACCATGATAAAGTTGAGGCTCTAGATAAGAGAGTCACCGAATTGCTAGGATTCGACACTGTCTACCCAGTTACAGGTCAAACATACTCTAGAAAGATCGATATTGATGCTTTGGCCCCATTGGCATCATTTGCTGCTACCGCACATAAGATGGCTACCGATATTAGACTATTGGCCAACTTGAAGGAAGTTGAGGAACCCTTTGAAAAATCCCAAATCGGTTCTTCAGCTATGGCCTACAAGAGAAACCCAATGCGTTGTGAACGTGTTTGTTCTTTGGCTAGACACTTAGGTTCCCTATTTAGTGATGCCGTACAAACTGCTTCAGTTCAATGGTTCGAAAGAACCTTGGATGATTCCGCCATCAGAAGAATTTCTCTACCCGGTGCATTCTTGACTACTGATATCCTTCTGTCTACTTTATTGAACATTTCCTCTGGTTTAGTGGTATATCCAAAGGTCATTGCTAGAAGAATCAAGAGTGAACTACCATTCATGGCCACCGAAAATATCATTATGGCTATGGTTGAAAAGAACGCTTCAAGACAAGATGTCCACGAACAAATCAGAGTGCTCTCTCACCAAGCCGCTGCTGTTGTCAAGGAAGAAGGTGGTGACAACGATCTAATCGAACGTATCAAGAAAGACGAATTTTTCAAACCAATTTGGGGAGAGTTGGACACTCTGTTGGAACCATCTACTTTTGTTGGTAGAGCTCCACAACAAGTTGAAAAGTTTGTTGCTAACGACGTAAAAAATGCCCTAGCACCACATGCTAGTATGATAAATGATGCTGAAGTGAAATTGAGCGTCTAATCTTTATGTTGTCATGTATCACTTGAATTAATTGTGAAATTGTCAAAGCCGGCACTCGTCCGTTTCTCCTCACACCTTTCCATGAGGAAACATATGTAACAAAACTAACTAACTAAATATATTTAATAAATAAAGTATAAACGACACAATCTGGCTTATCTGAATCATTCTGAAAATTAATTTATATAGATAATGCTTAGCTGATCCTCACTTTGTTTTCGAGAATGCAGAGTTCTTTTTTGCATTATAGGGTCTTGATACTAAAATAAGCGTTACATCAAAATTTAAACATTTCAGCAACAGTAAATGACTTTGCAAGGGAAGATAAAAAAAAAACAATATATACAATAAGAACATAAAGAATAGAAGTAATAACTTCGTACAATAAGGGTAAGTCAGAATGACTGTTCAATACTTACTACAGAGAAGGTTGAGACATCTACGGTCTATAACAATAAATAATGTTGCGCTTCAGGTAGACAAAAATATCAACAACAAAGAACAAACCTACAGGGAGACAATTCGTTCCATTGACTGCTTTTATGTAATAGAAAGTCTTAAAGGAGTATCATTACTTGTTAGTGAGATACAACGAAGTCCATTGAAAGCAATCCAATTCAATGACGTCAATTTCTGCGGTGATAGTACCACTAGATTTATTTTTAAGATTGTGGTGCATGTACCAGATGATTTATTCCCAGAACATATCGTGGACAATCAGTGGTGTATCGTAAAGGAATACTCTGTGGATTTAAACCACCTTCAACTTGTAGATAGGAAAAATGATAACGTTCAAGCCTTAAATGCTCCAATTTTTACCATGGATGATGGTTGCTATACATTGAAAGATATAAATATCGAAAGGGGATCAGTTCCGTTATCAATGCACGATAATGAACTACAAAACAAGATCTTTTCCACTACAAAAAAATCATTCACCTATAATACCGTTCTGAAATTGAATAAGTTACTCGAATATATAGGTCAAACACATGATGAGACTAAAAAATTATCTTCCAAATTAGAAAAACCATTGAGTAAAACACAGGAAACAAACAAATCTAAATTTGAAAACATAGAAACCTGCAAAGAACAAATAAATAAGCTGATAACGAAGAAGAGAACCAAAATAAAATTATTGAAAGAAGAAATAGAAGGACATGGGACGTTAATACGATCAAACACAGCTTCATCTGTTGATATATCAGATAAGACAAACGTCAATGATCAATATGGGAATATGTACTCAAATCTTTTCCAAACTCGGAATAATATTGTTCATTGGAGAACCAAGAAATTGACTCAATTAGTGTCAATATTCAAAGTCCAAAAGTTTTTCGATCTAGCGAAACAACTCAACTGCGATATATATATTTCTGTTGCGAACAAAACAAATACAGAACTTCTTATTCATAGAAACCAACAAGAAATTGTGTTGTCTGTTATTGAAAAGGATAAATTACAATTACAAATTAATAAATCATTAGATATTCAAGAACGTGTTAACGTATTCCTGGGGTACTTCCTATTATTTATAGACATTTTATCGAATAACATATTCAATATTGTTGTTCCTTATAAATTAATGTTCTATGGGAGCACATCCTTAATTAACAAAGTGTACCCGCTATATCTACCGCCTGCATACTCAGCATATAACCAAGAACGATTTTATGAAGCCATTGATTTATTCAATATTAATATTCAACAACTCAAACAGTACTTGACAGACCATTATAACAATATATAACAACCTGTATATCTCTCTTGTTATTCCAACGACACTCTGTGTCTCTCATATTAAAAACATAATAAAGCATTGATATTATTTTTAATTTATTTTCATTCATTCTACTTAAAATTGTTGTTGATCAAATTTATCATTGGGCGTTCCATTGAGACGTTTCCAGGTATAAATATTACCATTACTTGGATTAATATTGTATATTCTAATTCTACGCTCAGTACCACCGTAACCGGCATAACCACCTTCTCCTGCGCCCCCACCGAAACATAACCAAATAGGATTCCTAGCTGAATCAGTCTGTAGGCAATAATCGTTACAATGATCATGACCACAACTTGTCACCTGGACACCTAAATCGTCTAATACTTTTAACCCACCGGAGTTATATTTTGGGGCAGTGACACCCTCTTTAAAAGAACCGACTATAGGGTTTTGTTCCCCTGGGCTCTTCTTGGAATCTATATCCAGGTATTCAGGAAGTGGTATATGGAAAAATGCCATTGAAATATGGGGTTTATCTGTTGGTATATTTTTATAAAGGCTTGTCTCATAGACATCCTTAATATAATCCCATTGTTTTTCTTTAATCCAATCATAACCAGGGTGCAATTTCCCTGTCTTCGAATATTTATGTGAATCCAGGAAATAAAAAGTCATCAGAACATCACTTGGATTACTTTTGTTATAGACTTCTTGAATATAATTACCTACACCGAAGGAATTATCACGAGTATCAAACGGACTAAATTTAAACAACGAGAACGGTAAATCATATACTAATTCAGAAAGTTCCCAACGGGCCAGACTACCTTCATCATCATGATTCCCCCATACCATAGCCCATGGAATCTCTCTTTCTATCACGGGTGCTACTACTTTTAATAACGTCGATTCTGAATCTTGAATAGATCGGTCACCCATAATTTGATCACCCGTAAAGACGACTAAATCTGGTTGTTCAATATCCAATACACTATTAATAAATTCAAATGTTTTTGGATCCGCATGACAATTTTCAGTTATAGGATATTCATCAATACATTTATTCTCTCCAACTCCCATGTGTAAATCTGCCAATTGAACTATTTTCAAGTTTTTCCCATCTGGTAATAAGATCTTGGTTTTTGGGTTATGATATCCAGGAGGTTTCGAGACGGGTGCTCTCTCAAGTGATATATAACTTGGAAATCTATAATGATTTGATAATGGTTTATTCTTATATATATTCCAATCTTGCCTTGGATCTTTACAATCAGTGCCAAATAAAATATTCATATCACTTACCAAATGATGAGTATCACTATTAGTATTCATTTCGAACAATTGTTTTAAAGTGTATTTTTGAAAGACAAAATATAAATCGTGAATTTTGAATGAAACTTGGTCTTTTCCAGTATTTCCTTCATCTGAGACATCAATTAAAACAAAAAAATCATTTATTTGTGATTGGAATAATGAACCGATTGAAATTGCATCAAAATACAAATACTCAGATTTACCGAACCATTCAAAACCAAATGATCCCCTAATATCTTTCTTAATTGCATGTTCATCAGTATAACCCTTAAGAGAAGGTTGTATCAATTCTTTCATTGGTTTTGTTGAACAACGTTCAAATTTCTTAGCCAGATAATGACATTCTTTAGTACCTATATTAGTAATTACAAGTTGGTTCATGTCTAGATATTGAATATCTACATTAGAATCCAGATCAATGTGATTAGATGACAATAAACCGATAATCTCATCTTTCCCCCATTTCTTAGTACCACAATTTGTCACTTTGTCCGATTTTATGGTCCATATATAGTCATTATTATTGCTATTGCTATTGCTATTATTATTCTTGGTGACAGTTCTTACATTTGGCGTCCGCTGATGACGATAACCCATGAACAGAACGCATAGAACCAGAACCAAGGGCACCAAAGTACGTATATGTCGTTTCGAAAGTCTCATTCTTAGCATTTTTTAAAACTTAGCTGTGTCTATCCCCAAACTCCTACTTCTCTAAATCAGTTATGACATCTATTATTCTTAAAAGAGTCTGCATATATAAATATATCGAACTTATTACATAATTGGTTGATATAAAATTGCTTATGTAAAAAAGAGCAAAAGGTTCAGTTGCCATTTTTTGGTTTTGCGCGAGAGTTTACTGAGACAAATTCATACATATGCTGATGCTATTTAACCATTCTTTCACTCTTTTATCTTGGATCTGTCTGTAGTTAATCATGTCATGTAGATCCTTGTATCTATTGTCTATAATATCAATAGCAGCAGTAACAACAACGATAGGGGTAGATGATGAAGATAATAAAACTTGAATATTTGGCTCATTTCTTATCGGATGTAGGCCTATGGTTACCAGTTTGTAACAGACCCCCAGCATTGTCATTATTGTTGCCTTGCTCATGCCTTATGGGGTTGTTTTTTAGAAACTCTGGACTCGAAGTGATGGCATGAGGTTTACGTAGTTGTTCCAGTGATATGATCTTAGTTTTACCTGCCCGATGGATCTCTACTGTCTTTGGGATATCATCGGTATTATTATTATCAGCAGTCTGCTTAGTGTTATTAGATTGGCTCATTGTTTTATCGTAAGTATGTCTTTTACTTTACCGTAGTTGCAACAGAAAAGAGTAAAAGAATACAGTGGCTTCGAGACTGCCCCTTAATATATACGTTCATGAATGTTAATTCTCATCGTTCTTCTCTTAATTTTGCCCTTTAGATCGCTAACTGTAAAAAGTGAAAAAAATGGTGAAATTACGAGATTCGATAGAGAGAACTCCTAAAGTCATACGAAGTAAATATAAGAAAGAAAATAGACTATATAAGAAGACACCATATAAGCTTGTTCTTAAGTTATAACAACCAATTGTGTATCGTCTTTGGGTGAAAAAAACTGAAGGATACAATGGCTGAATCGTACAGTGAAGATGGCGATGTCTCTGTTGAGAAAATACCTATGGTGACAGACACGAATACTCTTGAAATGGAACAGTTTATCCATGGTTTCCTGACAGATTTGAAATGTATAGACTATTTACCGTTGTTTACTCAATACGGATTGCTGGACGAAAACGATGTTAAATATATCGATAAAGAGATCCTGGTAGCAATGGGGATCACCAAGATTGGGGACCGTATCAGAATCTTGCGCAAAGCCAAGGGTCTCGATAAAAAAGTCGCACAGGCTCATGAGCAAGACACTACAGAACAATTGAATGATATTATTAGTAAAATAGGATCTCTGTCGATGTCTATTTCTACAGGTTTACATACAACTGATTTTGCTGGTGAGAAAAACCATGCAATTTTCATCTTAAATGATGGATCTGCGAAGAAAGTTAATATCGATGGTTGCTTCAATGCAGATTCTATTAAGAAACGGTTACTGAAAAGATTACCAGTCGATCTACTCGCTGATAGTCCCCTCGGTGGGAAATCCCAGGATGTCAGCGATTATGACGTCTTTGTCGTGGACTATACGAAAAATGTCTTACACCTGCTGTATGATGTTGAATTGGTTACCATATGCCATTCAGCTGACAGAATAGAAAAGAATAGACTAATATTTGTATCGAAGTATCAATCGCCAGGTGAAAAAGCTATCTCATTATCCAAAAAACTATATATTAAAATGTCCACTTCTGGTTGGGAGAGTAGTTCCGTCGATGACATTAAAAATCATGCAAGCCATCCTGATTTAAGAAGAAATAAATTACCAATTGATAATTCACATGAAGGAATGAGGAAGATCTTTAACCAGAGACCACCAAGTGAATTGATCTCTACCAATCTTTCAGGGTACTTCCCCACCACTGACGTTAAGAAGTTACAAAAGACTTTAAGAGATTCATATCGCCATTCCATACTTGTAAACCCTCACGGGAAAATGTCTATTAACCCTGAATCCAACAACATTGGTGACATTTTACTGAAACATTCTAGTGCTGTGGACTCTGCTTTGTTACAAAGTCTTCCACATAATCAACCTCTTGCTTCCCATTCAAGTGCCACTTCAAGGACAACTCAGAGTGATAATTCCGGCTTTATTTCCTTGTATGCTGAAGGTTCTGATTATGAGGATGAAATGGAAGAGGAAAATATGGAAACTGCAGATATGGTATCTTTACCAACTAAGATCGAGACTCCAAAGGCCTGGTTAAAAGGTGCTCGTATTGGTGCAGGCAGTTTTGGGAGTGTGTATCTTGGTATGAATGCTACCACTGGTGAGCTAATGGCAGTTAAACAAGTGAGTATTCAACCCATTATTGCCAAAGAAGAAAAACAGAAAAATGGTAACGATAAGAAATCTAAAAGAAATATATCAGATATTCATAAGAAAATGGTAGATGCTTTACAACATGAAATGAGTCTCTTAAAGGAATTACATCATGAAAATATTGTTACATATTATGGTTCTTCTCAGGAAGGTGGGAATATAAACATTTTCTTGGAATACGTTCCAGGTGGGTCCGTGTCCTCGATGTTAAATAATTATGGACCTTTTGAAGAATCATTAATTATCAATTTCACTAGACAAATATTGATTGGGGTCGCTTATCTACATCGCAAAAATATTATCCATAGAGATATTAAAGGTGCAAATATTTTGATTGATATTAAAGGGTGTGTTAAGATCACTGATTTTGGTATATCTAAAAAACTTTCTCCTTTTAATAGTAAACCACGTCCAGATAAGAGAGCTTCATTACAAGGCTCAGTATTCTGGATGGCCCCAGAAGTGGTCAAACAGACTGCGACTACGTCCAAAGTTGATATTTGGTCCACTGGTTGTGTAGTAATCGAAATGTTTACCGGAAAGCATCCATTCCCTGATTTTTCTCAAATGCAAGCTATATTCAAGATTGGTACGAATACTTCTCCAGATGTCCCATCTTGGGCAAGTGAAGTCAGTTGCAACTTTTTGAAGAGGACCTTTGAATTAAATTTCAAACAGAGACCAAGTGCTGTGGATTTATTACAACACCCTTGGTTAGATGCAAAGATTGTATAATTGATATATCCCTGTATGTAGTATATTGCAGACACAGTGATGAGACAAGCCAATGTTTTTAAAAACCCGAAGTAAATAAAAGTATACTAGTCAATATGGAAGATATTGTAATAAGTATCTATTATTGTAGATAAATACATAAAAGTATATACGAAGTTGGAGGTATATGTTACTTATAATGTAAGGTAATCAGGTATATTCTAACCACTGAAGGGTAACCAACGAACATATAATCTTAATGAGATAGATCTATCTTCAAATGGGTCACATAGAATAAAATGATTCTGATAAGTAGAATAACGCCTTCACCTGCATCTTTTCCAGTAGTAAAAAACATATTACCTTTCAATTATCCTTAAAAATCACAGAATGATCAAAGGATTGCAATATCGAATTAAAGGACGAAAATAAACATAATTTCTGTTACTTCTTCGTTGAATTATCAGTTGATAAATAGAACATAGTGGGATATTATAAAACAACAAATTACTATGGTGTCCATAATTTCCCATTCTCCCTTGAAGCGTATACTGTCTTATTAAAATCTGTCATCACAACATCCCCACCATTTTCATCTTGTTGTTTGGTTCCATTTTTTTTAATCATCTTATTAAACCTTTCACTATTTTGGAAGGATTTTAAGTTCAACTCCTTTGATAAGATATTGTCAACATCAACAATTGAACATGACGGAATATCACAAAGCTTAGCAGCTTCACGGATTTGAGGGTCCTCTGTAAGTAAGATCCAACGTAAGGGATCATTTTCATCCATATCTAAACATTTATAAGCTGCACTCTTCAATAAAGTTTTCAATCTTCTTGGTAGTCTATCAAGTGATCCTACCTGGTTGACATTAACGTCGTCCCAATTGATACTGTCCAGAATTTCTGGGAACTCTATAACAATATCGACCTTCTGTGAGGATTCATCGTCGTGACCATTACCGTAATCTGATATGTTCGTCAGAGTATCAATATATTTCAAGGATTCTTTAGCTGAAAAACTTTTACGTCTATGTTGAAGGAAGTCTAGCTCCCTCAATGTAAACGTGGGGATATATAGGTTGATGGATAGCTTCTCTGAGGGTCCGTTGCACCATCTTCTAATGTTACCAAGACCCTTCTCGAATGCAGAAGCGTCTACCACAAAATTGTACTGACTCATCGGTTTCTGGGTCAAATGTTGCTACTTCTTCTTCTTCTAAATTAAGAATAATGCAGAGTTTAGTAATCCAATGACCTCAAAATATATACGGATTTGTCTCCTCAAAGTGGCTAAACGTTTGATAGTTTTATCTCAAAGTGTGTAGATTGGTGATATGTCATCAAGCCTAAAAAGACAAAAAAAAAATTGTTAGATAATCAAAAAATGGTTGACTAACATAAGAGAAGAAAGGGAACATATAAAAAGAAAGAAGTTTAGTTCATTACAACGTTAAGAACTAAATAATTAGATTCCAACAGGACAACAGTATACAAAATGTCACATATAAAGGAAGTCGAATTGCTACTTGATGAACATAAATTCGTTCAATTTTCTGCTAATTGGTGTCCAGATTGTCAGTACGCCAACAGGATCTGGAACCGCTACAATGTTCAGGAGAAGGTAAAAGTAGTTGAAATTGGGAATTTGTCCAAGGATGAACAAGAATCCTGGAGAATATCGTTCCAGCAAGTCACTGGTAGTAGAAACTTACCTTCAATATATGTGAATGGTAAACTTTGGGGTACTGAGAGTGAATTACGTAATTATGAGGATAATAACCAATTAGAAGAAGAATTTAAGAAGATTGGACTATTGAAATAATATTGGTAAATTATAATTTAAATACACATATATTCTCTGTTATTTTTAATATATTTAAATATTACGTAAATTACTTCCTTATATTCAATGTTAAACGATATTTTTGTTTCTTAATGACTAAAGCTCTAATTTTATGGTAGTGATAGCGTTCTATGTACAATTTTCAATCGTTGAGAAAGAGAATATTTAATGAGTATCAACACTAAGGAAAAAGATACAGAGAGAAGACATAAGGCATCTAACTAAATGGTCATTGATAGTGTTTGAACTACCACACATAACTCTAGCATGGAATTTGAAGAGCTGCCGTTGGAAATTTGGCTAGAGTTGGCCGGTTATTTGAATATTACAGATCTGTTACATTTAAGGGTTACCAATAGACGCATAAAACGAAACATAACTCAACCTTCCTTATGGAAAAAACTCTGCAATAATCACTGGATAGATCAATTAAGAGTAGAGGAAGAAATATACAGAGTTCCAACTAAATCTTGTAGAAACTACCGAGACATCGATGACTGGTGTAAATATGGGAGACGCTGTTATCATTCAGATAACCACATCTTACATCGTATTGAAAAGTTAACTAAAACATATTCTTCATCAACGTACTGGAACAAATTTGATATTATATTGAAAAATAATTATGATGCAATGATCCCCATTTTAACCAAGATTATTACACAGGAATATGACATACATTCACCGCACAATTTCTCGTTTGATGTAAGAACTTGTGCACAACAATTACTCGACTATTTGAGACACGAAAAGTACTTTGAGAACGTATGGTATCAATCATTTTTTAACACAACAAATTGTGGCCAGACAGAGTCAGTATTCATGGATTTTTCAATGTTGGATCCTAGTTTTGATAGATTGGCTCCTCATATTTTAAGAGTAAGAAATACTGTTGACTCATTATTATTAGCCAAGTATAATAACCGTTTGGAGTCACTTTATTCTATTAGACCTGCTTTGAGAGTTGAAATTATTGCCAAGGAATTGTATAAAGTATTGAAAGTGGGTTCAGTAGATAAAATTACAACGGATAGAAAATATTACAACGAGGATTATTTCCTTTCAAGAATATATGCAGGTGAAGCTCTTGGTCATCCATTATTAATACTTGTCATCATTCAATCCATCTGTCGAAGATATAAAGTTGAGACATCATTAACCGAATATTATTTAGCAATTATAGATAATAATTTACAATCAGGTGGGACCTTATTGGGTGTTGATCCAAACACCCTAACTAGACAGTATTTTACAAATCGAAGTTTTGTTAAAATGTTATGTAGGGAAACGCAACTAGATGAACAAACTGTGATCGATAGCATTGTTCCTAATTTATTGAAGCCTTTGACTGTAGAAACATGTAGATACAACTTATTCTGTGATATTTCTGTGGAATGCAAGGGAAGCATATCAGACGCTTGTAACCAAGAGGGCGTCTCATCTGGAGATGTGCATTCGATGAACATCCGATATGAACATATTATGAAATATTTCCCTCATAGTAAGCAACAGATACCCAATAAAATAATGAAATATATAGAAAGTATTGATGAGAGAGTACTACAACTCGATGGACATAATGAAGAAAACTCGATTAAGTTAGATGTAAGATCTTTGAAACGTGATAAAGAATATAAAGAACTATTAAAAATAGTGAAGAACACGTACCCTAGCGATTGTGTTCATATATTTTCACCTGGTCTTATTAATGAAAGTTATACCTATCTTGATTGGTTAATGGACAGCCGTTCCATTTCTATTGATCCAAATGAATTGTCACAAGAAAACAATTTTGGGACATTTTCAACTTACAGAGCCACAGAATTAGTATGTGTGTTAACACCATTATACAAGTTAACGGATCTACAATACGTCACAATTATGGATTGTGTAGGAGATGTCAAGATAGTGAGTTCTAACCTAGTAGGAGACATTCTTCAAGATAACTCTCAAATTGAAAAATTTCTACAAATTATAATGCCACATAACGAACTTGGTTATCTATTCGAGAGTGTCGATTGGACTACGGGACGTCTCCTGATAAATGATCGAATACGATCATCCTTTCAATCGAGATCAATTAGTCCGGGGGGTGCTATTGTATTTGAAGCGGATCATGTACCTGTATAACCCTATTGGTATGATTTCAAAAGTAGTTACATATTGACACATATATAACATTACGAACGTATATAGGAAAGAAATTCACAGCATATATATTATTTGTCTTGATGACCTTATACGCTTCCATATAGTCAAACGTATTTGTCAGTCATAACTGTGGTGATTGTAAAGTCATCGCCTTTATTGTTTTGTTTATTTTGAGCAAAATTGAAAAATAGTTTGCGACGATTAATAATAAAGGGACACCTTGCTTAATAATACGACAAATAAGAGCAGAGAGACGCACTCCACAGTAAGAACAACTTCAGTCTTATTGCATTATTGAATATTTAGTAGGCTAGACTGATAGTATATTATTAAATTTAAAAAGAACATTATAAGATCACTATATGAACTAGAAAGAATCGCCATGCTAAGATCATCTATGAAATCGTCATCATTTCCCAGAGTATTAAGAAGGTTAGCCTCAACCAAAAGTAGCAAAGTTATTGGTATCGACTTGGGCACTACAAATAGTGCTGTAGCATATATTAGAGATGTAAAAGATAAAAAATCGGCAACAATCATCGAGAATGACCAAGGGCAGAGAACAACACCATCAATCGTATCATATACCGTTAACCCTACCTCGAATAAGATAGAGAAAGTTTTGGTTGGGTTACAAGCCAAGAGACAACAAATGATTAATCCCGAGAATACATTTTTTGCCACAAAGAGACTAATTGGTCGTTCCTTCAACGATGAAGAGGTCCAAAGGGATATGAAGAGAGTACCTTTTAAAATAATGAAAGGGAGCACAAATGGTGATGATGTATCTCTTAAGATAAGTAATGGAGAATCAAAATCACCTAAAGATATTGGTGCGGCCATTTTGACCTATTTGAAGACTACTGCTGATAGTTACCTTAACGAGCACATAGATAAAGCTGTAATCACAGTTCCGGCATACTTCAATGATTCACAGAGACAAGCCACTAAGGAAGCTGGGAAATTGGCAGGTTTAAATGTATTGAGAGTAGTTAATGAACCAACGGCTGCTGCACTAAGTTTTGGTTTAGATGATAAAATGAAGAATGGAGAAAGAAAGAACGGATTACTTGCTGTTTATGATCTTGGTGGTGGTACATTTGATATTTCAATCCTTGATATCGAGGATGGTGTATTTGAAGTCAGATCTACTAATGGTGATACACATCTTGGCGGTGAAGATTTTGATAATATTATTGTTGATTATCTTTTGAAACAATTTATAAGCCAGAATGGTGACGAACAAAAATTATCATTGCAAACATTACAACAAAACCGTGCTTTGATGCAAAGATTAAGGGATGCGGCTGAGAATGTAAAGATTCAGTTATCACATGTCAAGACTGCAACAGTGGATATTCCTTTCCTGTGTAACAACTTACATTTACATTTAGAAATGAAAGAGGAGGAATTAGACAATATGACTTTACATTTAATCAACAAGACAATTCCACCAGTAAAAAAAGCGTTAAGAGATGCAGATATCGAGACTGAAGATATTGATGAGGTCATTATGGTGGGTGGGATGACTCGTATGCCAAAGATTAGAAAAACTGTGGAAGATCTATTTAATAAGAAACCAAATACTTCGGTAAATCCAGATGAGACCGTGGCTATTGGTGCCGCTATACAAGGTGGTATCATATCTGGTGAAATCAAGGATGTATTATTATTAGATGTCACACCATTGACATTGGGGATAGAAACTATTGGGGGTGCATTTTCACCATTGATCCCAAGGAACACTACTGTGCCAGTGAAAAAGACTGAAATATTCAGTACTGGTGTAGATAATCAAACTGGTGTAGAAATTAAAGTGTATCAGGGTGAAAGAGGTTTGGTACGTAACAATAAATTGATTGGCAATTTCCAACTGGCTGGGATTCCACCTATGCCAAAAGGTATGCCACAGATAGCTGTGACATTTGACATCGATGCAGACGGCATCATAAACGTATCTGCAGCAGAGAAGAGTAGTGGTCAAGCAAAATCTATCACAGTGGTAGCCAACCAAAGTCTCACCGAAAAAGAAATCAATAAATTGGTGGAAGAGGCAAATGAAAACCGTGATTCAGACAACACAATAAGAAAGAGACTCGAATTAATCACAAAGGCCGACATAATGGTCAGCGACTCAGAGGCAGCATTTGAGAAATACAAAGATACTATATCTGGCGATAGTCAATACGGAGAAGTGCTTAACGAATTACAAGCTCTAAGGGTGATGATTGATACATTTAAGAAGGAAGCGAACGACACCAAACTGGACGTGAACGTAATCAAACGGTCTACAGACACCCTCCAGAATAAAGCGTTCAAATTGTTCCAAAGAGTAACAGCATCCCAAAAAGAAGCACAAAATAATTAAATAGATAAATAAATAAATAAAAACGATAAGGATATGTAGATAATCGAATGCCCATCAATAATTGACGCGTTTATATTAGTCAACTTATACTTTACTTGACGCGTTTGAAACGAGGCAGCACGTGACTGCTACAGCTAAAATTGATTTTTGTAGTGAAAAATTTTCCAATTTTTTTTTGCTGAACTGCGCGGTCTTTTGAAAGATTTGATGCAATTTTTGATCTTTCAGAGGTTGGACAACATCAACATCATGAACATCAACAACAACGTCCACGGCGACGTTTTTGGTGGGATAATTTAATGGTAAACATCTTTTGCTAGACGTTGAAAGTGAACTGGAGTTTTTGATCTTGTTTATACTATATTTATAGATATTTTATATTGGTTATCTTACTCCGGTCAATAATAGAAAAGAGTTTAAGTACTTCTTTGGGCCTGTCATTTTATCTGCTTTTACCATGAACCAAGTCGCTGAAGAAGCTGTTGAACAAGCAGCTGAACAAATATTTGATCAAGTGATCAGTAATTCTACCAATGTACTAGATTTTCTACACTTAGACCAATTACCTTCCTGGGTCTCTTACGATATCCCAACCATACAACATCCATTTGGTTTAGAATTATGGCCTATCTTCTCTAAGGCATTTGAATACTTCGCCGGCTACCCAGCCGAAGATTTCCAATTTATTCATAATGAGACCTTCATGGCCAATGGTCAACATGCCATTGGTTTGATTATTGTTTACTACATTGTCATCTTTGGTGGTCAAGCTATCCTAAAAAAATTGAATGCTTCCCCAATGCATTTTAAGATTATTTTCCAATTGCATAACTTGTTTTTAACTACTGCATCCCTAGTTTTATTGTTGCTATTAGTTGAACAATTAATTCCAATGGTTTACCAACATGGTTTATTGTATTCTATCTGTTCTCCTCATGCTTTTGCTCCAAAATTGATCACTTTGTACTATTTCAACTATTTGACCAAATACATTGAATTGCTTGACACTGTGTTCTTAATCTTAAAGAGAAAGAAGTTATTGTTCCTACATACATATCACCATGGTGCTACTGCTCTATTGTGTTACACCCAATTAATGGGTCGTACATCTGTTGAATGGGTTCCAATTACTTTGAATTTGGCTGTCCACGTTGTCATGTACTGGTACTATTTCTTAAGTTCTTGCCATATTAGAGTCTGGTGGAAACAATGGGTCACTAGATTCCAAATCATCCAATTTTTGATTGATTTAGTGTTTGTCTATTTTGCCACTTATACTTTCTACGCTCATAAGTACGCTGATGGTATCTTGCCAAACAAGGGTACTTGTTACGGTACACCAGATGCTGCTGCATATGGTTATTTGATTCTAACCTCATACTTGGTTCTATTCATCTCTTTCTACATTAGTTCATACAAGAAATCAGGTAGAAAGAATGAAAAGAAGAATGAATCCACTACTGGTAAAGACGTTACCTCTTCTGCCAAGACTACTGGTTCCAAGAGCAAATCTACCAAGGCTACCTCTAGAAAGGCTTAACTAAGTATATCAAAAAGTATTTGCATTTTTTGTGAACGTTAGTTTTATCTTTTCACGTTGTATTTTTGCCTTTTCTATATAGATAAATTTATGTATTAATCTTACATAAATGAGAAATACATATATTTCAAATAAGACGTGAATTATTTATTATGCTTTTAATATATGGACCTATGAATATATATTTTATTCTTAAGGATGAAAATATTTCCTATTTTTACAACTTCGATATTTGACTACAAGAGTAAAACATATAGTTACTTTAATTATATTCGCATGCTGATGGTAACGTATCTATATCAAAATCAACTTTCCCAACATAAAATTGTTCATTAAACAATTTTATCTTAATAACATCTTCAAAATATTCTTCGCCTAATTGTGATTTGAAATCCTTCAAAAAGGAATAATCTTGTCTTATTGAAGATGCTGCTTGCGTTGTAATAATACGCATCAATAATTTTGTTATTATATTATCTTCTCTATCTAAATATTGTTGCCAAAAGGCATCACATACGGGCATCTTGATTTCTATTAATTGTTCCATCAAATTTATAGGTTCATCTTTATTTCCAAAAGATATACCCTCTTCTTCATCTGGAATCGATGAAGATTGTTGATGATTCCAGACAAGACCATTTTTTGTAACATAACCAGTTCCTTCACAGAAGGCAAGGTATGACTTCGGTATAATTGCATTTACTGTCGTCAAATACTTATATAAATCTTCCTGTATCGATAGTAACAGCAAATCGGAAATTATTTTTGGTAAATCCAAATGTATGGCTTGACCTTGTTTGTTGCGAGGTTCATTCGAGGATTGACCATCCATCGAGTCCATTGTATCATCATTTTCATCGTCACATGCAATCGTGTCGCCTCCATCGTTTTGTGACATTTCATTGAAAATTGTTGAAGAGTCAATCTCTTGTAAATCAATAAATGGACTCAAACGAGCTAGAATAGCTTTTGAGACTATTTTGACAATATCGGATAATGAAGTAGAATCAAACGTATACTCTAAAATTTCTCTTTCAAATACTGCTATGGGACACATAAACATTGACACTAAGATCATATCATCTTGAATCAATAGTCCTTTATTCCGTTTAACACGTTCCAGCACCTTTTTTATACTATTCAAGATTGGATCTAATCTAATTTGACGAATTAGAGTAACCAAATGCCTTTCGATGGCAAACATGGATAATAGGGTGTATAGTCCACCTGTAGGTGGGCCTGAGACATAATATAAAATTATTTTATTGAATGAATTTAAAAATTCATATAATTTAGCCATGACTAAGAAGTCAGATTTTTCGAATTTTTTAATGCCAGTTAAATTTGCTTGAACACTGGTAATGTAGGATTCCATTTCCAAAAACGTTTCAAGAGCTAGAGAGGCGGTAGAATATCTTTGACGATCAAAATAGACCATTGCATTAGCATTTGTGTTACCTAATCTCTCAGAGGCTATCTCTTTAAATCTACTTAATTCCCATGAGTTAGACCTAATAGCATCATAAAATTTGTTAATTTTATCAAAAATTGTGTTGGAAGAAGGATCAGTACTGGAGATATCAATAACATTATCCAAAATTTGGTTCTCTCTATCATTATCGCTAAATATGTTGTTAGAAGTAATGTTGGTATTATTATTATTATTATCATGATTATTATTATTATCTATTGGTAGTTTATTACCAAACAAAGGTAAGATGATATCTTGTAGAAACGTCACAAAGCAATCATGAAATGGACTCACTTTGTTATTAGTATTCGCATTTTGTAAAAAATCATAATTATCAGAATTCGACAACGCCAATAAACGTTCATGTGGCAACGTAATAGAAACAATTGATTTTGATAAGGATGGGATTCTTTGTATAGTTTTCAACAATTGAGACCTACAAGTGACTATACCCATTTCTTTACTCAGTGGATCTCCACGGTCTATTGCCAAAGGTAACGATTTAATAGTATGAGATAATGAATCATAAAATTGTAAAGTCAAGATGGATGTTGAATTAGCCCAAACGTTAAAAGTTAAAGAAAAAAAATTCATCTTCGTCACTTCATTGAGTTGTCTTTTAATCATCACCAGCAATTGGTCGTCGATAGGTTCTTTTGATTTTGATAATTGGAATTTATCCACAATCAGTTGAGTATCTAAAGTGTTCCGAGTAGCAGTTCTTTGAACGAGCGAATCTATCTGTTCTGAGATCGATCTTACGCTATCCATAATATCAAACATTGATGGAATATTTTCATTTGAGCTCTTACCTAATAACAATTTAACTGCATTGTCTTCTAAAAATTGTAGAGGCAAATTTTCAGCGGCAATTATTACTGCCAGAATTTGAGTCATTTGAAAATGTTTATCCCTTTTACGTTTTGACACTTTTTTATTCATACGTGAATCAGCAACAACCTTAACACCATTCACGGCATTTTCAATACCATCTTCGGTAACTATATCGGAAGTTTTACACTTTTGGGTATTTTTGTCAGCAGCAGCATCAGTGACATCAACACGAGAAGGTGATGTAGTTGTTTCCTTATTAAAGTTCTGTAACTGTTCGATCTGCGGCATACCAGTTTCATTATTTCCAAACTGGTAAAAATCGTCATTCTTGTTTATTCCATGAATTTCCATCAAATGATTAATCATTTCAAGGTTCAATGGTCTTCTAGTAATTGGGTTCAACCTATGAATCACAATTCTGCAATGTTTACATTTAACATCATGAACCGTATTTCTATATGCCAAATAATGAGACCAAAACCTATTTTTGGTCTTATCGATCAGTTGCACAGGGATCCATCGATTACCGTGATCATCAATAACTACTTCGTGTTGAAATTGTTCCGGCACTTTAATACGTTCTACCAATTTCTTATGCGATCTTTTCTCATTGGCATCAGAATGTTTCTTAGCACTATGAACAGGAGACGATGGTGGTTGACTATTTCTAGGAGACGATAGCGGTTGATTCATTCTATTGCTTTGAAGAACTGGCGGTAGTATCAAGCCACTGGTCAATTCACTTACTTCCATAATAATAATAGTCGATATCTTATTTAGCCGCCGTCAAATTCCGAATCCGGTATTGATATTCTATATCGCAGATGGAGAGAGGGGGGTTTAATAAAAATATGCGAATCACAACGAATAAAAACATTATTTTCCCCAAATTATGGTGATCTTAGCCCTCACTCGCCGAACAACAAACCCTTCTGAAGAGAACGAAAAGAAAATTTGTTAGTATCTTCTGCAATTCGCCCTTTACCCTTCCCGGTAATAAAAACTGGAAAAGCAGGAATTTCGTTCTTACGACGGCGTATGGAAGGGGGGGCAAAGAAATAGTACACACCGTTGATAGTGACGGTCCGCCCGTATTAGTAACCGATTCTCGGAGACACACTTCCTCCCCGTCCCCGTCCCCGCCCGTAACAATAACGCAAATTTGCGTTATTTTTATTTGAAATTGAAAAAAAGTTAAGAGAAAGAGAAAGAGAAAGCGAGAAACACAGCCGTCCCGTACAGAAAACTAACAAAATTCTTGTCACAGCCGCGGAAAGTGCGGCATTTTTGTTTTCGATTTTCGAACGGCGCACAAATTCCTTCAGAGTTGTCTGCCTCTCTCGCACGTGCAGTTCTGTGTGAATTCTGGTCCATATAACCAAAGACGGCTACTCAGGGAAGAAGCTGTTCGTATTACATAATATTTTGGCTGCCCTCCGCCCTCCGCCCACTGCTCTCTTCTGCCCTGTGCTCTGCCCCCACACTTCAAGAGAACTTAGTAGCCGTGACAATAACGTGGGGGGAGATCAAGCAGCCTACCAATAAATTTTCTTGTTTGCGCCGCCCCTGGCGATGATGACACTGCAAAACACACACACACACTCAGATGGTGGGAAAAAAACTGGGATCTTGTTCAAGCCGTAGGGGCTAAATAATCATGTCCTTTTCATGGTTCAATCCATCCAGTTGAAAAATTTATTACTAACAGATGATGCAATGCCATTTTTTTCAATCTTTCTTTCTCTATATATATATCAATATGCAGATTGATTTGAATAAGCTGCTACATTTTTTTTTTGTTTAACTAGTCCCTTTGCAAACACTCTCAATATATTACCAATACACATCGATAGAGAGACCGATACATACATAGTGTTACAACCAACACAAAACAAATATGAGCATTTCAAATATACCGCCTGCTTTGTCTCCTGTCTCAAGCACAACTTCCTTTCAAACGCTTCCGTCTACTCTTCCTCCAAGTGCAGGTAACAACAACAACAACAGCAATACAGCTACAACGACCTCCACAACAAATTCCGTTTCAACATCGCCGCATTCGTATTCCTTAGATAAGTACCATGAACCTTCGTCTGCTGAAAAATTCAAACGCGCTAAAAATATGTCGTTGCCGCCCATCTCGTCGTTCGATAATCTGATTCGTGCAGCTGAGAAACAGTATGCTTTAGGTAGTGGCAGTGGCACTGATAACAACAACAATAACAACGGCAACGGCGGTAACAACGGCGGCTCGATATTCCATGTAGGAACACCTGTTGGTAATTCCTTAAATAATATGAATCACAGTATTTCAAGAACAAATATGTTAAGTTATCAACTCTCTACTCAAGGAGCAGTAAGTGGTCAAAGAGAATCACGTAGTAGCGGTGCAAATTCAAATACTCCTGCAACTGCATCTGCAATTACTCAACGGTCTTACCCTGGTAATGACAGTAATTCTCATACAAACGATTCTCGTTCAACCTCGAATAGATCGTCCTCTTTATTAGTATCGTCACCAACAGATTCTATAAACAGTACGACAACAACAACCACGACTACTAGTTCGATAATGATACCGGAATATAGATTAAGTGGACCCCCACCGGTTTCTTCTACTGTAGTGTCTATTTCTAACTCGGCGGCTTCTGTAAAACCAGATACTGAGAATACCAGTCTTTCTACAAAAAATATTGGTGCTAATGTTAATAATAACAATAGAACAAAAATTGTAAAACCTAGGAAAAAGAAACAATGCCCGTTATGTCTAAATTATTACGCAAATTTATCAACTCATAAATCTACACATTTAACACCGGAGGATAGACCGCATAGATGTCCCGTTTGCGAGCGTGGCTTTGCAAGAAATAATGATTTGATTAGACATCGGAAACGTCATTGGAAGGATGAATTGATGGTGGCAGTGTCGCCGGCGACATTACAAGATAATTCACCATCGAATTCTAACAATGGAGTAACCAATTCAAAACAATCTCAATTAAGATCTTTACATCAAATTAAAGGAACATTTAAATGTCCTTATAATTCGATTTTGATTAAATTGGATATGGAAATGTATCCTCATAAGAATAAACCTTTAAACTTTGAAACTTCAAATTGCCATCAAACGGGTGTGTTTTCTCGTTGCGATACTTATAAGAATCATTTAAAGGCTTTACATTTTGAATATCCTCCTGGAACCAAAAAGAAAGATCGTAGTATTGTTCCTGGGAAATGTAAGCATTGTGGATCAAAGTTTGAAAATGTGGATACATGGTTAAATACCCATGTTGGGAAAAATTGTGGTTACACATATCATTAACATTTTACTTACTTATATATATTATAATAAACTTTATTTATTTATTTATTTAATTGGCGAACTTGTTTAGTCGATGGATCACGAACCATTACAAGATCCATATCATTAACATAATTTGACATTATTGTATTGTTAGTGGAATTAAAACTATGTTCTATCCCTTGATAAAATTCATTATTTAAACTTGTGCTAACATACCAACAACCAAATGTTCGTTGAATATTTTTAATTAATTTGAAAAGAATATTTAATGATTTAGTGTCCGTAGTGCTATCTGTATGAAGATATGACAAATTATCGATTATTATACCTTGTAATGAGTTTTCCTCCTTCTTATTACTTTGATGGCAATCATTTTTATCTATGGAACATTCTCTTTGTAATGTATTTGTAGGGTTTGCATTTATTCTGGCTAAAAAACATATCACCCCTTCAAGAGTGAATAATTCTTCAGAGTTAGCATACCATACATTAGGTAATAACAATGGATCATTCAATAAAGTGTTTTTCCATGCTGACACAATATCAATGATTAATACTTTACCATTGGCAGTTATATTTTCTTTCAATAATCGTCTCTTGAAATCATGTATTTTAAAATCAGGTTCAATTAAATGTAATGTTCGTATTCTTCCTGTTTTTGAATCGGTCAAGGTCGTGGTGATTCCAGGATCTATAGTTATTAGTTGTTCTTGTGGATGATAATACTGTGATAATGAGTATATTTTACAATGAGCTAACACTTCCATTGTTCTACTTAAACCCCTTTGTTCGTACTCCTTGAACAGTTGTAAATAAATATTTCGTAATTGTCTGTGTGGTTTATTTCATTAAATATGTACTATTATTTATTAAATCTTGAGGCGAGGGCGATGATGCGGCGTAAATTACATTACAAATAGATGAATATGTATGTATATAGAAAGAGAGAGGGAGAGTGGAAAGGGGGACGTAGCATTAATTTGATTTGTCTACAATTTACCAATATGTTTCAAATATTTGTCGACGTCGTCGTTTGAACCCATCCATACTGAAGACTTATCGTGAATATGAGTTGGACATAAGTCCAAGATTCTCTGACCTTGATCATTAACAGCTTTCCCACCAGCTTGTTCTACTAGCATAGCCATTGGGAATGCTTCATACAATAACCTTAATTTACCGTTTGGATTCTTCTTATCGGCTGGATAAGAAAACAGACCACCATATAGAAACGTTCTATGTAAATCAGCAACCATTGAGCCGATATATCTTGCGGAGTAAGGTTTCCCGTCATGATCCTGTGGTTTTTTCAAAGAATCGATGAATTCGACAATATGTTTATCCCAATAATATGAATTCCCTTCATTTATTGAATAAATTGATCTTTGTGATGGGATTCTTAATTCTGGGTGTACAAGGATGAATTCACCTAAAGTATTATCTAAAGTGAATCCACTCACACCATTTCCAAGGGTTAACATTAAATGAGTGGATGCACCGTACATAGCGTAACAAGCACCGACCATTTCAGCACCATGTCTAAGAACGTCAGCAGTAGAACCTGTGGAACCAGGTAAGATTCTAAATATTGAGCAAATAGTACCAACGGATACACCTGCATCTAGGTTTGAAGAACCGTCAATTGGATCGCAACAGATTGCATATTTTGAATCGTTATGATGGAAAATGATCATATCTTCTTGTTCTTCTGAGATCACAAGTTTAACAATCCCACTTGCGCTCATTGCATTAATAAAAATTTCATCACCCAGAACATCTAATTTTTTTTGCTGATCACCTGTAGAATTGGTATTACCTGTAATACCGACTAAATTAATCAATTCTGCTTTACGAATTGTTTGTGAAATAAATTTGAATGCAAAACCTAGTGCATTTAATACTAGTGTAAAATCACCTTTAGCACCTTTAATTGATTGTTGAGTTTCAATAATAAAACGCGGTAACGTAACCAAATCAGTGTTAATATCTTCCAGGGAATCTCTTCTGTGACTAATTGCGGGCATCTTCTTGGGTGTAGGGTTTGTGTATGTGTGTGAATATACTCAATTTATTTTTCAAAAGTAAGAAATTATAATTCCAACTAAATAAAAGCTACAAAGATAAAGTAATTAGTTAATTCTGATTGTTTATTCATACATATATATATATATATATATATGAATGATGGCAAATCCATATTTTATCATAAAAGGAGTAGGTTGCCAGCCATACCCTAAATATAATGTATGTATTATTTTTACAACGAACGAATCATAGGAAAAATACGATAAATGTAGGACATTAGAATAAAAGCTCACTATTAACGTGGGATATACATATTATTATGAAACGTGGGATATAAGCTAGCCGCTGACCCGAAACCCCGATATGTCAAAACAACCGTTCCAGGGTCTTTTCTCTCCTCTTTTATTGCCATTTATCCGAGGATTACATAAATATGTGAGGCTACCCATTCCCATTCCCTCTTTTTTTAACAGACGAACCCGCGTGCAATAACCGGATTTCGTTCTGTTCGGTAGCTTTCCCGAACAGATATCCCTTTCGGATGAATGGAATAATCTGTTTTTTAGCGAGGAAAAATATTTGCAGTATATTAGGGGTATGGCTGTGCATATGCTGCTCCCCGTGCACAGTGACACAATATGGTGAGGGAGCACCGCATCCCTCCAGACCTTGCGACATATATATATAGCCGAGGGCGTGAATGTAATTTCAATACAATTCAAAATTTTGTTGGGGTGCATCACTCCAAACGGCACACACGTGACCCGACGCGTAAAGTTATTCTATTTTCACATTCTCACTGAATTTCGGTTTTCGCGTATTTCTCTTATTTTGTCCCTTTGCACGAAGAACAGCTTTTTTTTTGTTCGTTTTGTTTGATTCACGGCAACGGCAACAGCAACAGCGAAAGAGACAGAGAGAACGGGTACGCGTGTGCAAGTTTTGTATGTAAATATTTACTATGTTGACGTGGCCTCTCTCTCTGCCAGCTAAAGAAAAGACGCGATTCCATTTCCATTTTCATTGGATTTGTGCTTACGTACTGCAACACGAACATTGGTAAAGAAATTTTTCATTATTATTGAATCATTCCTAATGGACACTCAAAGGTCTCGCTGTCAATAACTTCATAACCTATACATACGTATATATATAACTATACCTGAACTTGATAGTAGTAGATCATATATATATTTTTGTGTTTGTACGTATCGTATCTATTAGTTTAGTATCATATTATTAACAAAACTATCCAGTTATACACATCTACATCTACATACATAATGTCCTCTGTTCGTCTGTTGGACTTATTTAAGCCATTTGAAGCTTTCTTACCTGAAGTTATTGCTCCAGAAAGAAAAGTGCCTTACAATCAAAAATTGATTTGGACTGGTGTCTCTCTATTAATCTTTTTGATTCTAGGTCAAATCCCATTATATGGTATTGTCTCTGCTGAGACTAGTGATCCTTTATATTGGTTAAGAGCCATGCTGGCTTCTAATAGAGGTACTCTAATGGAATTAGGTGTCTCCCCAATCATCACCTCTTCCATGATCTTCCAATTCTTACAAGGTACTCAATTGATCTCTATCGATCCAAAAAATAAACAAGATCGTGAATTGTTTTTAGTTGCTCAAAAAGTTTGTTCTATTGTCTTGACCTTCGGTCAAGCTTTAGTCGTCGTATTGACTGGTAATTACGGGAAACCAAGCGATTTAGGTATTGCCATCTCTTTAATCTTAGTTTTCCAATTGATGTTTGCTTCCTTCATCGTTTTATTATTAGATGAATTGTTAACTAAAGGTTACGGTCTAGGCTCAGGTATCTCTTTGTTCACCGCTACAAACATTGCCGAAACTATCTTCTGGAAAGCGTTTGCTCCAACTACCGTTAATACTGGTCGTGGTAACGAATTCGAAGGTGCTGTCGTCGCTTTCTTCCATTTGATCTTCGTTAGAAAGGATAAGAAGAGAGCTCTTGTCGAAGCCTTCTACAGAACTCCTTTACCAAACATGTTCCAAGTTCTGGCTACCATCGTTGTCTTCTTATTTGTTCTATATTTACAAGGTTTCAACTACGAAATTCCTGTGAGATCTACTAAGATCAGAGGTCAAGTAGGTTCTTTCCCAATTAAATTGTTCTACACTTCTAACACTCCAATCATGTTACAATCTGCTTTGACTTCAAACGTTTTCTTAATCTCTCAAATGTTATATCAAAAATTCCCAAATAATGCTGTCATTCGTTTGATCGGTGTCTGGGGTAACAAACCAGGTTCTCAAGGTATGTCCGCTTTGTCAGGTCTGGCTTACTACATCCAACCAATCGTCTCCGTGAAAGAATTCTTCTTAGATCCAATCAAGTCGGTTATCTACATCGCTTTTGTTCTAGGAACTTGTGCCTTATTCTCAAAGACTTGGATTGAAATCTCAGGTACCTCTCCACGTGACGTTGCCAGACAATTCAAAGAACAAGGTATGGTCATTAATGGTAAGAGAGAGTCAAACGTCTACAGAGAATTGAAGAAGATCATTCCAACTGCTGCTGCATTTGGTGGTGCAACCATTGGTGCCTTGTCTGTGGGATCCGACCTTTTAGGAACTTTAGGTTCTGGTGCCTCTATCTTGATGGCTACTACCACCATCTACAGTTACTACGAAACTGCCGCTAAGGAAGGTGGTTTCTCTAAGGATTTGGTTCCAGGCTTCTCTGATCTAATGTAGATAATCCCTGCACAAAGAAAAAAAATCCCTTCATCATCATCGATATATATATATCCATATATCTATACATTTCTATAATTTTTTTTTCCAATAATAATATTAAATTACGTTATAGATACCTCATACCATGTTTCTCTATATTTATATGGATTATTTATAGGTATCGTTGCTCGTTTGCATTGTTCGTATAACCTATTTGCTGATCCTAGATTAGCGGCGCGTTGCTCAACAAGCCCATTCATTTTCTTTTCATCCATTCTCCTATACATTTATATATATATATCGAGAGAGATGTACATAATATGTCTGGATCATGCTAGTTCGTAAGGTTTTTACTGTATATATTGATGAGGATGGAAGCATAATAATCACAGTTCATATATTATGGTCGAGGATAAGAATTCTATTAGTGGTAAATTGCAACCTGGACCCAACTACAATAAGATCACTGACGAGAAAGAGGTCGTATTGAAACAAATATGGACTAATTTGTTTCATTTGTGGAACGTAGAAGTAGATGGGACCAATGCATTTAGTGATCGTCGTCTTACTGCTTATAACACCCATAGCAGTACTGAGTCTGAAAAGAAACCAAAGAAAAAATCATCAGGCGGTTGGTTTGGATTTGGTTCGAGTTCCTCTACTTCAAGTGATGCAACGGGCGGTAATGAACACGACTCGATGGGTATCAATTCTTATGAAAAGGGAGTCGTACATTCTTCATTTGATGGATTAGATGCAAAATTGGCTGAAAAAGTGTTTTGGGATATGTTGAGAGTAGATCCTCCAGATTCCACTATATGGAGATTCTCTAGTGCCAGGAAGTTTAATTCAAGCAAAGCCACTAAAATGATTGCTCACACTATTAAGTTTCGTTCAGAACATAATATGGAACAACTATTGAATAAAGGTGATTATGATGTGTTTAAGAATAAAGAAGAAGGTGTGATCTTGAATTTTAACTTACAAAAAGCTGTTATTGTTGGAAGAGATCTTAAAGAAAGACCATTTATCTTAGTGAGACCTAAATTCCATCATTCTCATGAACAAACTGAAGCAGATATCGAAAAGTTTGCATTAATTGTTATTGAAATCTCTCGATTATATATGAGAACTGGTTACACTTCAATCATATTTGATTTGACAGATTTCAGTTTATCGAATATGGATTATGCTCCAGTAAAGTTCTTAATCACTTGTTTTGAAGCTCATTATCCAGAATCTTTAGGGTGTCTGTTAATTCACAATGCTCCTTGGTTGTTCAGTCCAATTTGGAACATCGTAAAGAACTGGCTGGATCCAGTAGTTGCCTCAAAGATCATATTCACTAAGAATTTGAGTGAGTTGACAAAATTCATTGCAAAGGAAAACATTCCAAAATATTTAGGTGGCGAAAATGATTTTGATCTAGATAACTATGTCCCACCAGATGGTTCTCACGATGAGGCATTGAATGATACTGCAGGTAAAGATGCAGTATTAGTATTAAGAGAGCAATTGATTGCTACCTACAAAGAATTAACAGTGAAATGGATCGAGACAAATGATCCAGAAAAATCAAAGGAAATATGGAACCAAAGAGTTTCCATTGGTCAAGAAATTACAAATAATTATTGTGAATTGGATAAGTTCATTAGATCCAGATCCTACTATGATATCACTGGTACATTGGAGATTTGATTTGCCAAAAACGTATACTGGATAGCATATTCATACATTGTTTGAGTTGATCTTTTTCTATATATATCACAAGTACGACTAATTTATATAATTACCTGATAGAAAATGATAATCACCATCCTTCCTATCGCGTTGCACTAATTAGCCGTGGGATAGATACAATTAATAATTTTTAATAAAGTAAACAAACAATAAATATTGACGCTTTTGAAATAACATATTAACTTAAACAGAGGTTGTTAAAACGAGTTAATAATTCATTCGAAACTATTAATAACATAAAAAACATAGCCAACAGATATATGTCGAATACTTTAGATACTCCTCTCTTTGATCTTATCCATGCTCCGATCGACATCTCGCAATGGGAATTGAAGGCACTTCTAAAGAAAGTCTACTCGATTGTACCAAGGCATGGTATATCTCCAATGATGATTGCTCCATTTATTGACTTTCTTTGTACTACACAATTAATCTCGACAGCTACAAAAATTTCGTTAATCGAACAGTATTTGATACCGAATGGGTACCTCGGTAGAGATGTGGTTGCCACAATATTTAAACACCTGGGTACACCAACCATATATACAGAAAAAACTAATAAAATACCTGTAAAGTATGTTCAGATTGCATTGTGCAGATGGTTGGTTCACGTTTATTTTTTATTGCCTGAAACACAGGATGAATTGACACTCTCAACATGGTTACAGCTATGGCAATTTGATTACCTTCAAAAATGGATAACTTTTATAATAGTTTGGAGCACTCGAAGTAATTTAGATATTAAGACCTGGAAAGTTAATCTATTACTGAAAATAGCTAAAAATAATGGGTACGTCAATTCGAGAACAAATTCAACATTGATTCTACGAAAATATTTGACTGTGCTGAATCATTCCATCAAAGTATCAAATACTATGGATGAAATAAATTGTTCTGAGTCTGATTTAAAAGAACTACAAGATTTGCAATGGAATTTTGAATTTATAAAGACCTTAAAAATTGTTCTCAATAGGGAGTCCTCCTTCAAATTTAATAATTCTATTGTAGATGATAAACTGGATGAATTGGTATCCCAATTGAGAACATCCGAGGTGAATTCCAGAAAATTGAATTTCCTTGGTACAATGCCAGAAGACAAATCAATATTATCTGAGACTAAAACAATTGTACAGTTATACAAAAATTGGAATTACCTAAAATTGCCTAAGAATGTAGAACTTGTAATAACTGACAATCAATATTCGATACCTCAGTTGTTCCCATTGGTACTTTCCCATTTGGAATTATCACTGGAAAATAAAGCTGTTGAAGAATTTTGGATAAGGATGTATAGCTACTTAAAGATCCATTTGGGTAGATGTTTCTATGAGAAACAACTCACTGCAAAAGAACGAGCAGCATTGTTTAACACAATCATCCAATGTTGTGTTATTTATAATAGATTTATTCCTGGTATAATTAATGATTTCTTAACTCTACCTAATTTATTTTCTAGTAAGGATCTGTTCATGACAATTTGCATGAGGTTATTACCTATAATGCCTCCACCAGAAAACCAACCTAAATTTAAAAATAAAATACTAAAAGTTCTGGCCATCTGTCTCCTAACAAAACAAAAATTGGATTCGAAAAGTGATCGAGGCTCCTTATATAAATCTACATTCGGGATTACATGTTATGTGATAGTACAGATGATACAGAATTGGTTACTCCATACGCAAGAAGATACAATAATATTATACGCTTTAGAGCTTCTTGGTGATATACGGAAGTTGCTCTTATCAAATATGACGCATTCTCTTTCAGACAGAAATATCACAATGTCTTCAATCATGTTGATAGAGGCTCAATCCTCTTTCATTGAGTATTATCAAAAAATTCGTAAACCGGGGCAGAGAAGTGTTACTATAATTGATAAAGTAATTTTCAAAAATAATGTAATGGATAAGTTATTGACATTGGATGATTCATTAATGATAAACCATTGTTGTTCTTACTTTATTACAGCGAACAGGTTCATTAAAGATAGTCCGGCACCAAATGTTTATGTTCAATTATACAACCAATATATTATGGATTTGACTAACTATTTATGGAGGAGTAGAGTTGCTGATTCGAAAAATCTTTTTGGGATTCCAACTGATTTTATAAAAAGTATCTATGAAAACTTGGTAGGAGGCAAAAACAGTGAATTGAAATTGAAATACTTGTTCAGTATTAAGGGTATTCCAGCAATATCATCTGTTATAACATTATTATTGAGAAGAATCGAACAAAGAAATCAGTGTACTATTCAGTATTTATATCCGATAACAGAAGATGGTTTTCGTAAATTTCAAAAGGATTTTTCTGAGGGAGAAAATACTTTACAAAAAAAATGGGTTCCTGAAATTAATACATTTAATGATTTTAATGTTTTATTACTGGAAGAACTTTCAAGAATGAAACAATACCAGTCTCTTGTTCGTTTCTTAACGGTATATATGAAGAGTTTATCTCATATTCACGTATATCCATGATTGTTGATTATGCTTTGTTTATATTTTATATCTAAGCGGATTAACATTCCAATTAAATTGTGGTATACTTATATATTTACATGTAGTAATTAATACGTATAAAAAAAACAATGGTTGGATTCAAGTGAGTTTTATTACATTTCACTTTAAGTTGATATTTACATTTCCTTGTTTTTCTTGTTTTTCTTGAACACAAAACTAACGATATTAAATTTTAGTATCATTTTGTCATACGTTCTATTTACCAGGTATGGCCTTCCTGTTGGATCTTTAAGTAGATATTCATAAACATAGTCCCGTCCCTTCTTAAACAAATCTTTTTCAGCTACGAATTTAAATTTCGATCTACCGTTAATAACCACTTGATAGTGTTTAAATGGCCACTCAGTCATACGCTCCTTCACTGGCCATTCATAATGATTCCATGTTGCTAAAGCTGGTTGTTTCTCCTTTATTATGGATGCCATTTCTTCTGTTACGGATGGTGTAACTGGATATATCATTGTAATTAATTTTTGTAAATTCAACATAAGCATTTCATCTCTAACTTTCCTATTCATTGAAGCTTTATCTAGTAGAAGTGTAACCTTCATATAATCCGATATGACTGTATTTAGATGCTGGCATCTTTCAAAGGAGTGTGTTATGCTCTTTATGTAACGTTGTATTTCGTTATGGAATTCCACTTCAAACTCATTTAATCCGTCTTCAACAGGTGTTCTAAAGTCTATTTCAAACTGTTTGAATTCGCATATTCTATCTGTTAAGGAAGAAATCTTTTGTAACCAACGTTCAATACCGATTATTTTAGACTCATCCCAACTCAAAACATCTTGCTCAGGTGCTTGGAACAGAATATGTGCTCTTGTTGCATCAGGTCCATGGTGGGTTATACATTTATCTGGATCTGCACCATTATATTTAGATTTTGACATCTTCTCATATGAAATGTCTGGTGTCTCGCCTGTGGCTTTTATAACTAGCTTATTCCCTGTATTATCAAGCTCATCAGGTTTCAGAAATTTACCAGTTTTAGGATCAACAAATGTTTTACCATGTACCATACCTTGGGTAACTAATTGATTGAATGGTTCAAAATGACGCATTGTACCATCCCACATATTAATTGAGCCCAAAAATTTACTGACAAATCTCGAATACAACAAGTGCAAAATGGCATGTTCAACTCCACCAACATATATGTCGACAGGCATATTTTTGGAGGCCATGTCATAATCAAATGGTAATTTTTTGTTTTTGCTATCAAGATATCTGAAATAGTACCAAGAACTGTCCATAAATGTATCCATTGTATCAGTTTCCCTTTTTGCATCTGCACCACAACTTGGACACTTCACATCAACAAATTCGTGGATATGGGCCAAAGGATTTCCACCTCTTGTCGGTAATTCATGGATATCTGGTAATACTACAGGTAGATCTTTCTCTGGAACTGGGACAGATCCACAAGAGTCACAATGTATAATGGGTATAGGAGTACCCCAATATCTTTGTCTACTAATTAACCAGTCTCTCAGTCTATACTGATCAATCTTCTTAGCAATACCATTTTCAACCATTTGATCTACCATCTTTTCTCTTGCCTCTGTAGTAACCATCCCTGCAACCTCGCCGGTGTAATCTTCCATATAACCAATCTTTTCGGTGAATGGTACTGGTAAATTAATAAAAAATTCACTTTCAATTGGTTTGACACATGTAGTAATAGGTTCGTTAGGTAGATTCTCATTACTAAAGACATAATCACGACTATCATGTCCAGGGACACCCATAACTGCAGCTCCCTTTACACCTTCTTCATTGGCATATGATGCAATAACGTACGGTGCCACAAATATTGGAATTTCCTTTTTTGTCCATGGGTTAATAGCTATAATATCAGTAATTCTAAAGCCGGACATTGAATCATCGGGAAGGTCATGGATACCATCAACATATTTTTTAAGGTTCGAGTTTGTTTTGATATATTTAGATACAATTGGATGATCGTAGGATATAGCTATAAATTGGACTGCAGATATTGTTTCGGCCCTTGTAGTGTATACAGAAAATGTCTTAAGTTCCGCACAATTGGTTTCAAAAATAATTCTTGCACCTTTTGATTTCCCTATCCAATGGCGTTGCATTGTTTTTACTTTATCTGGCCAATTTTTCAATATATTCAAATCTTTAAGTAAATCTTGTGTATAGTTGGTTATTTTTAAAAACCATTGATTTAACATTTTCTTTTCAACAATTGCACCAGACCTCCAAGAACGACCCTTCGCATCGACTTGTTCGTTCGCTAAGACAGTCTTATCTACGGGATCCCAATTAATTTCAGCTTCCTTTCTATAGGCAAGTCCGTTTTCGTACATCTTTAAGAAAATCCACTGATTAAATTTATAATACTCTGGATCACAAGTTTTCACTTCTCTATCCCATGAAAAATTTGCTAACATATTATTCATTTGTTTCTTCATTTTCTCAACATTTTCGTTAGTCCAAACTTTAGGATTAATTCCTCTTTCAATTGCAGCATTTTCCGCAGGTAAGCCAAATGCATCCCATCCCATCGGATGTATGACATCATGTCCCCTCTGTTGATAAAACCTATTCAAAGAATCACTGATAACATATACTCGAAGATGGCCCATATGTAGCATCCCCGATGGATAAGGAAACATCGATAAGATATACATGGAATTAGGTCTGTTTGTAACGAGATTTACCTTCCCGACAGGAGTTTGAATACCATTCAACGTAACAGGTTTCCATTTTTCGCTGATATTAATTAATCTTTGTGAGAGCTTCTTGATCTTTTGAGCTACTTGTACCCCAGATTGCGGTATTTTCGATGACATTATTGCTCAAGGATTAAAATCATAAATATTTCTTAATGGTGGTTTTGAAATTTTTTTATGGGGGTTGCTATAAAATAACTGATATAATGGAATTTTTCTAGCTCGTTATTTTCAATATTTGGGGTTTTGCTTTTCGAAATCAATAAAACAGTTTGTTAAGCTTGTTACTAAATAAAAAATTGTACTTTATAATTTCGTTTGTTTTATCTAAGAACTTTTAAGTTGTTTGGGTTGGAAATAATAATTCACAATTATATCAAAGGTTAAAATCTTCAGGTATCTCTTAGCTGCATTCATAAAATATGTAAGTAAACAAATTCCGCAAAATGTTCTTATAGTTTATAATACAAATTAGTAAAACAGTTTAGGTAATATGTAATCCTCTATAAGTGGTAAGCTGGTTCGCAGTTTAGAAGTAACATATGCCTTGCTAAATCTCCTATACCTAGAAGAATCGTTTCAGACCTTAAAAGCTTCAATTTTTCAAAGTCAACCGTCCCTACGCGGTGTTTATTTTTATTCTTTTCAGTGCATCTAACAATCGCGACTCACGAGAAACTGTTTACGTTAATTATTTTAGTGCTCAATGGAGTTTAATTTACAAGGAGTGGAAGCATTTACAGATAAAATAACACCTTCTCACAAATATTATAGGGCAAAAGAATAATCTCATAAGTCAGCTATAAGAATCCATCGAAATGACCACGGAACTAGCCTCTGCGGAACTAGCGTCTAGGGGATCAGCGAAGAGATCTCTCGATGAGGTGGATAAAGAATTACTCGATTTTACTGCCAATACAGAGGCAATCAGGAAAGAAGAACTGCGGCAAGCTCCTAAGAAAAGGAAACGTGCTTATGAGGCTATGACTCAATATTCTAAAATAACCCAATCCACTGATGAAGATGTTCCGGATGAACCAGTTCCAGGATATATTCAGAAAGTAAAATTACGTAACTTTATGTCACACGAAAATTTCGAATTAGAATTAGGTCCACAATTAAATTTTATTGTGGGTAATAATGGTAGTGGTAAGAGTGCCATTCTTACGGCTATCACGATTGGTCTGGGTGGTAAGACAAGTGATACTAATAGAGGTACCAAATTGACAGATTTGATTCGTGAAGGTACTGCATCTGCAAAGATCACTTTGCATCTAGATAATAGTGGTATGGGTTCATATGAACATGAAAAATTTGGTGATACTATTATTATTGAAAGAACTATTCGACGTGATAGTTCTAATGTGTTCAGTGTAAAGACAGAAAATGGCACTGAAGTCGGTAGTAAGAAAAAAGATGTCCAAGTTATCATTGATTTCTTTTCTATTCCAATTAGTAACCCTATGTGTTTTTTGTCTCAGGATGCAGCAAGAAGATTTTTAACAGCAAGTACTTCTCAGGATAAATATCATCATTTCATGAAAGGTACTTTACTAGAGGATACATTTTTGAACCTAAAGGAAGCAAATTCTATTATCAGTAACACTCAAGAGAACATGAGGTTACGTATGGAGTCATTGATGAATCTGAAACAAGAATATAAAGACGCTAGAAAATTAGCACGTCAGTTCAATCAAACTACTAATCTTAATGAAAGGAAAATGTTACTATATGCTAAAGTGTTATCGCTTGACATTGAAGCTAATACAAAATCAAGCCAACATTTGACCTCTGGAATCGAAGAGGATGAAAAATCCATTAAGAAATGTGTTGAAAAGATAAAATCTCGTGAAAATGATATTAGTAGATTTACGACTGATCAAACTTTAACAGAACAAAAAATTGAAGAACAAATGCTAATTATTAGTCAAAAGGAAGGAGAGTTTAGAATGAAAAGTGAGGACGTAAAAGAATATAGAAATAAATTCAATATTGAAGATGGCAATATAAAAGAAGCTGGAAGAAATATCGCCGATTGTAAAGATAAAATTAGGCATCTAAGCAAGAAAATTGCAATGTTTGAGAATAAATTAAGCGAAGAGATGGGTGGTGATAGGGACGATATGAAACAACAACTTAAACAGCTGGAAATAGATATTCAAGATGATCGTAACAATATTGATGTATTTACAACAACTTCTAGGGATCTTCGTAGCAATGAGGATGCCATTTGTAACCAACGTCGTACCGAATTAGCTGGGTTGGAAGAGAATATCAGATCAAAAAGTATAGAATTTGCAAAAGTTAAAACTGGTAATAATAATTTCCTATTCAATTTTGACAGAAATATAAATCGTTTACTTGATGAAATTAACAGAGCCAGAAATCAATTCTCTACGATGCCTATTGGACCGTTGGGTAAGTATGTTAGTGTCAAAAGTGAATATAATCAATGGACTCGTAACATTCAAAAGTTTTTATCTTCAACGGTTAGTTCAATTGTTGTCTCGAATCTGAATGATGATAGATTGTTGAGAAACCTAATGAGAAAATGTGGCATAAGAAATATTGGTGTACTTATTTACAAAATAAAAAAGTTTGATACATCGTCCTTCCTAATTAGATCCCAGTTTCCTACGGTATATGATGCATTGACATTTGACACTCCGGAAGTTGAATGTTTATTCATTGATGTTACATTCTTGGAAAAGGTTGTTCTGGTCGAAGATTATAAATCTGCTAGGCAGTTCCTAAGAGGTAATCCAGGGAAAATCAGATTGGCACTATCATTAAGAGATCATAATAGTGGGTATCAACTACGTGGAGCAAATCAATTAGATTCAGTAACTTACGATTCACAAATTAAGATGAAGGTAGGGTCATCTAATGAAGACAATCTTGCATATCTTATACAATCGATAAATGAAGATAAAAGTGAAATGGAAAGGATCAAGGGAAATTATGAAACGTTATTACACGGCAAGAGGGCAGAAATTAGAAAAGCAGAGGAAAATATAAAATCACTTGCAAAAGATTTAAAAATAAAAAACGATCAAATTACTCAGTTGTCTATTAAAGTAAATGCTGTTGTAGACACTGGTTTATTAACATCTATGAATGAAGAAAAACAGAATCAGGAGAAAGCGATTGTGGTATATGAAAATTCTATTAAGGAATTACAGTCTAGGCTGGATAAAATTACCGAGGAGGTTGTTCCGGTAAAAGAGATATATGATGCGGCTAAGAAAGATCTTCGTGAAGCCAACAATATTCTGGATGAACTTAAAACGTCGATTAATAGAAGAACGGATAAGCTTGAAAAGTATAAGGCAGATATCAAGAAATATGGATATCAAAAGGAAAAATATAGTGATAGGATTGCATCCCTTCGACAAAATAATGAGTTACTTCTGGAAGGTATTGAGAAACAAAGACTAAATTTACAACAGGTATGTAGTATAGAAAAATTGGAATCAGAAAATCTACCGAATGATAAGGATGAATTGAAGCAGGAGATGGATAAAATTAACAGAGATATAAAACGGGCGGAAAACTCTATCGGTGTTTCACAAGAAAGGGTTGTTGAGTTGTTCAATGAAAGTAGGACTAAGTATAAGGAAGCTCACAGAAAATTGACTATAATTGAGACAACATTAGAGAAATTACATGAGTCTGTTAAGACTCGTGTTTTTAATTATAAAAGTAACTTGAATGAAACCTGTCTCAGTGCAACATTGGACTTCATTTCTTCTTTAAAGTTGAGAAAATTAACAGGTAAATTGGTTTTTATAAAGGATCAGCGTAGTCTTGAAATATACGTCTCGACACCTGGTGATGCCACGGAGAGAAGTGTCGATACATTATCTGGTGGCGAAAAGTCATATTCACAAATGGCATTACTTTTGGCTACATGGAAACCAATGCGTTCAAGAATTATTGCATTGGATGAATTTGATGTATACATGGATCAAGTTAATAGAAAGGTCGGTACTGGGCTAATTGTAAACAAATTGAAGGATAATTTAAGAACTCAAACAATAATTATTACTCCTCAGGATATCGGTAAAATAACTGATATCAATGATACCAGTGTTAGGATTCATAAGATAAAGGATCCAAAAAGGCAAAATAATTCGGATAATACTACAAATTGATTAAATTATTTTGTATGTAATTTTGTAGAACATATTTATATTTTCAACTTAATATTTTTTAAGTGATATACATAAATATATAAAAAAGGACGTCAAGATTTTATATTATTTGACTGATAAAAATTCGAGGATAAGAAGAGAAAAGCATCGCCCAGTACTAAAAATCAACGATCTTGTTCTTCTCAAAACTTTTAATCTCCGGCACAGGAATTTCTGGAATGTAATATACCTCACCGCTTTCATCGACTCTCTCTCTATCTTTTTCACTTATGTTATATATTTCCTTTACATTATCTCTTAACAAGTCCATAACTTCGGTAAAGGTTTTTTGGATTTGGTACGCTTGTTCCCTTTTATTACGTCTACAAAGACCATCCACTAGCTTTGTTGCGTCAGGCTTTGTTTGTTCTAATCTTTCGATTAATCTACCAATAGATTGGACTAAATACTCTTCCTCATAAATAGTACCCTTCTTACCACGGGCACGTTTACGTTCCTCACGACGTTTATTCTTGGCAGTACGTCTGGATGCCCCTGTCTTGGCAGTACCTCCAGTTTTACCAGTGTATCTTGTAAAAAATGACTCTTTAGTGGATGTTTCAGACGGAGCAATCGAAACATCATCAGATTGTTCGGTTTCTTGACCATAGAAAGCATACGGGTCCTCCTCTTTTTTAGTACGTAATTCTCTTAATCTTCTCAATTGCGAGTTTACTTGGCTCTTACAATCTGCTAGCAATTCAGCAACTGTACCAAATCCTTCGCCCAAGGCAGGATCGATAATTTTCTCTATTAGTTCTGTTTTTTTTGCTGTAGAGGCTATCAGACTAGCAGAAGCATAGTAGTATGCCTTACAGTATAATTCCATAGCGTTTTCAGTATTGTTCAGATATTTTAACTCGATTTGAGCAGCATCGATATACTTGTGTTCAAAAGTCAACGATGTCACTAATTCTTCAGCAATTATTGACACTGCATCTGGTTGATGTACGTTAGCAATATCAATGGCTTCCTCCCATCTTTTACCAGAAACGTAGGCATTCATAGATTCGGTAAAATCACCGAGCATCTCATAAATAATAGCAGCGTCGGAATACTGTTGTATAGATATTAAATGTTTTGCAAAATGCGCATAAATGTTATTTTGTCTTTCTATGTCATGACGGTAAAGTGATAAAGCATGTTCATAAAGATCATGCAATTTAACATAGTTTATTAGCTCTTCGGAAACTGTAGAATCTTCCTTTTCTAAATTCACTAAATCTTCTAATGCCTTTTCATATTTACTTAGGTAATCATTAATCATAAATTGACGGCGCAGAGGTTGACTATCATGCAACGATTGTAAAAATGGTAAGTATTCACGAGGATCCATTTGTGACTTTTGGGCCACAAGGAGTGCTAACTGAACGTCATACAGGGATAAGGAAACTTTATAAACTAAATTCACATCTTGCAGGAAACATAAATAGGTAACGCTAGAATCCATTTCTTTTGGATCCTCTAGAGAACTAATTAGAGTTAATGCATCTTCTAAGTTTTGAGGGTTCTGGGTGGCGTACGCAGTGATGATAGTTTGCATATATTTCTTCTTATATTCAGAATTATTCAATAACACTTCTAGCACGGCAGAACATATTTTGTTTATCTTTGACTTTGAAGAATCAAAAAATTTATTTTGTATGTACTGTTGCATTTCAGTTAGAGGTTTTTTTGTTATTTCAAAACTATCAGACATACCAACATTTAAGGTTTCCTTATATTTGGTCTCCGTGACATCATCTTCAGTCAAACAGGATACAAACAGATTCAGATAATCCACATTGTCGATTTGTTGAATAAACAAATCCAAGTTTTCCAAAAATACTTCAGGAGCATAATCATACAAAATATCCAAATGGATTCTGTGGGTTCTACATTGAATAAATGCATCTTTATACTTTTTTGCTACGATATTTTTACGAACTTCGGAAAGAACCATTATTCTTGGATATATTGTTTCTAAGTTACCACGAGGTGCCTGAAGAATAACCGAAGCCTTAGATGGTATCGTAGAAACTAGGACAGAACCTCTTTCAATAGCACGAACTCTCTCATCTTCAATGTCATTTTCGACCATAGGCAATGCTTGGAATTTTGTTGTGTTAAGATGAACAAATTGTAAATTGTGTTGAGCTGTTGTGAATAATAAGAAATTGTCAGTAATTTCCAATGATGTAACAGCTGAAGTTAACAATGTCTTATTGGCATATAATTTACCGTTGTTCGTTAGACCAAACGCAACTAATTCAGAGCTTTCTGTAGTCCATTGACCTTCATCAGCGGTATGGGAGTTATGGACTCTCTTAAATCTAAAATCACGGACCAATTCAGGAAATTGGGTCACATTATTGGTTTCACCTTCAGAATTTAGCTCTATTATAGACCCATCTCTAGTTTGATAAACAATGCTATTATAGTCAAAAGAACTTCTCATTAAGATCACCTTATCGTATACCTCTACTATGGAAATAACATTAGGTTCAGAGACATCTTGAACATTTATCAGCACAATTCTTGAAAGATTATCAGAGTCAATCAGCACACCGACGATAGCATCATTGATAAAAGCAACTTGACGTAAAGAATCATATTCGCTAGAGAAATCTCCTTTAGGATAGATGCATGCAATGGAAGGGTGGTTTCCTTTCTTCAATTCGTCTATACCTAAAATAGTTGCCAAAACCAATTCATCCTTCGTAATAGCAACGTATATTTCGTTAGACAAACTAACAGTGACATCGATTACATTATTAGGCGCATCAAAGTCTCTGAAATACATAGGTGGAGGACAGTTTGCAATAGCTAGCGGAGATACATTGACAGTAGTTCCATCAATAACTAAACTATTCCCATTATCAAATGGCTCCAGCATTGGGCCTTGTGTCATTTTGTAGGCCAAGTCTACAATATTGACACTTTCTTTGTTATTACCATACATCAAGGTAAACTCTTTTTCTGGGTGCCATTTAATAAATAGAATATTATCTGAATAAACTTCTTGCTTCAAATACCAATGGTAATTCTTTGATGTCCATAACTGAATTCTATTTTCAAGAAGGATAGCCAGAATTTCAGAATTACTATTCCATGCAAGATCGAGGACTCTCTCTTCCAAAGGTAACCTTGTATCAAACTCTCCATGTCTTAACCCGTTTCTTTCAAAGAATATAACGTTAAGTGAGTTATCTTCACCTCTGTCAGCTTTACGTTCGATAGAAGCAATCAGTGCACCTTGAGGCTTCCAACTTAGTTGGCCCTCCATTCCGGTTACGGGTTCAGATGCACTATCTAGTTGACCCTCACGTGTAAAAACCCTAAGTCCTCTTCTCTTAATAGTAGAGCTCTCATCATCTGGATCTTCAACTGTTTCGATGGTAGACGTGACAAAATATTCACAGTCTCCTCTCCATGATATAGTAATTTTATGAGAGTCCAATGATGTAATTTCACCAGTATCAACCATATATGGCATTGTTGGATCTCTTAATTGGTTACCAACTAAACCCGAGGCCTTCAAACTAGCAAGAGCATCTCTTTCCATGGCACGAGTACCTTTACCCCTGAATTGAGTTTCTTTCTTACCCCAGCCGACAGTAACATGCTTGGAAATCTTTAGGTCATCCGCACTCAGGTGATACTCTGATATTGGTTCCAACATTTTACTCAATAAAACCATATTATGATCTGTAGTCACCAAAGCAAGAGTCTCTTCATCAAGGGACCATTCGGCAGCTTCGATACCACCGTCTAATGAACCTGCAATCTCGACAACAGTGAGTTGTGGATCAAACGTTGTTGGGTCGTATGTAGCAGATATAATATCACCTTGTCTAAAAACAAAGATCAATTGGTTCATGTCAGCAAAATGAATAAAAGAGAGTAATTCGTCATCAAATGTCTCGATATTGAAGGATGCCAGTATATTTTTGCTCCCAGTCTTAGTATATTGTTGGACTTCTATCATACCCACCTCCATGGAACCTAGTACACAAGTAATACTATCAGTCAACGTATCAAAGCAACTTTCCATTAAGGCAAGGTCTAGCTCCTCAGCTGAGCCCACAGGCTTCAATGTACCCTTGTTCAGCGTTATCAAATTACGCATCTAGTGTTGAAAAAAAAAATATAAAAACAGCCTCTGGAGCAGTCTCAATGGCAAGGTGTTCAATTGTATTATCTGTTGTACTCTTGAAATCTTTTTATGTACTTCTATATGGGTTACTAAGAACTGATTATGTATATATTATTACTTATTGTACTTCCTGTATGGATCGTCTTGATAGATTAATAATCACCTCATCGCTAAAATTTTTCAATTTCGAAAAACAAAAAATGGCACGGTAGGGTAATCATTAAAAGATTTGGTGCTGTGATCAGTCAAATTCAACGTAGTTATATTCCTTAATCTCTCAGAATTGGAATATCGCATTTGCAATGTGATATTATAACGTGCACACCATCAATTATGGATGAGTATATAATTTTGAACTGTCTATCTCAAGAGACAAATGTGCATTTAGTCTATTTTGTAAATAGAAGCACGTTCATTTCGAACTTCATATAGGAATAAAACTGAATACTTTATCCACATTAAAACGTACAAGCTTGATCAGAATAGTATGGGAGGAAAAATTGTTGTCATTATTGAATCTCTGCTAACTTTTCTTGTATTTGATCTTTCATGTTTGGTAAGGTGCCTTCCAACTCATGTATGCGTTTTGCATAGTAATAATTTGCTAATGTGATCAAAGTTACAGGTGTTGAATCTTCGTTTTTAGTATTGGAGCTCTCATCTATTCCTTGATCAAAGATATCCCTCACAATTGACTTAAGTCCTCTCAACGTTGTATTCTCAATATCTGGGGAATACATATGTACCAGTGGATGACGTACTACCTTTTCTAGGACCACTGCATCGACAAGTGGCTCTGTCAACAAGTCATCAAGTTTAAATTTTTTATTTCTATGAGCTAGTTTCTCTTGTTCCTCTAACACTATTTGTAGCAATAATAGCACAATATTGGTGGGATATTCCATGACCTATTCGACAAAAAAAAAAAGCACACACAAACAGTTTTTGAGTATTTAAATCAGTATACTACTAACTGGAAATAGATAATACCACTAGTAATTAAAAAATGTTAATAGGTTCATTCAGTTCTTCTTCTTCTTCTGCTTCGTCTTTTACTCTCTTGGTTGAGTGCTTCGTTCTGTTTAATTGTAAAATAGTTTCGCGACCTGACAAAACTTCGCATCACCAAAATGACGATAACAATAAACGTAAACAAATTAAAGAAGCAGATATAATATTTTATAAACTTAGCATTTCACTACTTTTACGCTCAAAGGTTATGGTTCTTGCCGAGTGATAGAAGTATTCGTATTACTTCCTAGAATATATTAAGCAATATATAATTTTTTACTACATTCCTCATTTATTGGGGCACTATTCTATTAAATTATTGAAAGGGTCATCTATAAGTTGACTATCACAACAATCTCGCCATGGATAAATCAATAATAAAAGGGTTGAATGACAAAGTATATGAAAAGAGAAAAACTACTGCACTAGAGTTGGAAAAGCTGGTTAAACAGTGTTTGGTCGATAATGACTACGCCAGAATTGATAAAATTATAAGTGAACTATGTAGGGATTACGCGTACGCCTTACATCAGCCAATGGCAAGAAACGCTGGTTTGATGGGATTAGCCGCTACTGCTATAGCACTAGGGTCAAATGATGTGTCGAAATATCTCAGAAATATCCTGCCGCCTGTTTTGGCTTGTTTTGGTGATCAGAATGACCAAGTCAGATTTTATGCTTGCGAGAGTCTTTATAATATTGCGAAGATCTCGAAAGGTGAAATTCTGGTATATTTTAATGAAATATTTGATGTATTATGTAAAGTGAGCGCTGATACAGAGAATTCTGTTAGAGGTGCAGCCGAATTATTGGATAGATTGATCAAGGATATTGTAGCTGAGCGAGCCTCTAGTTATATTAGTGTAGTCAGTAATAATCCTGATGATGTACCTCAATCTACCAATGTTGATCCTTTAACGGGTAATGTATATCAAAATAATTTTGAACAAAATGATGACTTGGCATTCTCGCTTCCAAAATTTATTCCTCTTCTTATTGAACGTATCTATGCTATTAACCCAACCACAAGAATGTTTTTAGTTGATTGGATTAAAGTGCTATTAAATGCGCCAGGCCTCGAGTTGATAACTTTTTTACCTGCCTTTCTGGGGGGTCTCTTAACCTTTTTGGGAGATTCTCATAAAGATGTTAGAGTGGCTACGCAATCATTATTGGATTTGTTATTAAAAGAAGTTATCAGAATAGCTACTCTACAAAATGATATTCAAAAGCGAATTGATGAACAGATGGGATTATTAAAAGAACAGAATATTTCAATAAAGAAAGAAGATGGTACTATTATTGCAGAAAGGAAAAAGTCATTGATGAATGCCTTTGGAACTGAACAGCAAGTGAAACCAATCGCTATAGAACAAACAGGTACGAATGTTGGTAGAGAAACCTTGGAATCATCATTAGGTGATATATCAGACTCAAATCAATTGCGTGATGGTGATGAATATATTCCCGGACAAGATATAAAATTAAATTTTCCTGATATTATTTCAATTCTAGTGAACAATTTAGCTTCTTCAGAACCAGAAATTCAATTACTCACGTTGAGTTGGATGGACACTATTTTGGGCCTCTCGCCCGATGATTTTATCCCATATTTATCCAAAATTCTATCCTTATTGTTAAAACTTTTAAGTTCTTCTGATCTTCACATCAGTGAAATATCCCACATATTAAACGAGAAGTTGTTGGTATTATGTTCAAACTATGATGAATCTAGATATCATGATTTGATTGCATATGGTTCTATTGTGAATAGTTTAACTTTGAAATTTTTTGATAGTGATGTGGAGGCTAAAGTTGCCTGTTTGGATTGGTTAATATTGATATACAGAAAAGCTCCATCTGAGATTTTAGAACATAATGATAGTATGTTCTTAACTTTATTAAAGTCTTTGTCTAATAATGATATCAGGTTAATTGAGAGAGCCCTGAATTTATTACAGAATTTATGTTCCAAGGCAAACGATAAATATTTAAGGAAATTCTTAGAAAACTTTTTAAATCTACTAAAAAAGGATCCAAAATTACTGAAGATGCGTGCAAACTATATCATGAGAAAGATTTGTGCAAGTCTAACTCCAGAACGTGTATACAAAGTACTGGCATCGATTCTTAACTCACAAGAAGATGTTATCTTCACACGTATGATAATTCAGATATTGAGTACAAATTTACTTACTGCGCCAGAAATGTCCATGTTGAGAAAGAAACTAAGGCAATCGGAAGATATTATGTTTTTCAATTTACTTTTTAAATCATGGTGCCCAAACCCAGTATCGGTTATAGCTCTCTGTTTCATAGCTGAAAATTATGAGTTAGTGTATGCTATATTGCAAATATATTCAAATCATGACATCAAACTAAATGATTTGGTGCAGTTAGATATTCTGATTCAATTTTTTGAATTGCCAGTATTTACAAGAATGAGATTACAATTATTGGAACAACAAAAATTTCCTTTCTTGTATAAGTCACTTTATGGGATATTAATGATGTTACCTCAATCAAAAGCCTACGATATACTTAATAAGAGGTTAACAAGTGTAAATGTATGGGCTAACCAATTTTTCCCAAACACAACATTCTATAAACCGAGGGTTACGTCAGCCTCTGGGTCAATAAGTGATCCCGACATTTCCCAAAGATCAGTGGGACAAAGTAAACTTCACTGTCAAGAGTTAATGGACCATTTTGATAAGATCGTTGGAACTGAAGATTTATTTGACCCAGATTATATATCGGCAAATAATTCGCAACTTCCAATTTTGGGAACATTCCTTAACTCTGCAGATGATGACCATGATTCTTCTTTACCTAACATTGGTCAAATAAACTTGAATGGTAACGACAATTCGGAAGTACCTAATGATGCAAGTTCTGTAATCGAGCATAACTTGAATCAAGACACCTCCACTACTTTACAATCTAGAAATACTCAGTAAGTTGATGTTTAGACCAGAAAAAACAAAAAAGGTTATATTATTAATCCCCCATCAAAGTCAATTTTATACATGCATTATATAATAAACGTGAAAATACATATGAAAAAATATCTTCCAATCCAATTATTGCAAGAACTCGTCTCTATAATGTGTTTGGAAGTTCATTCTCCTCATTTCTTTACGCAATCTATCATCATTAGCTCTCTTTTCTACTTGTTGGCCGTTCTTTATACCTTGTTTAAATTGCCTTTCAGTTATCCCACTTACTAATCTTCTATCAGCCGCAGTGACAGTTGCTCTACTTTCTGAGGTTTCGTGTGTAGGAATATTTTGTCTGTAAAATCTTTGACCTGCCCTGTGGCCAAGTCTTGCACCAGTTGGAAGAGTTAGCTCGAGGCCGGTGTTATCTATTTCAACTCTGGTGTAGTTAGAGTTTATACCAACAGATTCTTCTTCTGAATCGTGGGAGGTATCTTCGTCTGATTTCGCATCATCTACATTTTCAAATCTGATGCTTTTCTTATTGCTATTAGATGAAGATGATTTGGGTTTATCCTCATCTTGAAGCGAGCTGAAATCATAAAACGGTTCAAATAATTCACGTTGTTCCCAAGTTTCGTAAGGCATCCAGCAATGACGTTTTGAATTCATATGAGCACGAATACTCTCTAAGGATGACCCTATAAAGTTACAACATAAGCAATTATAGTTGATGACAGTCAGATCGTATAGAAAGTTTAAAAGGCCAGGCAGGTCTATTAGATATGATCTTTCTGGGATATAAAGGCCGTGGTTTTGGAACATGTGCTTGACGTTTCTGTTTATTTCTTTATTTTCTACACCACAATAAATACATTTGGTGATTATCGAGTTTGCGAAATGAATATCATCAACATCACTCAAATCATTCTCTAAACCATCTGTGTCGACTGTATCATTTTCATAATTAGAATCACTAGTAAACCCATACTCAGAAGCTGTAGCTTCACCATAGGTTTCACCACTTTCCAATGAAACCTGAGACAGTCCGGATATCACTGACTCTGTCCTTGAGGTCGTCTTCTGTAGATCAATTTCACCCCTATCTTCTATATCAGATTCATTGGTTGTTTCAGACTTTATCTTTGATAATTTCGTAACACCATCATTGTGTTTATGGTGGTGATTAGGTAAGGATTTCAATAGTGGGAAACCAAACTCATCAACCTGATGTTTAGTCTGCTCTCTTTCAGATGTTTGCAACTTTTCTGCAAATTCATCGGATGAAATGGGTAGTAAATCTGCTATTCTTCTCTTCAAATTGTATCTATGCCAATCAGTCTTCATGTGATATCTTTGAAGATCACTAGACTTGAATTGGGTAACACATGCATTACACGTAAAAATTGGTTCACTCATAATAGATAATACGTCACAATAGCTTGCTATTCTTGATTAATGAGTTAGAGAGGTTAATGATTAATATATAGAATATGTTTTTACTAAAAATAGTTCACTGGGGGGATATAACTTTAAATATCGTTTTCTCCTTTAGGATTTTCGAATGAAAATTTGTTGTATATAATTTTTTTGATGTAAACTAAAAGCCGAAGAGTTGACGAACTCGGCCGACTCATTTCCTTGAGAGATTGTTTGTTATTAGAAGACATTATTGATATTTTTCAGTTGCTGACAGACTATTTATGTATATGTATATGTTGTTTTATATATTTTAGTCTTTTCTACCCACCGTGCTCTTTATAATACCGTACGTCCTTTCCTCTCATGCTCATCCAACACGGTATATGAAGTGAAAATGACTGAAGAGCTTTCTTATAGAAAGGAATGGTTTTGAAATTGGATAGAGGCATTATTTTTGGCTCTTGTACTTCTTGCTATTATGTCTTTCACCGCAGTTGGTAACAAATAAAAATATACTGTCACATATCCAGGAAGGTAAAAATCCAAACACAATAAGATACATATGTACACTACAATGTTACTTGGTACACTTACAATACAATTCTATGCAACAATTATATTATGTGCTACCTTAGTGCTAGGTGGGTCTGATAGCACATGTGCCCTATTGAAGGGCCACGAACTGGGAAATACCGATTTTGCAATCTAATTTCGTAATACGCCATTTAAAGGCGTCAAAGGCACTTTGTATAGTCTTCTGAATGAATCTTTCTATTATGTGCTTCATACAATGTGGGAGAAGTCACTGTTCCATCTTTCAATATAACAGTTCCTGATCCTGATGAACCAGTAACAGGACAAATATATCCTGAGATACCTTAGACAACTGTATTCAACTTTTCCACTTGATACTTGAGTATGTTCTCTACACTTACTACTGGCGACTAGACATTTCAAATAGATTCTGTAAGTGATGCCGCTATAATGTACATATTCGATAATTCGGATATGTATTGTTGCGATGATTTTGAAATTGTAGGATCGTTTCCTAGATCCACCCAAGTTATTAATATCCCAACAGACCCCGGACATACAGTAATTTCCAAAACCATTCATTTAGTTGGAGGCTTTCCTTATATGTTGTATTTCCAAATTATAAAATTTTCAGGTCATGCCATTTTCATGCCAACTATCACTTTACCATCAGGAGAAAACGTTAGCGACTTTACAGGTTATGTTTACGTTAACTATGAAGAATATTACTGTGATATGGGAAATGCTACATTTTCAATCATTTCTGAAGGAACCGATTCCTATACAATCACTTATTCCACTTTTTGCTCTACCAAGTTCAGCACAGAACCAGCCGTCGGTAAACCTTATCTCGTGGTTGCAAAGGTGTGCTACATTCTCAACCCTACTGTTGTTTCATCAACATTGTCTTCAGCCACACTGAGTTCATCAAATGTCGAACTTTCATCCTCTTCTATCCCATTGGAATCATTGGTAGTTGTACCTTTATCGTCATCTTCCTTGGTAATGAGCTCATCGTCATCTGATCTTTCACCTACACCTATCTCAACCACACGCAGTAATTCGGAACAATCAAGTTTCACCATTCCATCAACGTTTCATTACACACCTCCAGTATATATAGGGAGGCAATAGATTCGACAACAGAAATAGAGTTCATCACTACGTTTAGGATCTACGTCACAAAGTCGTGATATGATATAAAGTTTTTCTGTAATAGTTTTAGAGAATAATTTTATGTATTACTTAAACAATGAGCAAAATAGATATTTTATAAGTGTTTTTGTCAGAATAATTCATTTTTTTTCTAAACTTTAGATGTTTCGATATAGTGCTTTTCCTTTTGGTTTGATTTCCAAGTTTTGTAGAGCAAATAATACCATTTTAGACATATATGTATTAGGTAATCATACAAAAAATAAAGGGAGGGAGGAGAATGTATCAAAATATTATCCACTTCTAATCTTAATACGTATAATTATTTTCAGGAATATCTAATACTAAGACCCCCGAATATGAGATGATATTTCGAGAATAGTGTTATATACACTTAAAATATTTTTGGAAGTATATAAACACGACCGAGAAGAGGCTAACCTTATCCTCCAAAAGTTAAGGAGAAAAAGGGATAAATCATTTATAATCAGCTTATATATCTCGAATAAACTACATTTGTTAAATATTATTACAAAAATGTACCCACTTTTATGTTCCATAAGTTGAATGAAGTCTAATAAAAATTATAATAAACAGTTTTTGTTTTTCAAGTTTAGTGTTTAAAATTGAATAAAAGGCTTCCGAAGACATAAATATTTGCCGCTTGAAATGTTAGTAATGACAGAAAATTTGTTTTATACGTCTATGTGAGTATATAAAGAAACAAGCTTATCTATATATGAGTACAATATATTCACACAAAGAAAACCTCATATCCTTTTTTAAAGGATCACAGGATTACTTATTTAACAAGTAAAATGTAAAAGCTTGAACATAAACACCGTTTATTTACTAAAATGAATCATACTATTTCATAAGAAGAGTCATAGCTAAACTATAATGTAAACCTCCATTGTGTCCCTTTTTAATTAAAACAACCAAAAATTTAACCCATAATAAATCTCAAGATTTTACTTGTAGGACTGTTATTGTTACGGGTTGTAATACGGGTATCCGTAAACATACAATTGATTTGTTAAACCAATTCCTCGTAGAACAATTAATAGATCATGCTTCTCTGCATGTTCTTGAAGGTCCATCTTCAGATATTAAATCCCAGTTTTTTAATTCATCTTGATCATAGGTTGAGTATTGGAATGCTGCAACCGTACCTTCTCCGATATTTATTTTGTTATTAAAATCATATAAATACCAAATATATTCATGTGATTCAAGATCGAATGCACAACTTACTTGGTGATCTAAAGTTCCAAAATCGTTATTGGCATCAATAGAATCCACGTTTTTTCCTACCCTATTACAGTGACTCTCGATACGACCAGAGCTAAAGTTTTCCAAATTGAATTGTTCATCATGTTTCTGTAAATCTTTATCCCAGCCCCCGATTCTCATAGCTGTTATGTTCCCATTGATGGACATTAAACTGTATAAATGAGCGGTTCCAGAATGACTCCAAGAGGCATGGACTGGCCATCCTGTTTGGTCGTTTTTAAGAGCGGACCCGTTTACGAGCAAAATGGTTGTAGTTGGTAGACCAGTTACATTAGAAATATACTGTTGCACGGATTGAATATCATAAGTGTCTACATAAGATTGAACTCCACCGTTTTCCCTTTTTGAGATGCCAGGAAGTGTAGAACCACTTGCAGCCATCCAAAGCCCAATTGCAACATATATTTCCCAGCCTGAGGTAGCGAGCATGCCTAATGTGATAGCAGTGTCAAGTGCTCCCCATAAACAATCTGTCTTCCCGCTTTTACCGTCCTTAGACCAATCCTTACAACTTTCAACTAAACCCTTCATTTGAAAACCCGTTCTAGCTGACTTAAGAGCAGTTAAAGCATACCATACATATCCCCTACTCTCCATATTCATGTTTCTTTTTTTTAAACTGTATCCATCATTTCTACCATGTGAAATATTCGTGACGCTATAAATATCTGGTAATTGAAGCGGAAAATATTCATCACCTCTTTCTACTAATCAAGGAATATCGATGGTTGTTTCATGATTGATATCATCTTGTATGTTACTAGTCAATGAACCAGAGTTAATTTTTTCGTTCATTGTAATATCTAAGTAGTCTATTTTAAATATTGTAATCAATTGCAATATTACGACAGTAAACAGAAAGCTACTAATTAACGCAGCGACTTTACGAGCCTCAGGACTTGGATGATTATTATTGAAATTCATGATGTTCGTTCGCTTTCTTAGAAAGTAATATAATAAAAATATAAAAGGTCATAAATATTATATTTTACGAAGATAATATAGTTAGTAAAGTCTTTCTTTGTATACTGTTCTTTTTAGAGAGTATAGCGAAAATATATATATATATATATATATATGTGTGTAAATATCAACAAATTTCAGCACCCGAGATAAAATTCCTAGCCTGCTATTAATCTGACAATTGAAAAAAAGACTCAGGGATGGTACTCATACTATCAACATTAACAGAACCGTTAATGTACGCCGGAACTCCCTCGAGATTTTAATGTAAATGTACTATTCTTTTTTTTACAGAATAATTTTACTGTAAAAGAGTTTAAAAATGAAAATACCTCCAGTATGTTTGTTCCTGTGGCAGCTAGTTTAAAGTATCGTTGTAGAGGAAAGGTTATGAAAAATGACATACTTTTTATGAACATGTCTTTATTGGTTGCGGTTTTCTTAAAATCAGAAAGTATACATTTTGTGATATTATTTCAAATTCCTATAAGGGCTGCTACAAGAGTTTCTGTGGAACTAATCCGTCCTTCAGGATGACAAATTTCTGAGTGCAATCCAAAGACTTGAATCACTTTTTGGAAAAATATCCACACGTTGCTCAATCAGAAAGTAGAATGTATATAACATTTTAATTCAAGCAAAAAAACAAAAAGAAAAAAAAACCTGAACGACCGGATTTAATATTGAGCGGACTCAAAAATTTGTGCTCTAGTTGTCAGCAGGAACAACCCTCGTTATGCATATCTCGAGCTTCTCTGTAGGTATACATGTTGCTTACTTCACTTATTACTAAATTAGGAATCGTGCAACAAACGATCTCTTTAAACAACTGCCAGAGAGCTTCATTTCTATAAGGACAAATGACCCAAGGCTTTTCTTCAGATTGCTTAACATAAGAAATTTTCTAAATGCAATCTTTAATTAGAAGAATTTTAGATGCAGCCAGCAACATATACAAGATTCGCACATAGAATCGTACAGACAGGCCAAAGTTATGTCGCATCTAAAATTCACAATAATCAAAGATAAGTACAACAAATGCTTATTTTATGCCTTTAAAAGACCTTAAATTACAGAAAGAGATAGGTAGTTGCATCTCTTATTTTAATCATTACTGATAGTTTTTTCGTCGTTCACAATATACGAAGTATGAACTTCATTTAAGACCAAATTAAATTCAACCAAACCTGTCAATTTTTTTTTTGCCTTATGTTCTCTTAGGATGGTGAAAAAAGACATCATGTAGTAACTTTTCACTGTTTCGTCAAATCTGAATTTAACTGATCAAGTGTACTCTCTTAAGATTTTCTAAACTCGTATAATACACATACAAAATAGAGAAATCTGTATAACCCTACCACTAGCACTAGTTACCGCTGTTGAGATAGTAATTGGAAGTATTGACTAGCGTTGGAAGAAGACATGATATTATTAGTATAGTTGCAATAAGATAATGGTACAATTAGTATAGTTGTAATTGCTTAATTACTTTTCTATATACTTTACATTTGAGTTTACAGATCATAGTGTTTATATATCTATTTAATCTATAATCTGTGTGAACTCAGTGCATTAGTATTCTTCTCTTTTTGAGTGTGTGAACTAATACAGTCTAATATATACTCATACATCGCATAATGATATATGAAATACTGATCTAACTTCAAGCCTCACTTCAATGTTTCAACATATCGATCTGACCAAGGAATGCTTGAAAATTCTTTGTCAAATGTTCAAAAAAGAGGGCCACTCTGGGCTTATGAAAGATATTTATAGATCGTGATGAAATAATCTTGGATAAACATGTAGAGTTATAATGGATTAACTTTCACAGGAGAATGGAAAAAGGGAACTTTGCATGATGTCCTAAGTATGGTATGTTTCATAAGGAATGGATCCTGAGATGGAGTCTATCAATTATATAAAAGACAGAACTTAGGAGGATGAAAATTCTTATGTATATTATGTAGAGAACTTTTTCTTGATGTAAAGAAAGGATGAAGTGAAGTAAGTAATACCAAGTAAATAAAAGAAGTAATATAGTAAGTATACCTTGATCTGAATAGTGGAAGTATCATATTTTCTTCGTGATACGGTAGATTGAGCATGTTATTTAGTGCTGCTGTAATTAATCGTAGATAATGTCTTGTATTGGGGTGGGCGTATTGGACTTAATTATAATTTGGTAGGGGAATAAGCTGGGGAAAGATAGTTATTTCGGACTTATAAATAGATATAGCACGGTATATTCAGGTTTTAAAGATTAAGATAATAAAGTAAGGTGTGGTGAATATTATAGAAGTATAAAAGGTAAATATATAAGTATGGTTGGGTTGTTATCCTTGAGAATGTCGTAAAATAACAGAATAATACGCGTTTTGTTAGACATTTTGGTAATATATGTGGATGTATTTCAGTTCATAAGTTAAATATAATACAGTAAGTATAGTAGAATATTATTAGTCAATAAAGTGTGAAGATAGAATGTTAGGTATAGACATATGTCAGATTTCGTAGTGAAGTTGCACAATAATACGGATTAATGACAGGATTAACATATATTAGGTATATAATTATTTATAATAAAATATATAGAATGTTGTTGTTAACCTATTAAAACATGTCAGAGTAAATAATTTACCATAATTGAGACAGGTGGGTTCTGTATTCCAGAACATCATATATTGGTGTGACGTTTAGTAAAGACAGCATAACAGTAGAACAACTAGCTCAGATATTTCAGTCATTATTCACATCCAGACACAGTTGTTTCGGTGTTGTATTTGTATCAGTTGGGTTGCTCTTATTCTTGTAAAATGTGATGTGAGATGTTAAGTTGTGTTTAGGGTATTTGATATTTTCAGTATGATTATTGACCAGTTTTAAATCAGATGTTATGCAATCAATATTTTGACTACAGTAAACAAACAAAATGCAGTAGTGTTCTTAATAATTGGTTTAGTAAGAGTAACGCTTTGCTTGAGGTCTGTAAACAAATTTGGCATGAGTTGTCACGTATTATGAAACATAGAGAAATTGCAGTAGTAAATTGGTGATATCTCATATTCCGTTTGAGACTGGATCATAATTTCAAATGGGGTTAGAAACTTTGTAGGATTTCATATTTGATGTTTGTGGAGTGGAGAGACCAGTATCAGATCGAAGTGCCATTGTCACGTATTTTAGTTTGGTAAACTATTTGGGTCAGTAACAGCAAACAAATCAGTCAATATTCTGTCCCCGTTTCTCTCAGTTAGCATTTTGGGTAAGTATGAGTTAGATTGATTGATCCACGTTCTGAAGTAGGTTACATTGTGAGTCTGGCATGTCCTTATTGCAATGTGTGATATCATAGTAAAAATGGTCATTTTGAATAGAGTATTTTTTTGGTTAAAGCTCACACCAGTACAATTGTACACCGTTTTGAATGTTATATTTGGTTAAAAACTGTTCATTTGTCTGTGTCTGGTCTGTTGTTAATTATCTGTGGTGGATATGCGCCTGTACATAATGGTTATTGCAAAGTGACACGAAGACACCCGATTGAGTTGTTCTTTTTTGGTAGTTCAATCACTTTGGTATAGTGAAGAGTAATTAGCCATTTGTTTGTTTGTGAATAGCATTTCTCTTTGTTGTTCTGTCCCTCTGTTCTGATGTTATTCCTAGTTGTGTTATGTGTTTTTTTAATAGAAAAATTTCCTTGACCAAAATTTTGGCGTTGCGCGAAGGGGACAGAGTCCGAAGAGACAGATCGCATTCTCTTTCCATTAAGACTGGTTGTCGTTGTGAGTGTTTGTAGTTTTATCACTAACATATTATTGTTGGAGAAGTAGTTGAAAAAGTATATCGTTAATATTAGACATTTTATTTAGTTCATTGAATTATATCCGCTTCATCCTTTCTTTACATCAAGAAAAGGTTCTCTACATAATATACATAAGAACTTTCATCTTCAAACATTCATGCTATTATATACTTTGTAAACTCTATCTCAGGATCCATTCCTCATGAGCTATACCACAATTGGGACATCACACACTGCCCCCTTTTCCATTCTCCTGTATGAGTTAATACATCATAACTCTACAAGTTCATCTAAGACAGTTCCATCACAATCTACAAATATTGATTATTACTCGTGAGGGGTTGATACATCACAATCTAACAAAAATACTAAACTTACAGAAACTTGATCTCAGAGTTATGGAATTTATATTAAAACTGTATAGATATTTTATGCATAAGTTTAGAGATTCCACGAACCATTGAAATTAAAATAAATGGAGTATGTTTCAACTTTTTTGAACTAAGGAAGATCGAAGTCTACATACCATAAAGTATATATCATATATCCATGGATGAATTTCTCGTATTAATGTGTATTATATCGTTAGTACCACATTTCACTCACATAAGTATTTCGTTGCTCATTTTGGACATATTGCTCGAATAATTATCATACGTGTACTCAATATTACCCTTCAAAGAACACGGCACATCCCAGGCAGTCTCATATACCCGACAATCGTCTCTTTGCATTCGAATATCAGCTGACCAGCGATCTCCATTGGAAACTCTTACACATACAGCTAGTTTGTGCTGCAGTTCCCTAATATCGATGACTTTTTCAATAAAATTTAGTATATCTCTTTCAGATGTTATATTTTTGCAATCAGTGTCCCCTTCATATGTCCATATTGTCATAGTTAATTGCCACGATATGTTATCTTTAATTAGTTCGTATAGCGTGTCACTGGTACATCTTTTATTCCTTGTCAACAGAACAAGCAAGTCCGGGCATTGAATACCGAGATATCGATATATTTTGATGAATATTCCAGCAATATGATTTACACATCTCTTAAGTACGTGAAAGCGTCTCATTACTCCGAATATTTTGCATAGAAAAGAAAAGGGCGCCTTTAAAATGGAGTATATTGCTTGCACTTTATAGCCTGGATATAATGAATAGGAACTGAATGTCCTGTTGGCCAGTGAAGTTTCATATGTTTCATCGTTAACCAAAACCTTTTCGTCGTATCTGTCTACTACTCTTGATTCAGCTACACTTTGGTCAATAGTCGTTTCTATGGAATATGTGTTGTTGTTAACCCAGTGAGCAGCAATCAGCTTACAGTTTATGCTGCAAAGAATGAGAAGAAATACCGTTTTAATAGACATAATATATTTCAAGTTATTTACAAAAGGTGTAAAGTTGAAGTTATCAATTAATATCGAACATTAAGGCGTCTATATATCACAAATGGTAATCTGTATTTGAAACTTTCTCGAACAAGTGCATTTTATGTTATAACCGTTTTGTTTTCAGATACACATTCTTCAAGTCATATGGTAATCCTATGAGCTGCTATTTTAGTGAGTTGTTCTTGCATACGACATCCGAGTTTACGACCAGTTCTGAAATTAAAATTTCCGGTCAAATTTTCACAACCAAACATTTTGTGAAAATGTCCCCCAAAAAAGAACCCGCTTCTACCCTACTCCTAGCCGAACCCATTGCACCCCTGGCCGTCTGACTAACAATCATTGTCGACAAACGAAATGGTTTTCATAAGGAGGTAATTAAATAATAATCACTTTTTCCGAAAGTTTTATAAGAACAATAAGTAGTTGTAAATACTCTCCTTGATTCTTGTTTCTTTTCTTGCCATTAGAGTAAAGGCTGGGTTGAGACATAGAAAAATGGCTTTGATATTTCGGCTAATGATTGTCTTACTAACTAATGAACACTAGACGAAATGAGCAGAACTAAAGATGTTATCGCATCTGTAGTATAGAAAGTATGGGTATTAGGATAGGTTATAATCGGATGCGAATATTTAAGAACACTAAATAATGTTACATGTTATTTTACAATTATTATGAGATAAATACATCAGTTTTTTAGTTGTTTTCTTGACGTATTTGCCTCGTTTAGAGCTTCCTACTTAAATTTTTCGTTGTGCAGTTGAAGCTATGCTCAGAATCACTTCCTAGATGTTTAATAGTTTTACTAAGAACAAGCAAGACCTGCGAAATCTCCAGAAAAACAACCGTACAAAATTAAAACACGACTCAGTTTCCTAAATCGCATTGCCTGCAGAAGAAAGGTGTCATGAAAAAATGTATGGTAAGAATGACGAGCTGTGAGCGGTCAAAACCGGTGCAATGAAGGTACACGCTGGCGCATCTTTTAGAGAAAGAAATTTATTCACCAAAGAAATGTAACATCGAAGAGCATTTATTAAAAACACATATATCATTAAAGATGTTTATCACATTTCTTTATACATTTATTGTATATTACTTATATCATCTTTGTTTAGAAACCTAATTGAGGTATTATATACCTATAAGAGGTAATTGGTACTAAACTAAAGTTAGACCCATCTATTATATTTTTACGCTAGACCATTCAATACTTCCATACGCCATAAAAGAAACGCACTTCATTTCCCACTCCAGCTGAAGGTTCTGAATGTGTGGTTTTTTAAAAACCATGTCACAAATGAAAACCAAAAAGCTGCAATTTTTGAACCTGTAAGTGCCACAACGCTATGCACCGCATCACCACCAGGAGTATATAAGCAGCAAAAACTTGTTGCTTACACAGACAATTACTTAAAAGGTCGACTTGCAGTCAGACCTCTACAGAGAATTGCCTGAGAAAAATATTGTAACTTGAAGATGTAGAAAGTTTTTCCAACTTTTCTAATATAAAGTTTTCTTGAGGCACTGTATCTGCGGAACTTGGAGCGTTACAGAACGCAATCTTCATACTCACTAACTTAGTGCAGAAGCAAATCGGGCTCAAGAAATAAAAATTTAATCCGAACACACCTTTTAAAAGATGGGAAACAATGAAGTGTGTTGTTGTATGCATATAAACAGCAGCAGTAGATAGATAGATTTCGATGGCTGCATTTTCAACTTCAGGTAACTATTTATGGCATCAACTGCATCATTGGAAGTTTCGATTCTCATTTACGTTGCTCATACAAGAATATGCCTTTGATAGAATTTCAATTGGAAGTGAAATGAAGGATGATTTATTGAAAGAACTAGCGATCTACAGATATTTGGTTGTTAAAAATAAGTAGAAATATTTATAAGACTTACGAACTCGCTACAGTTTCCCCCCCGGCAAGAGGTGAAGGAACATGAATGTAATGTTCTTCTTCAGGCTGACAAAATTTTTTGGAAAAAATACGGACAACAATTCCCTTTTTTTTTCTTTCATAAATTCTAAATTTCAGAATATCCCTGCTATATCCATTAGCGTCGAAAGCGTTGAAAGGCCATTTAGCTTAGCAAATTTTGAAAACTTCTTCCAGATCGACTACTATCTTTGATATTTGGAAGTTTTAGAAGTGCCTCTTTTTTAGGAAGCGCAAGGGTGCTAATTCTTTTAAAAAGAATATTTTGAAGATCTGAAACTTTTGTTATATTTTCGTTCACGTTTATCTGATTCGAGGGCAGAATAAGACAGCAACACTAACCGGGAAGATACTGTAATTTGTTTCAGCTTTAGAAACTAGTTTACTTATCAACAGAACAAAGAGACATTGATTGACGCACTTACGATTCTTAAAAGTACATAATACGTAAATAGAAATAATAAGTGTCAACGATATCTGAATATTATCTGTAGATAAATTTTTTAGTGTCTTTAGTATGGCTTTAAAAGGAACTCACATTGTTATGAAGCGTTGTTTCGTATTAGTAACTTTGCTTGGTATCTGTTTTTCATGGCAATATGATGACGATATTATGGTAAAAATAAATTCCGTTAATGTGACAAAAGATAATCAATTAGATCGTGAGGACAATATGCTGTATCTAAGTAGTGCTACAGATATACCTGAAATGCTTAATAAAACAGGAAGACAATATACCTCCGTATCAACTGAAACAGATATAAATTTGAAATTAATGCAATTTTTCTTCAATTGTGGTGAATTACTGGTATCTGTATACAATTATTTTAAAGGGAATGAAATCCATGCTGATAATCGCAAAGTTGTTCGACAGAGCTCTTTTCATCAAATTTCACGTAACGGTACAGAGTGGCAATATTTTTGGTCGTCTAGTTCCTTATGCGAATATTATAATAGTGCCACCCTTGATGAAAACGCAGAAACTATTCTCAATTATTGCATCAACGATGATAGATATAATATAACATTGGCAATGTGTGTTATTGTGAAGCTTGCGAAAAACTGTTCCTTCCAAATACGAATGCAAAGAACAGCAAGCAAACCATATGAGAATATGTGGAATATGCCATGTGGGAAATATCAACAACATATAAACTATGTAGATGGACTATGCTACCATGACTATGAGAAGATTCGCAATAATGATGTTAACTTCCTACGGAATTTATAAGGTGTATAAATTTTTCTACAAGGTGAATGACTTCTTCCAGATATGTCAATTACTTCACATTACTCTTTAATTATGGAACTGTTATAATATATAAACCGAAAATTATTATACAATGTGATAAGGCTGTGAGAATTTTTTGCAAAAGTATATTATGAAAAGTAGACATACTGTGTTATTTTATTGATTAGCAATCAAATACATAAAGAAAACTCAATGAAACGTAATAGTTAGCTACATAATCACCGATAGAGTTACATTAGGTGACTGTTTCGTTGTTCACAACGTAGAAAACACTTTACATATTAGAAACATCAACTCTAGAACTAATTCTCTTTCTCCTGAAATCAGAAGAAACATTTTAGCTCACAATGTCATGGACTTAGAAGACCTGTTCGATATCTGCCGTAACACCGCTATTATCCCTTTGGAGTCAGAGGAGTTGTTCAATTTTGTTCCTACAACTCAAGTTGAATTTGCTACTGATATCAATGGTAACGTTCATAGTAGGTATTCAACTGAAGATAGGACCATTGCTGGTGGTGAGAAATTGTATCTGGACGTCATTTGTGTCGGATTGGGTTATGTCAAGAAATATATGTATCATTTAGCAGACGTTTTAATCTCCGAACTAGACGAAATTACTGTCTCTTCTGACATTAATCATGGCAGGGATATTTCATTCTTTGAATCTGATCTTCAATTGAAGCAGTTCACTTTCACCGCTAAATAAATCAAGATTTTCCACAATTTACACACTCAGCGTTTGAATATCTCCAAACAGGCCTTGAAAGAATTCATCAAGTACTACAAAACAGTCAAGGCTGGTAACTTCAGAACTGTTTTTGTTCCAACTTTCAGCGGTAAAACTCAGACGTTTCCTAAGGATTTACAAGCCGGTACAGTCATTCCTTACGCCCATAATGCTACTTAGATGGTCATTCTTATGGTTAACATTTCTAAGTTCTCTTTTCCGACATTGGTAACATTGTTAGCCCAGACGTTGATTTCGTTGAGGTGTCCCTAGATGCTGCTAACTTATCTGATTACTTAATATCTAATCTTACCAATGATGAATATCTTTAATATTGGATGCTTTTGGTTAAGGTTTGTGTCTTCAACTGGTCAATGATTTTCTTAGAACAACTTGTTACCAGATCTGAGGTTTTTTACCGTCATGCTCTAGATGCCATCAAGGCCTTTTGTACTTATGCAGTTATGTCCAAACCTGCTGGCCAAATCTCTGGGTTACCAAATCCTGAATCAATATTTTCTACCCAAGACCACTGTTCATGGTTTTGGATGAAATATATGTACTCCAAGGTTGTTCAATGCTCTGCTCAATATGAAGCTTCTCAGGTCATTGTTATGAATTCAGAATATTTTTCCATCAATGGTAAGGTCTTTTCCAAGTCCAATATTAAGCTGTTTTACCTATCTGGTCGGAACAGGTTCAATAATAACCTATCTCAACTAATAACTCTTTACAACAACGTTGTTGGTGTTAATGAACTTGCTGAAAGGATTTCTGTATCCTGATAGAATTACTTTAATCGATGACAGATTACACCCCTTCAAGTCGGTTTTAGAATTGTTTTCACCAGAGTCTAGAAAAACTATTTATCCTGTTAGAAAAGCAAGTGCTTCATCAATCAGAAAGACAATCCTTGACATTGTTACGGCCATGGGTATTTATATTATGGTGGTGTAATTAATTGTAGATAATGTCTTGTATTGGGGTGGGCGTATTGGACTTAATTATAATTTGGTAGGGGAATAAGCTGGGGAAAGATAGTTATTTCGGACTTATAAATAGATATAGCACGGTATATTCAGGTTTTAAAGATTAAGATAATAAAGTAAGGTGTGGTGAATATTATAGAAGTATAAAAGGTAAATATATAAGTATGGTTGGGTTGTTATCCTTGAGAATGTCGTAAAATAACAGAATAATACG